AGAGTGATGTAATCTCTCTTTGACCGCAGCTCAGCCAAATCAGCTCGGATCAACCTAATTTAATCATGGAAATGAATGTCTGGAGCAGGGGCATCGTTCCCATGCAGTGGATCTCGCAACAATGATGATTGGATAAAAGTGGTCGTTAGCTAGCAACACATGCCTGTTCCTAGACGATCCATAAAGTAATTATACATTGACCCTTTCATTCATGCAAACGTAGCTGTGTTACACAACACGACCCTCTGCATCTTTTGCTCTGCCAAAAGGTCCACCTACTTGACAATAAACAAAGACCACTCTTCATATAGCATCAAGCTTACAAACATAAAGACGCCTGTATCTCTAAAAACTTTACAATGAAATGTGGGGTTTTTATTAGAGCAATGTGCTCGGCTTGGCCAACAACACCTTGGGTGAAAGTTTCACGATCAAGCTTGCCAATCCCAGATTTCGCAATGTCGCTACCAGCCAAACTGGATCTGGGGGGTCGACCTCTTCGACGACGACGACCAAAAAATATTTTTTTGGGCTGTTTGCGACATTGAACGCGAAACTTTCACACAAGGTGCTGTTGGCCAAGCCGAGCCCATTGCTCTAATAAAAACCCCACGTTTCATTGTAAAGTTCGGAGATACAGGCGTCTTTATGTTTTCACTATGCTGTAAGCGTGATGGAGTTGCTTTTTCCTAGTGGATGGTGTCGGCTGCATTAACGGAAAGATGAAGAGCTGAGTGAAACCGCACGTGGTGGTTACACAGACACGTCCTTGACAGGTTGCTACACAAATGGGTGATGATGATGATTGCCTTTTGTGAAGGTACGTAAGTAAACAGCATCCAATAATGAAGGTGTGTCAAGGTATGCATCACATTTGCATGTAGAAGAAAGTCGAGCTGCATAACCGATTTGTATATGTAAAAAGATACATATACATACTGAATGAGTCACAACCCTGAAACTCAATGGAGGAATCTCTTCACTTTTTCTCTTCTCAAGCTCATCCCACTTCCCACTCCTCCTTATTGTATCACAAAAGCCATGAACTTTTTGCATGACCGATAACCGGACCACCTTTATTATTCCATCTTCGAAGCAATAGTATGTAATCCACAAGCTAGCAACCTCCAACAAGCGTGTAATAAATAAACAATGCTTTATTTCATCTAGCTATCTTGCTATGTACTGTACATTGCCACCACCATCGTCGTAGTCGTCCTCCGTCATCATTCCTACTCGTACTCGTCACCAGTCGTCAATCTCATCCGTCACACCAACGTCCAAAAATACACAAGTTGAAAAGAATGGGATCTTGCAGGCTTCCTTTTGAATCTCGTTGTCGTCATCATTGTCATTGTTGTAGATGGGGTGATCATCGTAATCGTCATTGTTGTGAATGTGGTAATCATCGTAATCGTCGTCTCTACAAATAAGAAAGCGGGCAAGTTAGACCATCTGGTACCGGAATGATGACGATTTGGTATACCGTTAGGCGATCCTCTCCAAGGAAGAAAGCAAATCAGAAGGAATTCACAAACCAAATCACCGCCATACGAGCAGCATCGGGCGATCCCTTGTTCTTGAGAAAGCACTACACGAATCACGCAAGGCCAGTTCGATCCATGGCAAGGAAGGACATCACTTACGTAAAGTCCAGGCTCATAGTTGTTCTCATTCATCCTCACCAAAGAAAGAATGATCCCCAATCCTTCCAATCATTTCCTGCCTCATGAAAAGAAATCCTCAAGGGAAAGAACGAGCCTATCACGAGAAGAGCGTGTTGGTTAAACACATTCACAAGCTGTTACAAATCCCCTTTTACCTCAACACGGTAACCATGCTCTTCCAACAACCCATCGTCATCGACCCATCAACTCAAACGCAGGCCTATAGAGTCCTGGACGCGTTCCAAAAAGCTTTTCCAGCACACTCGGCTAGTGCAGAGCGACGCAACGGCCACTTGATGCAGGTTGGGACTTGTAACCCAAAGAGATGATGATGTCCCCAAGTTACATTGCCTGACCAAAGAACCCTATTTCAATTCATTATTAGCACACACACAATAAACACCCTTTTCATTGTTTGCTTCATTGTACTTGCCTTTTCCATATACACAAAGACCCGTTGTTGTTGGTTACTGGAAACCGAAAACCATGGTGTAGTATAGTTGAGCCGAAACAAAACGCCAAACCAGCCAACGTCTTGAAACCAAACTTGCCCTCTATACAAGCTGACGCGTCAATGGAACCAAGTCGGCTGCAATATTGGACTCTGAATGTACCTGTTGACACCAAGCGTAGAGTGGGAATAGCAACGAGCAAAAGGAAGCAACAATATCGCCATGGCAACCACCAACCACCCACCACGCTCATCTTCAGCTAACTCCCTGACAATGCATGTTCAGAACTACATTAATACCTCACAGCCAACAAGAGTACTTTTTTATAATACATTACCTCGATTGGGATGTCGTGAATGGGATAAGGAAAGGTGGGAGAAAAAGAAGAGAAGCGTTGTCTCAAGTCGTGGAGCTGCTGTCCCCCAAGTTTAAATCCCCCTACTGCTATTACACTGAGGCCACTCAATGACCCCCCACACACATCATCCACCCATCGTCATCATCACCCTCACGATAGACAATAGGTACACGTAAATAAAAGAAATGATCCTCACGTATAGCAAAAGGGTGTGTGCCATTTACATGATAATGATGATCCAACAACAGCCATTGCCTTTACTACCAGGTTACCTCGAATCAAGAAAGTTAAATGATGGGAATGATGGAAAAGTTGCAGAAGGACCACCACCTCTGGATTGCTGGGTTGAAGGCTCAACGCTATTGGTAGAGGGTGCATGATCTATATTTTTCTCCTATAGTAAGGTCCGCCTATGATAGCCGTATCAATTTAACCATGATATGGGTAAGAATAAAGTGATTCGTGCATTCGAAACTACGTTGTGTGAAAGAATGAAGCTGTAATGCTGTTGTTTGTCTTCAGGGTTCGTTGCCATATAAAATGTTGCTCGCCTATTGATTCATTCTATGAATTTTGTGCTTGACGATAAATGCCGGGGGTTCGACAGCTGCTACTACACGACCTGATCATGCCATCCTCTGGGTTAAACTACCGACAAAGGTTTTCGTTTTTTCTTTGTAGAAGGTTGACATAAACACACATTGACCTGCTCCTTTTTGATGGCTGCAGTGGACGTTGATCTTGCAGGCTGTAATATTGAACTCGTTGATGATAAAGTTACTGGGAAAATTGGTACAAGTGGTGTTGGTGGTGTGAGAGAGTATCATTTTGATGCTGTTGGGCTGATGGTAGGCTGTGGTAGCAATGATAGTAGTAAGGGTAATGATTTTTATCATTCCATCATCTTGAAATTGAAGGTGTATTGTTGTTGACGCGGAAGTAAGTGTGCTGGTATTGAAAGCGGTACACATTGTGAATGGAAGGAAACAAGAACAGGGAGGGAAAGGTAATGTTGTCTACATGTCATGCATCATTTGCTTTTTCGCTTGTAGAGTCCAAAGCCGTTTATTATCATCGCATGAAGATGCACCATCCTAGTTTATCATCGTTGAAGGATAGGAACGTGTTCATTGGCAGGTGCTAATGGTGGTACAGATGCCTTCTTGCATGATCTTGAAACATCAAGAACGCAAAGTGATGATAGTAGTAGAATCACCATGACCCCGTTCCCCATGTATGTACACAATGACCATACAACCGATTGCTATTGCTTTGAGTATACCATAATGAGGGTTCACAGGATAGACAATGAGCATAGTAACGCGTACTACAAATCAGGTGATGTAATCGAGCATGTTGGAGAAAATGGGAGAACGTTGTGGATCGCCTGGGTTTGAAATTTTTCCGGAGCTTTCCCGATCCTTCGGAATAGGCAAGTACACCCTGGGATATAAAGCAACATCAACCCCCATTTTCATGCAAAATTTCAAACCCTACTTTTTTTTCTCTTTACACTTTTTTATTCAAGCATGTCTGGTCTAGAGTTTACGGAACGAGTTGAGAAAGCATTGGGCATTGCCCAAAGTCTTGCTCGTGAATTTGGACATATTCAAATCTATCCTGCACATATCGCGTGTGCTCTCTTTGACGAAACCGATGGCCAATCTCTCTTCAAGTCGGTTATCGAGAAGGCGGGCGCTGAACCATCCACCGTTGAACGAGCATACAAGAGCCAAATGGTCCATTTACCCACTCAAGATCCACCACCCGCTGAAATCAGTATCGGCTCAGGCACCGCCAAACTCTTACGCAACGCCCAACAGCATATGAAGCAGCAAAAGGATTCCTTTATCTCGATCGATCATATCATTCTTGCACTCGCCGATGAAGATCAATCATTCCAACCCATGAAAGATGCTGGTGTCACCAAGAAAGCACTCGAGAATGCTGTATCCCAGATTCGTGGCAATCGTCGTGTGGATAGCAAGAACGCTGAAGAAGTCTATGAAGCCCTTTCCAAGTACGCTGTTGATTTAACGCAAATGGCACAAAGCGGTAAATTGGACCCTGTGATTGGACGTGATGACGAGATTCGACGTGTCATTCGTGTCCTTGCTCGTCGTACAAAGAACAACCCTGTTTTGATCGGTGAACCTGGTGTCGGCAAGACTGCTATTGTGGAAGGCCTTGCACGTCGTATCGTTGAGCGTGATGTTCCTCAAACCCTTCAATGCAAGCTCTTTGCTCTTGATATGGGTGCATTGATTGCTGGTGCCAAGTATCGTGGTGAATTCGAAGAAAGACTCAAGGCAGTACTCAAAGAAGTCAAGGAATCCCAAGATGGTGTCATTCTCTTTATTGATGAAATCCATACGGTGCTTGGTGCTGGCAAAGGTGAAGGATCCATGGATGCTGCCAATTTGCTCAAACCCATGTTGGCACGTGGTGAATTACGATGCATTGGTGCTACCACTTTGACTGAATACCGAGTAATCGAAAAGGATCCAGCTGTAAGTATTACAATAATCGCTGCTATACACTATTTCATGATACTTACCATTATATATAGTTTGAACGTCGTTTCCAAAAAGTCGATGTTGGTGAACCATCCGTTGCAGCTACTGTTTCCATTCTTCGTGGCTTGAAGGAGAAATACGAGAACTATCATGGTGTCAAGATTATGGATGCCGCTTTGGTGTCAGCTGCTCAGCTTTCGGATCGTTACATCACCACTCGTTTCCTACCTGATAAGGCCATTGATCTTATTGATGAAGCTGCTGCCAATACCCGTGTTCAGCTTGATTCAAAGCCTGAAGAAATTGATGTACTTGAACGTCGACATTTCCAACTTGAGATTGAAGCTATGGCCCTCAGCAAGGAAAAGAACAACAAGGAGTCCCAAGAACGTTTGGAGCAAGTGCGACAACAAATGGCTCAAGTACAAGAACAACTCAAGCCTCTTAAGCTCAAGTATGAAATGGACAAGGGTCGTTTGGATGAAATTCGAGATCTCAAGCAAAAGCTGGATGAGTTGAGAGGCAAGGCGATGGAAGCTCGTAACCGCTATGATCTTGCTACTGCAGCTGATATTGAATACTATGCCATCCCTGATGTCGAACAACGTATCAAGGTCTTGATGGAAGAGAAACAACGCAAGTTGCAAGAGATGGCTGCAAATGATCAAAGCACAGGCCTTAGTGAATTGGTGCGTCCCGAACAAATCATGGAAGTCGTTTCTCGTTGGACTGGTATCCCTGTGCATAACTTGGCAAGAACGGAACGTGAAAAGTTGTTGAATATGGAGACCGAGCTCAAGCGTAAAGTGGTGGGTCAAGATGCTGCTATTCGTGCTGTATCCAATGCCATTCGTCTCTCCAAAGCTGGTCTTCAAGATCCCAACAAGCCTCTCGCCAGCTTCCTTTTCCTTGGCCCCACCGGTGTTGGTAAAACACTCTTGTGCAAGACCGTGGCAGAATTCTTGTTCGATGATGAGCGTGCCTTGATTCGTATTGATATGAGCGAATTGATGGAGCAACATAGTGTATCGAAGCTTTTGGTAAGTTTTGAATCAATCATGCAGTGATTTATGGATCGTGTTACTTACCTTTGTCATTCAATAGGGCGCACCTGCTGGTTACGTTGGATATGAAGAAGGTGGATTATTTGATGCCGTACGTCGCAAGCCTTATTCGGTGGTCTTGTTGGATGAATTGGAAAAAGCCCACAAGGATGTAGCCAATGTCTTGTTGCAAGTACTCGATGAAGGCTTCATTCATGATTCCAAAGGCCGACGCATTGATTTCCGCAACACCATCATTGTCATGACATCCAACCTTGGCGCTCACTTGCTCGCTTCTCAAGGAAATGCTGCACCTGAATCGGATGCTGGTATCGTTCTCAAGGAGCAAATTCAACAAATCGTTCGCCAGCACTTTAGCCCTGAGTTCACCAATCGTATCGACGAAATTGTCATCTTTGACAGGCTCTCACAAACCAACATTACTGATATCGTGGATGTCCGCTTGCAAGAAGTCCAAGATCGTTTGTCTGATCGCAAAATCACTCTCGATGTTTCCAAACCTGCAAAGGAATGGCTTGGCGTGCATGGCTATGAACCCGTATTTGGCGCTCGTCCACTCAATCGTGTGATCCAACAAAAGTTGCTCAATCCTCTGGCAAGACTCATTATCGATGGTGGTATTCGTCCAGGTGAAACAGCCAAGGTGGATGTGACAAGCCATGATACCATTGAAGTCCTTCGCAATCATGAGAGCCAATCTGATTATGTCGTTGAAGAACCCATGGATGAAGAGGATGAAGACATGGATGAAGCATAAATAGGATGTAGTAGTAAAAACCACCCATTGTACAGAGCACTCCTTTGTAAATAGACATTATTGTGTACATGATTGATTTGGAAATCTATTACTAGCATTATTAACAAGAAAGTTCATTGTCTATATAATTATCCCCATAACCCACTTGCTATTCGCTGGCATCCATCACTTGTACGCGATAAAGTTTGCGAACCGAATTAAAGCACACGATGGGTTGGCCGTCCTATTACGTCGATTGAATCAGCTATAATCCTTGTCATGTAACATACAATGACTACTAACCTTTTGTGCCTGCATAAGCTCATCCACTGTAATGATATCCTCAACCACTTCCCCACTTGCTAAGAGTGCTTCTCGAAAGACGCCTGGCAATAGCCCTATAGAATAGTGATCAATAATCAATCTCACTTTGATAGCAATCTTATTTATACTTACCACACTCGACCGATGGTGTTCTCCATACGTGTTGACCATTTTCTCCCAATGATTGGATGGCTATATTGGCAATACTTGATTCGGTCACCTGACGATCCTTGTTCCACAAAATGACATCAAAAGGACCCTTCTCGGTACCACATCCAGCACGCTGACGGGCTTCATTGTATGCATCTCGTTGCGTTGTCTTGTTCCTGAGGAAAGGATCTGTGGTTGAACAGGCCAATGGTTGTGAATCGAGCACCACCTTCAAGGTTGGCTCTTGAGCAATAACATCCACCAATGTATCGGGCGCTCGTGCAGCGGATGGATCAAGTACAGTGTATTCGACATGGAGCTTCTCGTCTAATAGCAGACGTACCTACATAATACGTCAACATGCCATCGCGTAGAAAAGGCTAGTGGCTCTTACACGCTTGAACGTATCGTCATTGGGAACATTCTCTTGCAAAAACTCTCGAATGGCATCAGGCGAAGGAATCGTGGTGAAGAGCGATGGGTTGCGACGGTGGAATTCAGCAGCTGAACGCAAAAGACGACGAATGTGTAAATCAAGGAGGTAGAATCCTGTTGTATATAGAGAGAGTTAGCCTTGAATAAATATAGAAAGATAAAAGCGAGTTGACCTTGTGTGGGGGTATAGAGGATGGTTTCAAGTAATGCGAAATTGGTCATGGATAAAAAGAGGTGGAAGCGGTTGCTCTCCAGACACGTGCCCAATTTCAGTGTAGCTTCATGCATAATCCTAACAACCATGCTATCAATAAATGTTAGTGACTGTATGTAGCTTTATCATGCCCTTTGAGTACATTACCTTTACACGAAGCACACGACGTTGCACCGTTCTACTACTCTTATAGCGATATTAGCGGGTATCTTGATATCAAAAATGAAGCAAACAAGGGGCATCCCATAGGAATAGGTGCATTCATTGTATCGTTACTTTCATTGTCCATTAATCATTCATAGATGGTTGATGATCTTGTGCATGGCACAGGTGAAGAAGAGGGTAAGCATGCATACCTGACAGCACGCCAAAAAAAAGAGTACTCCGAAAACATCATTTCTACTTTCTGCTTTGCTTTTTATTACCTCTTTACTCTCTCTCCCTCTCTCTACCTATCTATCATGTCCGGCAAAGAAGATAAAGAAGAAAACAAGCCCGGTGTCGAGCATCGCGATCCGCAATACTTTGGGTACTATGCCATGCTTCAGCATCAGGTATTATTATAGCACTCGATTGATCCACGCGTTTGGGCAAGCAGTGACTGATCCCAAGTGATGGGGGTTTAGCAAAACATGTTGCAAGATACCGTACGCACCTCGACTTATCGCTCTGCCATTCTCATGAATGGACCTGGCTGTTTCCAGAACAAGGCTGTTCTCGATGTGGGTGCTGGATCGGGTATTCTTTCCTACTTTGCGGTGCAAGCTGGCGCGTCTCAAGTGTATGCTGTGGAGGCATCCAACATGGCCAACAAGATGAAAAAGCTAGTCGAGCATGAAAACACCAATAGCTTTCTACGTGGCAAGATCACCGTTGTGAATGGTATAACATGGCTATGATTTGGGGACTTGAAGGAGAGTAGTACTGATGGTGTTTATATCATATCTATAGCCAAGATTGAAGACAAGGATTTACCTATTCCCAAGGTCGACACTATCATTTCCGAGCCAATTGGTGTGCTATTGTTTCATGAACGCATGGTAGGCAATCAAAACCTCTCCCTCTACTATACTCAAGGCGCGCTGGCAATGGCATAATTGACCCCATGTACACCACTTGCGTTTCCTCTCCCAGTTGGAAAGTTACATTTATGCAAGAGATCACTATTTGAAACCAGGTGGTGCGCTTTTCCCCTCCAAAGGCAACATTTATTTGGCCCCCTTCACTGATGCCACGCTCTGGAGTGAAACGATGGCGAAGGCTCGCTTCTGGTTTGTATTGGACAATGGTCAAGGTTATATTTCTTTACATCTCTCATACCTTTTTCATTTTGTATAGGGAACAAACGTCATTTTACGGCATCAACTTTACTTCATTGTACAAAGATGCGAGGGATGAAATGTTTGGTAAATGGGAATGTGTCTCTTTTATATATATACACACACGCTGACACGAACGAATCTACACGTTTAGGCATGCCTGTTGTGGGTCACTTTGATCCTCGTAACCTTATCAGCACACCCACCATTTTGGATTCTCATCCAGTCGATTTCTCAACGGTGACCCTGGAACAATTGCATGACATGACAATGCCCTTTACTTGGTTGGCAGGATACACTGGGTTGATGCATGGTATTGCAGGATGGTTTGATTTGATCTTTGCACCTCCACCTTATGACAACAACAACAGCAGCAGCAGCAACAGCAACAATAATGGCAATGGTATCCCCAATACGACTGTGGAAATGTCGACGGGTCCTGCCGCTGAACGTACACATTGGCAACAAGTGCGTTTCCTTTTCCGAGAACCCTTAGCAGTGAATGCCACTCAACCTATTCGTGGATGGATGCGTGCCATCGTCAATGATATGCGTAGTTACACCATTTATGTCGAAGTGGTCGTGGGTCAAGATACTCCGCTTAGTGATCCTGCCACCATTGACCTAAAGACCTTTGCCGATCCCAATGAATTGGAGCAGGAGCATCCTTTGAGACGTCGTGGTCGATGGGAACTTCATGAACAAACCTACAATTACAGCTTCAACCCTGGCATGATGCCTGAACACAAGCCCGAGTATTCTTGCTTATATCAACCGGAATCCAAGATTGATGAAGCTGTCAAGACTTCCCAACAACAAGCAGAGATCCTCGACTTTACAGCAATGAGCAATGTCATGGAAAATTACGAGAACTTTATGAATTGAATGTAACAGCATTGTAATTACAAAAACAAGTAGCTTGAATTAAATGAAAAAACAAAAACAGAAAGGCAAATTGCTAATAAATGATGATACATGGAAAATGTAGCGAATAATGTTAGATGGTACAAAATAGCTTATCGTCTCTTCTAATCGTCGTCCTCGTCGCAATCTTCATCATCTTCGTCCCAGTCTTCATCATCGTCGTCTATTTCATCCATTAGATAAATGAGTACTTTACACGGGATGTCTTTGACTTACCATCATCATCTTCATCGTCGTCATCATCCCACTCCTTGTCTCCTTCATGATCCTTGTGATGCCAGTGCTTGTACTTTTTCCAGTGATCTTTATCCTTCCAATGATCCTTGTGCTCCTCCATTTCATGTGGGTACACAAGCTAAGAACATCATGTTAGATATCACCATCATCATTTATACATGTAAAAGCTTACATGGCCTAAGTCATCGGTTTCGCAATCCTCATCAGGGGTTGGTGTCTCTTTGACCGCTTCAGTCAATTCGGGTGGTGGGGGACCTGTAATGGTAACACAATGGGTGGGGCCACCTCCTGGTTGTTGATAGCAATGCGTCGTTGGGAGCTACATAAAGGCATCAAGGGTAAGTACAAATGAGGAAAAGAGGAGAAAAGTAAAGAAGGCTTACAGGTGGCATTTCATCCGTCAAAGTAACACAATGCACAGGTCCACCTCCTGGTTGTTGATAACAATGAGTGGGTAGCTGGATAAAGAGAGCACATGTTAACATAAATTGGATATGGGAACAATGATGGTGGTGTCACTTACGGGAGGCGAAATAACATCCGTCGTGGTGGGTTTGTGCTGCTTGTGATGCTTGTGATGATGCTTCTTTCCATGATTATCCTTGTGAGGTTTGGTATGATGCTCATTATGAGGCTTGGTGTGATGCTCTTCAGGTGTAGTGGTGGTGGTCAATGTATCAGGTGCGGTTGTAGTAGGTGTCATTGTTGTTGTGGTCAATGTATCGGGTGTGGTGGTTGTTGTTGTTGTATGCTCATTGCCAGTGGGTGTGGTAGTAGTAGGAGTACCTGTTGATTGGGTGGCACCTGTAGTAGTTGTTCCATGATGTTCAGGTGTAGTAGTGGTGGTAGTCTGAGGAGTGGTAGCAACATGCTCTGTGGTTGTGGGCGTGGTAATGCGTGGAGCTGTTGTTGTAGCTGTTGCATGGGTTGCTGTTGTAGGTCGAGTTGTTACACCGCCACCAGGAGTAGTTGTCGTTGCTGTTCCTGGCACAGTGGTTGGTGTTGTTGGTCTACTTGTTACACCCGTTGTTGTTGTTGTGGGTAATGATGCCGATGGTGAGCTGCTGGGAACACTCAAAATCTCGTGACCAAAGTTAACCTTCCAATCACCACCAACCGAAGCACCCCATCCAATATCAGTTGATCCAAAGATATCCACCGTGGTATCCGTGATGGTTAAAGTACCAGATGGGAAAGTGAGAATGATGGTTGTTGGTGCTGATGATGATCCTGTTGGAGATGTGATGGTATTGGAGCCGCTGGGTGTTGTAGAAGGTGCACTCGTGATGGTATTAGGGCTGCTGCTGCTGCTTCCAAACACGTTGCTGGTAGTCAAGGGACCCGTGGTTGTAGGTGTGTTCGTTGTTGGTGTCAAATCAGAAGATACCGAATACGTGGGAAGTAAAACTACGCTGGTGGTTGTTTGGCTAGGCGTTGGTGTGGTTGATCCTCCAATAGACGATGTTGGTGCTATGTTTGTTTGGTAAGTAATTGGTCTTGTAGCAAATGCTAATATTTGTACCTGTGCTTCCTCCAGGGGTTGTGGTTGTTGGTGTGCCTATGGGCGATATCAATAAGTTTATGATGATCCAATGTCACATAAGGCAAAGATGAGATTTACCTGTGATAGGAGGAGTGGATGAAGGAAGAGTGGTTGTTGATGGCAACACCTTCGTTGTTTGAGCTATAAGAGTAAATGTCAGACCAAATTTTGAGAATTGAATGTAAGATGTAATAACATACTCGATTTTGTGGGGGTTGCAGGAGTTCTTGTTGATCCTAAATGAATTTGCATAATCAGTCACCTATTCCTTATCATGCTGTATGATGAAGTTACCTGTTTTGGAAGATGTTGGTGGAGTTGATGTTTGTACATTAACGGGTGGTGATGAGGTCAAGGAGGACAAGATGCAAGATGTGCAAGGCGTGGTTGTAGAAGCTGAAGAAGGGAGACATGTAGGACATGCCGTGGTGGAGGATCCTGGTGCAGTGGTGGTTGCTGAAGAGATACATGTAGGACATGTAGTGGTGGGCGATGTGCTGCTTGTAGCTTGGCTAACAGAGGAGGATCCTGGTACAGTGTTGGATGTTGTAGGATGACATTCTCCCACCGTATTCGTTTCCACCACCGTGTTGGTCACTGTAGAATGGCATTCTTGTACTGTATTCGTTTGTAACACCGTGTTGGTTGTTGTAGCATGGCATTCTTCCACTGTATTCGTTTGCAATACTGTGCTGGTGGTTGTTTGATCACATTGGTTGCTGGTAACGGTTGCTTGGCATTCACTCACAGTAACGGTCGCTTGTGATCCACCTTGTCCTGCTGTGGCAGATCCACTGCATACGATATCCGAATCGGTAAGAATACTGGTTACTGTGGCAATAGCCGTTGGGCAATTAGCATTGGCACCATTGCTGGAAGTATCCACGCCTTGACCATTGGTTGCTGTTGCATCACAATTTTCCTTAAGCGTCACCGTTGCCTGGCAATCACCTGTTGCAGCATTTGTCACCGTAGCCGTGTTTTCAACAGTGATCGTGGCGGCTGCAGTACAGGGTGTGGCTTGATCGTTGGGTGATGTGGCGCTATCTGTAGAACCTGGGCTGCAGGGGCAATATGCAACTCCATCATAAAGCACTTGCTCACGCTATAATGAACATTCCATTAGTTGAAATTCCAATTCTACTATGTGAAGCACAAAGAGGCATTTGCTCCATGGCAACACATCTCCCCCCCTATTTCTCGAAGCTTACCTGCACATGTGCGAACGAGCCATCTGAACGTTTTTCCATTAAAGCCTATGTAGAATACATCATCTTGAGTCACTCTTCAATGTTCACCAAAGAATAGATCAATCCACATACCTTATCATCGGTCACCATACGGAGTTGTTCATCATCCGAAAGCTTTTCGGCAAAGTACGTATGCACCATATCGAACATTCCTTTACAGGTTTCATGCTCTCGATTGCTCATGCAGTAGTTGATAAGCATGCTATCGGTAATAGAAGCTTCATTGTCTATGTAATGTTAGCATCACGTTAAAGTATATGGATAACTTTGATCATGGTTTTACCTTGAGTAAGAGCTTCAGGTGTAGGTTGAGCTTGATCAAATTGTGTGGATGAACCAAATCCAAAAAAGGCGGGGAAACTAAAACATAAAAGAAGGTTAGCATTGTATGTAGAGAACAACCATGATCCATAGCCACTTACGAGTTCACAAGCGTTGTTCCATAACAAAGGAAGAGCAAAATGGGCAGTATCATATACTGACCAAAGAGCATGTTGAGATAAATAGATACGAGCAAGTAGCTGTTTGATAAAAGAAAGAAGTAAATGTAAATGTGGGTGTTTGAAACAACGAAGAGCGGCTGTAATATATACCTTCATGAATCGGGGACACCATTTAAAGCTGGAAAGGTACTTTGGAACGCCCTTATCATGCTGTAGATGTTAATGATGTATTAATAGAGCGGAGACGTTGATATAATCAAAGAGTGAGAGCGAGAGGGAAGATTGTGTGTATCGCTTACTTTGATATTGGTCCACGGTCCCCAATCATCTGCACAAGAGGCACCCAACAAGAATAAACACAAACACAGGTGTATGTGATAGAGAGAGAGAGTGATAGAGAGATACGCCGACTTTGGTGATCCTCAGCGATATGCATTGTCCTTTGGCTGGCATTTGTGGTGTCAATAATGGTACCAGATCTATGCAGGATTTACAGTATGTATGAGAACCAAAATAATTACATCATGCTCGTTAATCCAATGGTGATGATAGATGAAAGCGAGCGATTGGATTCGTACATAACATTTACCTTTGATTCCAAACCAGCAAATGGGATTGCCCAGCAGCAAGGGATTGATGATGCAAAATGGTAAGTAATAAAGCGGCCTTGTATCTTGGTTTTGGGAATTGGTTGGATCCATCAAACCAGGAAATGGTGGAACAAGCGATCTATTGCAGTTTTGACGGGTTCGATCGACATAACATATGAGGCATAGGTGGGGCGTACGTAGAGAGTAGTACTAGTAGTAAGAGGTCCAAGGGCGCGGCCAGCCATGGAAGGACCCTGAAGCTGAATAAGGAAATCGACCTACGCATACGGACCAAGAGTTAAAAAGTATTGCAGTACAACAGTTGGCATTGTGAGAACCCATCCTTATTTTCCCTATCAACACGAAACAAAAAACTTACATTCTCTGTGTATGTACATATGCATCCCTATGTACCACGGGTACTATCTTCCTCTCTATCAATAATAAACAATGAGAGATACGAGTCAAAGAAGGGGTGTTGGTCTTAATTGTCACTTACCATCATCATCATCACGTAGAAAGAGGGTGGGGGGGGAGAGGTATACCGAAGAAACCAAACATTGCTGCTACTACCACCACTACTCACATGAAAAGGAGGAGGAGGGAGGAGGAGGGAGGAAGCTATGATGATGAATCATGTGCTCATATCACAAGATAATGCAACTGATGTATAATCAGCACAATTTGAACTTACCCCAGAGCTGCGTCAGTGTTCCTATGTCGTCTTTCGGTCTTTTTCCTTTGAATGCATGGAGTACGATCCACCACTGTTTGAAGGCACCAGTCGTCAAGTAAAGTCGTTACCATGACCAAGTCGCATCTTGAAGAGTCTAGTTGTTGAATTGGGGGGTCGTGATTGTTAGGAACGATTTATCAACAATGCTCTATCGTACCTCGTCATGGGGTTTGTTGCATTCACCTTGGTGAGCTCCATGGTGCATGGCTTTGGAAAGTCGCCTGTTCACTTTTTGTTTGGCAAGTGGAGAACAAAGAAGATGTGTATGTGCGTATCCATGTTTTGACATTTCTTTTCCACCATAGGCATTAGTGTCCTTGTTGATGCACTGTGTTTGCGAAAACTGGCAAGTATCATCATCATCAAGATAGGTGGTGTAGATGTACACTTTATTGATTCTAGTGGTGTATAATAGATGAGCTGGTGGAATATTGGTGATCTTGATCCCAAGTTTAAATGGCTTATTATTGCACAGGCGGCTTCTTTGACACTTTTATGCATTGTGGCGAACGTTTACATTTGGAGTCCTCCAACCACATGTACCGCTTGTTGACTTTATCCTCCTCCACTACTTTTGTAGTAGTATTCCAAGATATCCCCCATCTTCATTCCACCCCATCAGAATGTATCCAAAAGAAAAATTCTCATTTTAATTATAAATCAGTAGTCTAATAAGCAAAACAAGGCAAAGTGAGTGTGCATGGATGCAAAAGGAACGGGCATGCAATGGGAGGGGAGGGGGCAAAATGCAGAGGACTGTATACAAGAGAGAATACATGTGATATGAACATGGGAACGTATAGTAAGAGGAGGAGGAGGTGGTGGTGGTTGGGGAATGAAGGTGGTGAGAATGGAAAAGAAGGGTTGTTAGTGGATCTTGGTATCCCTTCCAGCCGTTGCAGCATTCCATCGTCCAGCGATCCATGATTGCAACGATGATCCAACATTGTCGCCGCTACCCACATCCGCCGTTGCTGAGGAAGAAGTAGGTAATACATCCAAAGATTTCTCCCGTATCCTGGATTCTCCACGATCGACATCCCGCTTGGCACTTTGATACATCCATAATCCAACAAAGGTCAAAAGAATACCGATCCATTGTGCAAATGACACGACTTGACCAAACCAAATAATGCTCATCACAATCACGAAAATACGCTTCACCAAGGAGGCAATCGAATACGTAACAGGCGAAGTCATACTCAATGTCGTGAACGCGAACCAGTTTTGAGAAAAGTTGGTGATACCATTGAGCACAAAGTAGACGATCAATTGTGTTGTGCTGACATCGCGTTGTTCTTGTTCGCTGCTGAATAAGAGTCGACCTCCATCCGAATACAACCACAATGGCGACATGAGTACAAAGGATAACAATGACGAATAAAAGAGCATGTTCATCTTGTCAAGTTTGTTGGGATCGCCTTTGCCGAGATTGGATTCCTTGAATAGCAACTTTTTGCTAAAGATGTTTTGCGTGACAAAGACAAGGCAGGACAAGAATGCACAGATCAAGCCAATCAGATTGTTGGAGAAGGTGAACGTGCAAGCGAGGATCACACCAAGAGTGAGTGGCAACAAAGATACGTAAACACTGGATGAGTACTTGACATTGAAAATGAATCGATAAAACATCACTGTGAACAAAGGTGCCAATGCCTAATAATCAAGATGCATTAATTTGGGGGTGCACACACTCCTACACACATATGGTAATCCTATTTACCTTGATCGTGTGTACCAAACTCACGGGTACTCTGCTAATAGCGATACTTGAAAATACATGACCCACAATCAAAAAGCCTGCCAACGGAGACATGGTCGTTGCTATCCGATGGGTTGGTCTTCGAATGTCGGTGATTTTGAAGAGCACAGCTGCCATATAGCAAAACAACGCCACGAGGCCGAATTGCACAAAGGTCAACGTGACAGGATATCTGAAGACGTTCAAGATCTGCTTGCCAGTGTTGTTGGTCAACGATGATGATGAATACCACATGCAGCAGTTGAGAATGAATTTGAGATTGTCCGATAACGAGAACTGATGAGGAACCACAAGGTTGACAAGATTTTGCAAGGGATTCGCTTGGGTCGAGTCAACATGGCGAGTCGAGAGATCCGATTCAAGATCGTGGTCCTTGAATGCGGACGAAGGAAAGCCGGTGGATGAAGGCGGAGAGGGCTGTTGTTGATGAGGTTGCAATGAAGGTGGTGGATAGCTGTATTCCTCTGACGATGGCAACGGTGGAGTGGGAAGAGACTGAGGTGCATCACTAAAGCCGCCATTGCTACGGTTATAGAGTTGCTGCTTAAAGTAATGAGTGGGTGATGTGGGTGATCGGGTATCAAGTTCAAAAGAAGAAGAGGACGAGGAGGGTGGTAGAGAGTTCTTCCGCTTGGCGACAAAGTTGTTGTTGTTGTTGTGATGGTGATGATTGAACGTATTGTCACTGCTGGCATCAGGCACAATGATAGCAGGCCCTTGCGATACCATGGTAGCAGCTGGCATGGTGATGCAAGTAAAAAAAAAAAGAGGGTGTGCTTTGGAAAAAGAAAGAGAGAGAGAAAAAGGAGCGAGGAACCTTTTCTGGATGTATCCTAAATCGGTAAAGAAGCCTTGTCTCTTATTTTAGTTCGATCCCTCATGGCTAAACTGATTGGCAGATCGTCCAGGCGATACCAAATCAAAAACATTCACCCTTAGTAGGCTTAGGCTGCTGCTGCTGCTGCCCACTATTTTGCTAATGCAATTTGCTCTCTCACAATCATTGTCACCTGCCCTTTTACTTTTATATAAATACAATGATGACATCAATATACAAAAGCATACACACAATCACTAAAAATATGATCCATCTTTCCATTGGGCTTATCGCCCCGTGTAACAAATCTTGCTCAACGCATGTCTCAATCCGACACAAAAGCCACGGATGGGGAAGATTATAGACTGTACACTCGTCGTCTATTTTACAACCGGAAACAACGTAATAAAAGGTACATCATACTACCAAAGAATCTAAAGGCTGACATGGCTGCCACGGTCCACAACACAACACCCGTGTATGACATGGACACCTCTCGCATATATTCTTCCTCCGTTTGATCATCGGTGGATAAGAAGGATCGAAAACTTCCGCTCGTGACAAAGGCAACCAACAATGCGTTGCATCCTATCCAGGCCAAAACAAGCCTGGTCCTGAATCCACGATAATAATCATCTTGCTTCATATGAGGCGGTCGGCTCTATAATGGGCCCATCATTAAAATCCTTTTCACTTGAACGACTACAACGCTTCCTACTCACCTGTGTTACAATGTCTTGCTTGATTTGCAGGTTTTGTAAAGCGGCGTCATAATACTTGTCAATCATTTCTTGTTCCTCCGCCATTTCCACCTCCACTTCCTCGATTCCTTTCTCTGTGTTGACTGGTTTACTCGCTACACCAAGGTCCATCGGTAATGAATTATCACCCTTGGTACCCCAGCTATGTATGAACCCCAATGTTGAGTGAAGGACTCCTATTACAAGACACAGCTTACATTCATTACCTCACATCATGGGTGTTGCAAAAGGCGTATACATTGAGGATATTGACATAGGTGGGTAGCAGGAGGAGATATTGGATCACGCTCGTAATCATATGCCATGGATCAAGATAAAGCAAGCTTGACAAAATGTATAGCCCATACGTCGAAATCGTCGATATAAAGATGTTTCGGAATTCAGCTTCGCCGATAAGAATCCCAAGATTTATCATTGCATTGTTGTCTTGGCTCCATCCTGCTTCCTGCATGCCCTTGACAATGCTTTGTCGCATAAGCCATCCACCAGCAAAAATGGTATAGCCCATGATAACTGCATACGCCAACACAGAGACCACAAACATCCACTTGGACCTGCATCATGCAATTAGCACACACACACACACACACCAAATAAGATGCATCCACAATGCCCACGTGCGACTTACCCTTGGGGTCGATTTCCCATCGAGCATATAAAAGAAACGATGAATAAAAAGATGTACAGGTACCGTAAGGATTCGAAAATGCGTTCACCCCATCGATTGCCAATGGGATCCATATCAGGGGGTGAAAGTGATTTGCTGACAAAGTAGCATGTCAAATAAAAGTTGGCCTGGTTTGATACATGAATGAGAAAAAGAGCATGCATCAATAGGAGGCGGGATCACTTACCATGCCTAGCCAATTGAAAACAAGGTTGGCAAAGTTGAATGCAAATTGCACAGTCAACATTAGCTTCCTTGCCACCGAATGACTCGTGCTCCATACACGATGAAAATGGCACGTGGAATAAATGGCAGCAAAAAAGCTCCCATTCAACCAACGACGTCGTTGGGAGAGGAATTCAGGAAGTTGATCAGGGCAATCCGTTTCACCAAATGCAGACTGTACATATTTGAGCACCCATTTTTCATGTTTCTTTGCCAGCAATTCAAAACATAAGATACGATCCTCAGCAAGATACATATTGGCGGTGAAGATATCAGAGGATGCTGATACACCATGTTCACCCAAAAAGTACTTTTGCAATGGACCTTCATCATAATACGTTAGCTCTTTATCTTATACGCATGCACGCAAACGCAAAAGCATTACCGTTTCCATGGCAATCATTTTGAAGAGCAGCATATCGATAGGCCGAAAATGCACCTGGTAGTACGGAGATGTACCCAAACACGGATTCAAGCGGCTTGTCAAGGATGTTGGACATTTTGTATTCAAAGTTTTGTGCTGCCACCAAAGGATTCAACAATGCCATACCACCTTTGGTTTGCACACGTATCTCACCACAAGCCCCTGCAATGGTAGCATTCAAATCAAAGGTTTTCCAGATATGGTAGATGGATGTGTTGCCAGGCCTTGTCCCCACATCCAACAAGACACACACATTCGGCTGGAGAATCGGGCCGAAAGCATTGAAGAACCAACGATGGGAATTGATCTTTTTTGCATTTTGCTCCTTGAGACAAAAGAGGATTTGCACTGGCACAATGCCTCTTTCAGCACCTTTGATGCGCATATCCGGATCCACCGATACTTGAACTGTGTACTACATACAACATGCTATGGCGTTAGAAAAAGGAGGGTGGGGGACTCGAGTCGTAAAAAGAGGATGGTGTGATACACGTGCTGCAATCTTTCAGGAATGGAAGTTCAATTTTACCTCGTACAAATGAGCCTTGACAGCCTTGTCATTCACCATATTTTTGGCAACGCCTCTTTGGTAGACACCCATAGCTGCAAGCACATTCAAGACATCGGGATCGCACTTGTTTCGGCCATCGGCAACTATACATACAACCACCTTTTTCCATCCTTCGGTATCCCACATTTGAGAACGTGTTCTTGAGCATAGATGGGCTATATTTTTCATGACACCATGCATGGTTCGACAAAACAACTCGCGATCTTCCTATAATAGTGCCATGTTAGGGTCTTGCATACGCTTGACAAGGCACCGTTACATACATTGTACATGGTCATCACGATAAATAACTCCGTTTGACGATTCATAAGACGAGGACGCAAGGTGTAACGTGATCTGGCAAAATCATCTGGATCGCATGTTACTGCTGAATAACGCATGTGGCTGAATTCTGTATCTTTGCGTGGGTTGGCATGCATGAGTCGTGATGGCACAGGGCATTCAATCACCAAATTGCCCTTGTATAATGGCACTCGCTTTGTTCTTTTTGTTGGATCATTGCGTCGAGATGAAGGCATGGAGTAACTTTGTTGATGGCGATGATACGATGTTGCATGATTATGATGGTGATGATGATGATGGTGGTGATGACGATGAGCAGCGGCAGGTGGTGGTGTAGCTGTCATTGCTGGTGATGAAGCAGCCATAGTAGGGTGCTGTCGATGATGCGGGGTGGTGGATGGTGACATGTAAATGGGATGCATAGATGGCATAGGTGGCACATTATCATGTATTGCTGGGTTGGCCATGTACACATGCTGTGTTCGACTTGATGAAGAATCTGCAACAATAGGATGATGCTGTTGCGTCAGGGCCATTTTGCGGAAATTGGGTGTTGATCGACCACCACCACCAGAGACCATGTATTGACCTGGTGATGTTGGATGAATACGTGGTGATGCAAGAGAAGGAGATCTAACAGAGTAGGCATCATAATGCTGATGACCGAGTGAAGGATTGCTTTGATCCATGACGAGAAAGAAAAGTGTATCCGTGCCTTGCGAAAATTTCCGGCTGCAACATGATCACGACGACAATGAGCAAAGAGATGAATAAGCACACCCACACATATAATGAGCCCAGGGGTAAACCATCGGTCTTGATTACAACATATCCCATCATAGCTGAAGCTACATGTTGAATCATCTTTTTATTGATCCTTGTACAAGCAACTTGTTGGCCTGCATGAATATGGCTCGGTAGCGGTAGATTTTTTTTACTCTTGCTCCGCTTCTTCTTGTGATCACCAATGCTAAAAACATGGATGCACAATGAGATGAGCAGGCTATCAAAGTCATACGTTTGCCACTAATAAGAACAGGGAAAGAAAAGGCGGTTGATTTGCTGCTGCTGCTGTGTTGCATCATGTCGCGTGATGATGGTGTTTTTTGTGCTACATTACCATGTACGCTCTTCATTTGTGATGCATTCCTTGATAAGCTATCTGACAGTTGTGTTTGATCGGTTGATCGCCTCTATAATAAATGAGATCTATAAGCTGGGCTATAGGAAAACATATATGTGGAACATGCGGCTCTCGTTGTAGAGCAGCGAAACATGGATCGGAAAAAAGATCCCTCTACACTTCCAAAGATCGATCCAGTTCCCGAGTCGCATATGGATCTTGAGCCAGTTGGGTAAGTACATACACCATGTACACACATCTTGCCGCGGCAAACATGGTAAGGATCGGTATTATTCCTTAGCATTGCTGTTTCACAGCAAAGCGGATCTTGGTGGGTCCCTATCAAGCGAAAAAAAAGACCTATCGCCCTGAATAGATAAGGTTGCTCAGCGTATCATGCTGATCAAAAAATGTATAGTCTACAATGCGGTGACAAAGCATGAAAAGGCATCCCACCACGTTCACATGCTTATCTTGAATCCCCTTATCTCAATGCTAATTGATTCATTGTTTCTGTAGTATACGAAGAAAAAGGCAAAGTGTATACGTAGGAGCGCTGCATAAGCAGCCTATAGTAGCTGGGAAAAAGAGAGGGGAAGGAATTGTGTGTGACGACCACGATACAAAAGTAGATGGCTTGACCAGAAGCGTGGATGGATAAACATGCATGTCCGGCAATAAGGCATTGACGTGTGTGTGAATAGTACATAGGACGCACATACAAAGGACGCAAGGGGCGGGATGAGACAATGTGTCATTTGACATTTGCCTACCTGAGTTATGGATCGCACTAGACAAGACAAGGAAAGTAAACAATGCCGGGGATTTGTGATGCATGTGTGCAGCAGCAGCAGCAGCTGCCAGCTTGTACATGTGTAGAATGAGCCATTTGGATTTTTCAGGTGATAATTGCGTGAGTGAATGTGTGAGCACAACACTGTAATTTAATGATGTTGTATATGAGAATAAAAGGTGAGCGTGTGTGCCATCACGAAAATAGTAATATGGATATCATTTGACCAATCACTGACAGTTCATGGTAACATCCATATCCCTGGGGCAACGTAAGCTTCAACAATAATACAATATAGCGATGATAATAGTGAGGGAGAAACAAAAAGAGTAGTCGAGGCCGTGGAGAAAGTTGCATTTTTTATCTTTGCATGCAATTGACAACTGCGTGGGAAAGAAAAAAAGAGTATCCACCATCATTCATTGTTGGTGGTATCCTGGATACCAGCAGCAGCACATAGCAACACCATGTTGGCTGATAAGGTGTGATATGCATGAAAGGGCGATCCATGTTGAGAGGAGGCGATGATCAATGTGGAGTATTGAGCACTGGAGTACAGCTGTATATTGAAGATGTGGGTGAATGTGGGACACATTCCAAATCAGTACAATTTGGCAGTATGACAACGAGCACGCGGTACTTTCTCACGCAGGAACAGGGTTGGCGTAGAAATCTTGTGCGTGTGTACATTGGACGGTACTCATACACGGGCTTGGGTCCCTTTTGGATGCGCAGTAAAAAGGTGGTGGTGGTGGTAGTAGTAAAGCAATCGTGTTGGAAATATAGCAACAAGTTGTTTTAGTAAGCTGAGCTTGTTGATCCTGGAGGAGGAAGCGCGGCGTTGATTCCGACCAAGATGACTGATTGTTATCAGTCGTATCCAATTCCCTCGCCATTGGTCCCCTGTACTTACAGCTTACGGCTTGTGTAACATCCATCATCAAATGTGTGTTTTATTTTTCCTTGTGCCAAAGAAAAGCAACATGATCAATCTTTGTCGTATTTAAATAACTTTCCCACATTCGCATCTCTTTTTTCCCTCACCTTATTCGTTGATCGTTTACTCCCCTTCCCTCCTCCTCCTCTGTCATGCCGTTTTCTACGGTCGAACGATCATACAAGCGTTTTAGACCGACTGATGCCTTTGATATTGATGAAGATGACCTCTACTCTCATTATTTCACTCCACCGGTAAGAACCTCTCCCCCCGCACCCCTTCCTTGTCCCTTTCTTCTTTCTTTGGTCTCAATGTATACCTAATGTCTCGATTCAATCGCATTGCAGCACTCCATGGTAGCCTCCATGCAACCACCTGCCACTATCGGCAGCAACTACGTTCCGACAACGACAACGACAACACAACGAATGTATCAGCGAAAGACACCATCCTTGCCAACAATAGACACCATGAGCGACTTTGGAAGCTTGCAATACAACAACAGCCCTCTTACACCACTTGAGTCTGGCAGAGGCAGCATTGATATGGGCAGCAGCTTTGATAATGAGGAGATCCCTGAAGAAACCATCAGTGGTGGTTCACCCACATGCACGTTCAACAATAGCCAGATGATTTTACAAGATACTTCTTCTTCCAAGTTTCATATCTCGTATACCGATCTTGGTTTCAGCATTGAAGCTCGTCTTGCCAATGTATCCGATTTGCGAATGTTGATCGATGCTTTCAGCTCAATATGCATGCCATCCCATGAAGATGATCATCATCATCATGTTGGTGATCAATCATCCACCTCTTCAAGCACAAGTCCACAATCAACAAGCAGCAGCAATAAGGGCATTGTACTGTATCGCAATCGAAGTTCACGTACCAAACCAGTCAACTTTTTCGCCTCCGTGAGCTCGTTGGGGCAATTGATGCAACCTCATTCAAAGCATGGACCTCGGATGAGTTTACGACAAATTATGGATTTGTGTATTGATACCTATTTCACATGTTGGGTGCGATACACATCCATCTTGGCACGAGACGAGTTCATGACCTGGTACAAGAATCATCCATCACCCAGCAAAACATTGATTGTCAATGCTATTTGTTGTCACATTTTCAGACATGCCATGGTCCATCACGCCCCACCAGAATTATCACGCTTCTTTTTGACTGATACACGCCTATTGAATGAACAAGAAGAATTCTTTTTCAATCGTGCACGTGATTGCTTGGCACAATCCTTTGATTGCCCTGATCGACATATGGTGGTCGCTTTGTTGCTTATGGGCAGTCGTGCTGAACCAAGTCGACAGCATCAATACGCTGGCATGGCTGTCCAAGCCTTGCACGAACTCGAAATTTACCCACGGGTGGATACGGATACCGACAATGAATCCTTTGATAAGGAAATGGATACTCGTCTTTGGTGGTACGCTTGGGCTATCGATTTTTACTTGTATTCTTCTGGTCTTCCCAAGAATACCCCACAGACTCGTAGTGCTCTTCCAGTGGATTTACCCCGAGTATTCGAGCAAGACATTGATGAAGCAGAGATTGGTGTGCTGGCACACGTGCATTGCCTTGTCTTATGGCGTATGCAAGCTGAAATTGTCAATACGTTCTACGAGCAGGACTCTGAAATGACGGTCGAGCAGCTGCACTCTTACGACACACGCCTCTTGACATTATATGAACAACTACCCGCTTATTTGCGATTCAACAGTGGTTTCGAATACGGTTGTGAAGATCTCTTTGTCGCATGTTTACGTGTCAACATTGAATACAACGCAACACGTATGATCCTTCACAAGCTCTTTATTCCAGACGTCAATGACAGCTATCATCCAAGTCGATTTTCCCTTGAATCTCTCAACATTTGTCTTTCCACAGCATTACGGCAATTGAGGACACTGAATACATGTCTAAGGACCACCTATGGACCATGTGCATTTGATCGAGATGAATTATGGCGTGCAGCTGAAATCATTTCTATGGCTATGGATATCCATCGAGCTTGCGGATCACCCATCATTCTTAAACAAATTGATCGAGATGAATATGAACAAGGATTGGAAATCGCACTTGAAATGCTCAAAAGAACCCCTGAATATCAAGTCAAATGCAAGGATTGGATCCAAGTGGCTGATTGGCTTGACGCTGAATTAAGACGACATCAATTATATCATGCTCATCCAGATCAATCATCATTGCGCAAACGTCCCAAATCACCCGATTTCTTTTTGGCCAATTTGAAACCATCAGCAAGACAACATCATCAGCAGCAGCAACATCCTGATCAACAACAACAACAATCAGCCTTGTCATCATCATCTTCATCATCATCACCACCAATAACCGCTAACGATCATACCATTCTTGAACAACAAGCAACGCATGAATTAACACCATCCGGATCTATGCTATCAGTCTTATCGTTTCCTCCACCTCCACCAACATCTCATTTACATCAACAACACCAACAACACCAACAACAGCAGCAGTTAAATATGTCATATTCCACCCCATTCTCATCTTCCATCACTTCATATAATGCTCCACCACCACCTCCACCATCACAGCAATCAAGTTCAACTGATCATACACATACCAAGGCATTTGTTCACTTTAACCCTTATACACCACCTACGCCTCCACCATCACAGCGACGATCCTCTTCTTCGTCTACATCTTCTCGGTCATCCACCATCAAAGCCAGCAATCAGACACGTTTCCGCTACTTTAATCCTCGTAAAATGAACAAGTTTCTATTCATTGATGAAAACCCCACCTTGTAGTTCTATATTGTAATAAATACATACTCTCATAATCGTATACATAACGGCTAAATGCAAAACGTTTATTGCTATACTTTACATGGCGGTGCCAGGGGGTGGTTGTGATGATGATGATGATAACTTGGACAACTTTTGACGCAACTCTTCATATGCACTCTCACTTTCAGCATACTTGACTTTGAGACTAATGAGAATAGCTTCCATGTCTTGTAGCTGGTTTTCAAGGTGTTCGTTTCGTTGAGCGAGATGTTGCTTTTGGCGCTGGATTTCTTGGATATCGGGCAACATGGCCTTGAGTTGGTCAAGCTCGGTACGGGTATGTGATAGATCCATGCGCAATTGTTGATTCTCCCCATCAAGTCGGGCAACACTCATTTTGGCATCAATCACTTGCTGCGTCACGTCCTTGTTTTCTTTTTCCAACGTGGCATAGGATTTTTCAAGACGTCGCACATGGCTGGATAATTCCTGATTCACTTGGCGTAAATGCTCTTCTTGTGATTGTGTTTTAGCTTCTCTTGCTGCCTCAGCACTATGTTGTTTGGCAAGTCGAGCAAGCAATCGTGCTGATACATCCATTTTGTACGCATCTTGCACGAATCCTCGTTCATCATCCTAGTAGACACACATCCATCAGCCAGCCATTCCTTTTGGGTATCTACCATCCTAATCCTTACCTTGTATGTATCATAGATACCATTGTTCAAAAATTCCACCAAGGCTTCAAATTCAAGACCCATGAGCGTATGCTGGTTACGGAACATGAGAGCCAATGCAAATCGTAATATGAAATGAGTTCCTTCCACAAACACCAAATCAAAGACACGATAGACGAGATGGAGTGGGCATTTGGATGAAAAGAGCGTAAGGAACCACTGAGAGGCGTACATGCTGGGTCGTACACCTTGGGTCTCAAGATGTCGATGGACTTGTGGTAGCTTTTGTTGCAAGAGATGATCAAATTGGTACAAGCGCTCGTGAAGTAATTCCATCTGTGGCATAAACTGGTTTCGCAATCCATACTGGCTCATCAGCTTGACCAATACACAAAACGCAGTATCCTCGGGCATCTATCATAGATAACAATGAATACATGTTCCTCCGCATTTTCATTGTATGACTTACATGTAACAATAAACATCCTACGATAAAGGGAAGACCTTGACAATAACCCACTTGCGGATCGAATAAGCTGTAGGCTTTGATAACGTGGAATAGGGCTTCTTGTCCATTATCATCTTGGAAGAACTCATGGCTGGGAAATGTGCGAGATAAATCACGTCGAATGGATTTTTCATGTGGACTGATACGCTTGAGCAATTCCTTGTATTCAGAATCGATATCCGTTGTATGATTCCGGGACTTGCAAAGAATCTGCCACAAGTACCCACGCAATGCGGATGGAACACCCATAATCATGTGCTGCTTCACTGCCTCAGGCTCGGATCGTATCATTTCAGCATCTCCCAAAAGTGATTCCCAAAAGTCTAATATTAGCCTTTGTTAGTATACACATATAAATAGCATGCTCACAAAACGTACCCCAATCCTCGCTATCAGGTTGTTCTGGTTTAAGCGTCTCGATAAGATATTGCCTTGCTTCCTCTCGAAGAGCCATTTGTTTGGGTGATTCACGTGGCAATGGAAGTGGATGATCTTCAGATTGTCGACCAAACTTGGACATCAACATGTCGTAATAACTTGTAGCACTAGCATAGGAAAGTCGACTTGCATGAAAAGAGGTTGATGGGGAGGATGGCATGGATGCTGAATGACCACCACGATAAAACTCGGACATACGTTTGCTTTGGCGTTTACGGAAAGATTGAGAAGGACGTTCAATAGTGCGTGGACGTGATGGCGGCGAGGTACAAGATGTGGAAGGTGATTCGGATCGCTTGAAAGGGTTAAAGGATGAAAGGGATCGTGCACTAGTGCTGGTGCGACCTTGTTGCTCAAAGGAATTGTTGGATCGAATAGAGTTGGTATCAGATGTTGTGGATGAAGAAGACGAAGATATAGCTGCATTATTCGATTCATTGGTTGCTGTTGTTGTTGTTGCTGATGATGGAGTATCTTTGGGAGGTGTTGGTGGTGCGGGTGGAGGAGGAATATCTTGTTCTATTGTAGGTGTCTTTTCTTCTTCTTCTTCTTCTTCTTCTTCATCATCATCTTCCTTGACAGGTTCACATGTTGATTGTTGTTGTTGTTGTTGCTGTGGTGATGGTTGCATAATAGATGATTGGGGTAATGGAGGAATAGCTGACTCATTAGGACGAGAAACAGTAGTAGCTCTACGACGTCGAGTAGTAACGGCTGGCATGGCTGGTGATGGTGATGATGATGATTCAACTGAAGGAGGAGTCATCGGCTTGGAGATGGTTGCTGAGCGACCTCTTCGAGTGACAAAAGCAGTAGTAGGCTGTTTTTCATCAACTACATCAGTGGTCATTTTATGAATGATGGTGGGAGTTGTCATGGTGGTATCCACCGAGAAATCAGTGTCGTCGTCCTCACTGGAGGTTGTGGTTGCTGAAGAAGAAACTGCCGAGTGTTGTTGCTGCTGCTGCTGCTGCTGCTGCTGCTGTTTGCCGTCATATTTGGTCTCGTTCTGGATACGACCAGCCGATGCCGACATGCGTTCAGCTCTCTCTGCTACTTGTGCATGCATCACTTGTTCCTCGCTATCACTCAGGTCCGAATCAGAGCTGCCGTCCCCCTCATCATCAGTCTTGACTTGGATGCGAAACCCAAAGTGATCGAGGTATTCGGAATGGTTGGGGTTTTCTAAGGCGTGATCGACAACATCGAGGTCGTACTCGCATATCGAAAAGCGCTCATCATCCGTGTGATCCGAATCGTGAATGTCGCTATGCTTATGAGGTGTTCCTGGAGACTCAGTGTTGGTTGCTGTCGTCTCTGGCATCAAAATGGGTGGGTGAAACAAAGAATACAAGGACGTACAAAATCATCTTCTCCACCACCTTGCAACCCGCCCTACTCAGAAGCCCAGACTAGTCTCTTTAGTCCAATCTAATACACGACCCAATGATTTACTTCACCCTAAAATAATGACTATCATGCAGAATATGATTAATGTAGCAAAAGCTATTATGTATAAATGCCTATCAGCAGTCTTAATTACAATCAAGTTTGCGTTACGTACCATCATCATAAGCTGTAAAGAGCACGTCGCTTATTTCAATGTATAAGACATGATCGTATTCATAGTAGTAATGATCATAATGTATTCATTCTTCTCATTGGCTCATCTTGATGTAGGGATGAATGCATGTGCAAGAACCAGGGGATGATCATCTTATATTACAAAGCCAGTTTTATCTTCAACGTTGCACAAGATCCATTTCTGAGTAGTGTGCTGAAGATTTCCAGGACATCGAACGCATTGACGTGACCCACTTACCATATGCGATGAATTCTTTTACTCACGTATATAGCCTCTCTCTCCACTTGCCCCACGTACACAATAAATTCTAATCCTGCACAATGATATCATCATACACAATTTGTGGCAAAAGCATAAATGAGATCAAGGGGGGAAATAAATACAAAGCTATATTACATTCTAGAACAGGAAAAAAAAAGGGAGGAAAAGGGAAAAGCTAATCACGATCATCAAAAAAGTTCCATAATCCACAATCTTGGCAGTCTTCTTGCTCCGGTTCACAATTGGGCATATCAAACTCATCAGGTTTCTTGAGAATGTTTTCAATAACATCTTGTACACGATGCGATCGAATATCCACTCGCCAATCATGGTCATTCACAGTATCCCACACACAAATCTATAAAAGGATAACGTAAGCATGAACAACCATCAGCTGCCATGGGAGAAAGAAAACGAGCCCTTTACCTTGCCCGTATGACATCGCGTCTCCATGGCAAACCCACCATACCAACAACTACTCATAGGACCCTATAAACCCAACATGAGCATCCCATAGCATTGGTATCGTAATTCATCATACCGTGCAAACACCAACAAAGATAGGATCACCGGTATGCCCAAAGTGCCATATGGGTAAATCAATGCCAGGTGCGCGTGGCAAATGCAAGCGCCGAGAGGGAAGTTCATCTCCAGGACTTTCAAAAGTGACAGTGGGTACACCAAATGTTTGACCAACCATGCTGGCTAGGGCCCCACCAAGCGAATGTCCAGTAAGCCAAACAGTCGATTCAGGATATCGGTCGCTTATGTCCTTGTAAATTTCCTACAAAGAACATTCGTTCATGAGTACACGCTCTTCCTTCCTCCTTGTAAACCACTTACCATTGCATGGTCATAGTATAGCTCTTCCTTGATTAATGTTTCTCCCAAACATCTTGCGTCGCATTGATAGGTGTTGCCAACAAAACAATCGCAATAAGCGTGCCATGCTCGGCTGATGCGTCCACAGCAGCAAGAAAAGAGCAAATTATCCTAAGCATCCATACATCAATATACAACCGAATCTTTCCATAATACATGATGATGGATTACTTACATTTTGTTTATCCTTGTCACCTGTGGGACCCCCAGTGAAAAGACCAGCACTTGTGCCTTTGAAGGAGATGATGAGAAGTGAATCATCGGCGTTGGCAAATACATGTCCCCGGATACCATCCGAATCCCAGCCAAAGGTTGAGTTCTATATGCAAGTGTGCCACCCGGTGTCAATGCTGCTGCAAGTTTATGCATATTCGATCCCGATCCACACACACGCACGCACACACTTACCACATCCCAAGGAGGTCCTAGTTCATACCAATCAGGGCCATTGCTTTCATTCACTGACGTATATGCATTGTTGGTCATGATGGCTAATGCGAGCACTGAAGGACGATGACTAATATCGGGTACGGGTCCCCATACTGTATCGAAGGCCATGGTATCATACGTGGCAATCGATGGCCAACGCATAAGCTTGCCTTGATCGCCAAGTTGACGCAACTGGTTTATCCCTCGAGGTCTTGACACTGGTTTATACATTGAGAGCACTTGCAACGCTTCATTCTCTTCCTCATTGGACGTTGTCATGACATCGTAACGCTGAAGATAAGACGACGGAGGGCGGTAGTAAATGGATTTCAGCCGAACAGTTTGGGGCTGAAGAGCGGGTGCATGGAAGGAGTCTTGGAATGGCACCCGAGCAAGGACGAATAAAGGAAATAAGGACAAGAACAGCAGCATGAGTAGCCGAGAATGCCTCATGATGGGAGAAAAAAGTCATACATGAGGACAACGAGCAATGCAAGGTTTAGACCACTTTTGAGAACGGACACCTTACCCCACTTGTTGCTCAGGCCTTGGGGTCACGTTGACCTCCTCTCATCTCCGCTGGTTGGCCACTTTGTGAAATCAATGACATGTTTTCTTGTTTGGCAAACGACGCAATGCTTCTTAATCACTTGACACACATCAGGGGGTCTTCCTTCTTTGACGTTGTTATGTATATGACACACGTGTTTTTGTAATATCCTTTGATACATATAAAACCTACATCATAGTGAACAGAGATCGACTCTGATGTTTATTTGTATTGCAGTTCCAAAACACATTTACGATAGAACTGGACATGTGCAAATGACAGAAAAAACATTGTCGAGACGAGGATCCGCTTTGATTTTTTCCGAGAGATGAAAGGTGGTGAATTGCCTAGCCTATCCCTTGTCACTCGTAGTTGAGAATAAGAATATCATCATATCACAAGCTCACTTTGGGGGGTTGCTTGGTTGGACAACGGGAACAATTTCCGATTTGTTATAGATTGCTTTCAATCATCGAAACAAAGCATACATTATAAAACACCTATTACAAGACGCGTGCCAATAGTCTCTCTTCTCTTCCGCAAAACGCCTTACATGTACGAACCACACTCGCAGACACAAGAGGATAGTGCGCTGGCATACGCACCATTTATCCTTGACCCTGCCTTACATGATGACTCTCCTCAGGGATTGGAGATAAAGTACATGGACATGCTGCAACAAAGCGATAGTCTGGAGATGATGTTGCAATCACAGGTAGATTTGAACCGTACCCCCACAATACACATAACATGATCTAATGCATGAATTTAAACTTGCATTGCAGTCAACATCCAATGACTTCACTTACTATGAAAACATCCCATATGGCGACGAGCCATTTCATCACCACCACCAACAACACCAAGATGCATCATCATCGTCATCTTTTGATCCTCTTTATCAAGAACAGTATCCACCTCCTCAATTTCCAACCACGGGTCATCCACCACCTCCGCCACCATCCACAGCACATCATCATCATCATCATCATCATACATCCATGTCAGAGCATCCAATGTATCCTTTTGGTAATAGCAGCATGGATGCAGTGCATCAAAATTCATCACAACCACCACCTCCTCCTCCACCTTATTCATTTGCAGCAGCTACAGCAGCAGCTGCTGTTGCTGCTGATCCAACAGGCATGATGATTCCTCCTGCTCCTATGCAACAACCCAACATTGTCGCTCCATCTCCTTTAGTTTCATCTTCTTCATCCTCATCGTTATCATCTTCCACATCCTATCCCAATCCAGCAGAACCACGACAACAAATCTATGTGCGTAAAGCTTGTGTTTCATGCAAACAATCGCATGTAGCATGTGATGTTCAGCGTCCGTGCGCCCGGTGCGTACGATTGAACAAGGCTGATACTTGTGTTGACGCTGAACGCAAGAAACGTGGTCGACCTTGTGGTTCTGGAAAAAAGAAACGTCAACAAGCTCAAGCAGCTGCTGCAGCTGCTGCTGCCGCCGCTGCTGCCGCCGCTTCTCGTTATCCAAGGATATAATTTTGAACCCTCCTCCTCCCCATCATCCCAAGTATAGATTATAATAGTAATAGCGCATATACATTTCTCTTTTCCCACTTACATAATCACCCCCACACCATCCATTAATATGTAAATCATTTCTTTTCATCCATTAATCACGTTCCATCATCACTGGTCTTTTACGTATAATCATCAATACACATATAGCGACATGACATTGGTACTTGTTTTCCCAAACACTCAATTGTAGTAAATATGTTTGTGTTCTCAAACGTGTGTATCAAAGTTCAAAACGAAAACTGGATTCAAACATGGACCAAGCAAACAAATGACAACACCCGTAATCTAATTTCTATTACTACTACTGCTACTAGTACGACCTTGTTGTTTCGCCCAGAATGATTTTCTCGGTTCCAACCAAGCGGCAGTCTGCTTGAGATGATCATCGGGTGTCAATTGAGGAAAGTGATCAAGCATCAATTTGTAGTATTTGCGTCCAAGCTTGTATGACTTTTGATTGCCGAAAAAGCGTAGAATGACATCCAACGTCCTCACTGATGGCACCAATCCCATGCTTTGTATAGTCACTGCTTCAGAAGGTTGGTATCTCGTATCATTTCTTGAGAATGGAGGGGGCTGGATCCCATAGAGACGCTCAATCACTTGCATAGCAAAAGATGGGCGACATGAAGCACGTGTCATTGCCGAAAATAGGTTTCTTTGCAGTGTATCATCCATATCGAGAAAAGTGGTATCATCCTTGTCATCTGGTTTGTCTTGTAATCCTTGTTCAGTTTCCAATACGCGCCTCGCCTTTTGTGCCAACAATGAATGTTCAGAGCCATCCTTTCGACTAGGTTGGGTTGACCATTGCTTATCCATGTGTTGCCATATTTCAATCACCAAAGCAGCATCCCCTTGCTTAGCACATTGTAGCACGGTGCTGTAGGATACATCATTCGGTACAATGGACATGGCTTCTAATCGATTCAATGCCTTGTTCATGGACACGCCTTTGTCTTTGTACACCCGTAATAATGCATTGTAGTGGAAGAGTGTCGGGTCTTCGATACGGCTAAACCATGTCTCAGCATTCGCAAGTGCGGAAGGTGACTTGGACTTGGACCACAATAACACCATCAGGGTATACGTCTTTTCATTAGGCACAAATCCACGTCTTCTCATCTAATCATTTACAAAGTAAGTCAAACCATCCTTTGCTTACATTAATAAAGATGCCTACCTCTGTAAAACATGATTCACCGAGTTGTCCTCGACCATGTGTCACACAATACTTTAACAACGTGTTCCATGCTGCTGTCGACTGTAGCCCGGATCGTAGATTGATAAGATACTCTTTGGCATCTTCAAAGGAAGCACGTTCGAGCAGCTGAGAAACACGAGTAGCTGCAACAACAGGATCAGCTGGAATGCGATAGAGATTCGGATGTTGACGTGCTGCACGAGAGTCGATCTTGAGGAATGCCGATCGTGTCGTTGTTGTGCTGAATGCTTTGTTCAAGACGTGGTTGCCATTGCTACGAAGGCATTGTGGCTGTGGAATGGGTATGGATCGCGTGACAAGACCTCGTCGACAAGCTTGAAGATACAAAGGGAAAAGTTTGTTGGAGGACATTGTGTTACAGACAACAAAGGAGAGATGTCGTCGGTCATGCAAATCACAGCAACCTTTCTTTACATCGTCGTCACGTGTCTAAATTGTATCCTTGGCGCTTTGACAAGTGGACTACATGAATATTGAGATACTACGTATGAGAGCTCCACTTTATCTTACCCAATTGACACCGATCCACGCAACCATTTGTCGTTCATGCCAAGGTGCTTTAATATGCAACAGATGCAGGGATACATAAAACCATAGTACAGTAGAGATAATATTGCCCACCTCGATCCTGAAACTTCTACACAGCGTTTCTTCAACCACATCGAGCAAATTCATTCTATTAAAGATCTCCACGCTTCATTGTAAAGCTTTGAGATATGACCCTCTTTATGTTTTCACTATGCTTTACTATGCGTGCATGATGTATATGAAAAGTGGTCTTTGTTCATTGTCAAGTTGCTAGACCCTGATACAGCAAAAGATGCAGAGGAGCGTATTTGTTTAAAAAAGTTAAGAGGGTAGCATTGGAACGGTCAATGTATGATACCTACTCTATCTACGGAATAGTCATAAATCGGCAGCTAACAACCACTTCCTCCCATTCTCAACTTTTTAACAAAACCAGTACATGTGAACAATGCTCCTGCTCCAGACATGTATTTCCATGGTGCAATTGTCTTGATCCGAGCTGATTTGGTTGAGCTACGGTCAAAGAGAGGATACATCACTCTGCACATAAATCATGCACTATCTACCTCAGCTGATGTTTCTTTGTTTGAGCGTAGCTCAGTCAAATTGGCTCGGATCAACGCAATTGAATCATGGAATTGTACACCTGGAGCAGGCGGATCGTTCACATGTCAAAGAATGGAACAATAGTGCCGATTGTAAGGAAATGGCTGCTAGCTCGCAATACATGGGCTATTGTCAATAGTATACAGTATCATGCTTCCATCTTTCCAGTCATGCAAGGTAGCTGTGTTACACGAAGACGTCCCTCTGTATCTTTTGCTCTGCCAGGGTCCACCTAGTTGACAATGAACAAAGACCACTCTTCATATAGCATCACGCTTACAAACATAAATGGTGCCTGTATCTCTAAACTTTACAATGAAATGTGGGGTCTTCAATAGAACAAAGCTGCTCGCCGGGGTCAACAGGATCTTGTGTGCCAGTTCCACGATCGAGGTGGCCATTTGCGAAATGTGGGATTGGCAACAACGATCGTGAAACTACCACACAAGGTGCCCTTGACCCAGCTGAGCAACAACGTTCTATTAAAGACCCCACGTTTGATTGTAAGATTTTGAGTTATGACTGTCTTTATGTTTTACTATGCTGGAAGCGTGATGCTATATGAAAAGAGGTCGTTGTTGAATGTCAAATAGCTAGGCACTGATAGAGCAAAAGATGCAGAGGGAAACTTGTTTGTGTAACAAAGCGTCAAAGAATCGATACTATTGGTGGAATGTGCATGACATGATGGATCCTTCCTCTACTACAGTAGGTCCGCCTATGATAGCCGTATGTAATTGTTTTCAGGTTAATCATTGTATGGATAATAGGCTAAATGAAGTCATTCCTATGAAAGTACCTTGTGGGAAAGATAAGAATGGGCGATGATGTGTTTCGTCTTCCAAGGTTCACTCTCATGAGTAAGGTTGCTAAATAAGGAAGCGCTTATGGTAGCGTATGCTGAAAACTGTTATAGGCAAGTACGCCACGGTCAATAAGCTAGAAATGATCAGTGTATTTGAAAGTGTCGTGTGGAGTGTGAGACGTAAAACTGCTTTTCTTGTGTCGCGAGAAGGTCATACTACAGTAAAACAGGATGTTTTTAGCTGGCAGGAGAGAAATGGCCATCAAATGTCGAACTTGATACGACGTTGTCAATGCATAAATGCTTTCGGGATACGCTGACCACTTCTAGCATATTCATTATACTATCTTGGATTGTGCAATCTTGAGATAAAGTACGAGTGATGATTTTTATTGGTATTTGTGTGATAGTGGGAGAATGAGTGGTATAGTTAAGGACGTAAATCGTACTAGCAAAAGGGTGATTGGGACTTGGTGATAGACAATGAATGTTGAAATGGTCATTAAGCGAGCTAGTGGATACCTCATCAGCCATACAGCATCTTGATTCATGCACTCCAGGCAGTCCAAAAGTGAAGAGATCACAGCTAGTAGAGTAATATGAGGGATGTACTCAATGAGATGCATCTTGTGCATGGTCATACAAGATGTCAATACGTAATTGGTAGCTCTTGCTGATGATGACTACTGTACATGCTTGAGAGCACGTGCAGCGACATGACGTCCATAAGGGTTAACGTCATTGTAATGAATACTAAAGACACAACGAGCCGAATACGTAGGATCGATAGGGAACATTCCCGAATAGTTGTACACACAGACGTCAATGGCAACGTGTTGCTATATCAATTGCGTGTGTGTGTGTGTGTATGTTTGTAACCGGATGCACGTTCCGAAAGGGCTGCTGCATTTTCTTTCCATCCCCACTCATTTTCTTTCTTGGCTTGCCCCCCACACTTGCTTCATACTATCACGGGCTGACGCTTTCCAATGGCGAAAAGCAAGACCAGCATTTTATCGACAACCTCTTCCACTGCTGCTGCTGCTGCTACCGCCACCGCCTCTAGCAATGTACCAACCAGTATTACCATTGTCAATGAATCCACACCACTCATTCCCAAGCATGGTCAGATCACTACCACGCCTTCTTCGTCCTCCACAGCAACCGACGCCAAAGTCCTCTCTTTGAGTCATGAGCCAGCTACACGGAAAAAGGAGATTGCAGGGTTGCTGCTCTTGACAATATCATCGTTGGCGTTCACTCTCAGTTCACTCTTTGTCAAGGAAGCAGGATTTACAATATCATCACTGGAGATAGTATTCGCACGTGCTATTATCCAATGTATCCTTTCATTGATCAGTTGCATTGTACTACGCATCAATCCTTTGGGTGATAAACCAGGCACTCGATTATGGCTCTTGCTCCGGGCATTGATTGGATCTCTTGGCTTGATCTTGTTCTTTTACAGTTTGGTACATCTTTCATTGACCGAGGCAACAGGTAAGTAGCCATGGGATAAGAAGTACAAGCTTCGTATTAACATCCATTCCCTAGTATTGTTCTTTCTCGGACCAGCATTTACCGTTGTGTTATTATCCATATTGTTCAATGACCCGTTTACAGTATTCGATGGATTTTGCTCAGTGCTATGTGTGGTAGGAGTGGTGCTACTGTCTCAACCCCATCATTTGTTTGGCAAGCAAACTATATCATCATCCGAGCAAGAGGATGACAAGAAGCGTACAATGGCTATTGTTTGTGCCTTGTTGGGTGCTCTCATGTCCGCTGCTGCCTATGTGGTCGTTCGTAAGGTGGGCAAAGGCATCCATTTCATGGTGCATGTATTCTATACGGGTGTCGTTGCAGCATTGGTCAGCCCGCTTGTTCTGTTTTTCTTGTTTCAACAAACAATTCCACCCATTGAGAAGTACGCTACACGTGAATGGACACAATTGGCGTTGGTTGGTCTCCTCGCATTCCTGGGTCAATGTTTATTACATCAAGGGTAAGGCTGTATTACTGAGTTCTATAGATGTGTGTATTAATAGACATTGTTTCATGCAGAGTTAAGCTGGCGCCACCTGGTCCAGGTAACAAAATGACAAAGTAATATGGAAAAGATCTTGACAGAGATATTTTTAGGGACATTGATGCGTATGAACGACGTCGTGTTTGCATTTTTCATTGGTGCCATCTTTTTCAATGAGCAATTCAACATGTACAGCATTATTGGAGCAGCTCTTATTATGGGGATGACTACTGCATTGGGTGTTCATCGATGGCAATTGGATGCAGCAGCTCGAAGACTACAACATCATCAACGACGACATTCAACAAGAGAGCGTACTCATAATCCAAGATCATCTCAACATCAAGATTCAAAAGCACTTCCTCATTGACAAGAACTCAGGACCACATTCCCCCCCACTGTAGAAGTAGATGTTTCATCCCCACACATACGTATGAAGATTCCCCCTCATCCTCTACCCTCTCGTCGTAGCTTTTTTTTGTTGAACGCATGCTGCATAGTTACCCCCTTTTACATCATTTACATCAAAGAAAAAGGCACATTACATCATCATTCATGTGGTAGTACACTGGTTTACTTTTGGGAGGAGCCAGTACAAGTAAAGCGTGTTAACCTAAGACCAAGTGGGTGACAAATGGAGAGATGGCATGAATACGAAGTCCCTTTTTGCGAGGTCAGTGAGCGAACGGACATACTTAGTATGTCACCTACAAATTTATCAACCGTTACTTTTCCATCACTTTGGCTTATTGCTCCATGGTGCTTGACCACTTTATCAGTTCGATCCATCATGACAACAATACCCACGCCCAATCGCATATAAACAAGGCTGTTGTCACCAGCACCATCATACGCCCTTTCTTTCTTCTACTTGTATTCGTACCATCATCGATGGCCTCAGGTAAGTCTCAAGGATGGTCTTTAGGTAATCCCCAAAATGATGGTACTCATGATCCATTCATCTATTATGTAGCCCACTTTGTTGCTTTACCACTTGGTGGGCTCATTACTGCCTAATGACATTTGGCTGTGTTCCTTGATGGACCCTTTGTGGTAGGTATATTTGTAGGCTAAAGGCAACCTCTCAATCTGATGGGAAATTTGGGGCTCCTTTGTAGGTGACCCAAGTACATGCATGCCCAAGCCAACCCCAATGCTAGTCTTGCCTGCTATCAACGGATTAAAGCGTTTGGAATCCAAACAATCAAGACTTCGGAGATGTATCTGGGCGACGATATGAAATACAAGTACAAAGAAGTCATGAAAGCTGTCATTCCCATTAGAGATGGCTTCCAATAATCGTTCTCTTGGCTTAGCCAATGACTCAATTGGATGTACAATCAAAATGTATCCAGCAATTGCAGGAGGAACAAAATGGTAGGGTACAAGTAAACCCTGTGGACACTATACAAATGGCTCTTTTCATTAAACATTGGGTGAACATTGGAGCTACAATTCGAGAGTGAAACAATGACAATTGAAATGACCAATTTTATATGCTTAAGATAGTGTTTTTTCACAAATGATAAAAGGAAAAGAAAATAAAAAAGACAGGGGAAGGTGAAACTCTGGCAGCAATGGCGTAATGATATAAACGTTCTTGTTGCCATGGAAATGCCAATGACTAAGAGCTAGTATAAATAAAGTGTGTTAGCCTAATACCCAGTGGGTGACAAATGGACAGATGGCATGAATATGAATGTCTAGAAAACGAAAGGAAAAGCGAGTGAAGGCGCTTGGCAGAGATTTAAAGTGCCGCTCTCACTCGCTCTGAAAGTGTCGTTTCACATTAGGTTGTGACACAGGCTACTTCAACACTTGCAGTCTTTGTTCTTTGTTGCAGCCATTCTCTCACTTATCCTTCCTTTCCTTTCATACTATCCTTCAACACATGCCACTGGTAGCCCAACGCTCTTTAAGGAGATATATAGTACTTTTATTTATAGTGGCTATCGTGCTATACTATATACTATTCTCTCGACATTCTACTTCACCATCCTCATCAGCTGCCGACTCTTTGTCTTCCGAACGACCTAATCTCGCGTCCGAGTACATTAAACCAGAGCAACATGGTGCCGGTCAACTAGAAACCGTTCTACATGTGGATCGTGCATTACTACAGCAACGAGAACGAGAAGCTCGTCGACGTCAAATTGATCTCAAGTATTGTGGTCGGGATCGGTGTCAGTTTGTTCTTCCTGTTGCTATCACTGAACAAGGTAGAGGGAGTGTGTGTGCGAGTATATATTAAGAAAAAGAAGCTAAATGATACCATCTAGAATCCAAGGCACAAGAGCATTTTCGACATCTCGCGTTTTTATCTGGTGCGTTGGATCGTACGATCGTATTACCCAATGTTCACAGCTCACATCTCGGTGCTTGTCGACATTTTCCTTTCAGCTTCTATTATGATAATGCATGGCTCAACAACAATCGACGCTTCTTTCGATATTTGACTATGGAGGACTTTCGAGATTGGATCAGCGAACGACGCGAGATTGATGCCATTCCCACATCACGTGAATTGACCATCGACATCAACCCCAACTTCAAGTTTCTCGACAACGCCAATAATTGCTTCAAGGATCTTCTCGATTATTCATCGTATCCGCCGACCCACTTTACACTTGAAGACCCAGAAATGTTCAGCAAGCGTGTAGGCAACTATACGGAGATGCTATTGGAAGCCTTTCAACAAAATCAAGAGGATGTCGATGTCATTAGTCTCTTTTACGATCGCAGGTAAAAACATGATGATAATGGAACGAGCTTTTTTAATGACAAGTATGACATAGATTTGGCTATATCGAGCATCCAGAGGTGGAGATACCATTACCATACAACAATCGGTGGGAGCAATTAGCTGATCAGATTGCTGAACAACTACAGCCATTTGTCGCTATTCACTGGCGCATGGAGCGATTAGAAGCATTGGATAATTTGGTGCCATGTGCGGAGTCCCTTGTACGAAAAATCCATGAGATTGAATCCATTCATCAGCAACCTCTCAAAGTATTCCTGCTGACCGATTATCCGCATCTTTTACGCACCTCCAAAGCAACCCCTGAGTCCATGTCATTCAAGTTAAACGAGCTTCAGCAGCAACACCATGATGCTATTCAATACTTGTATGAGCATGTCGACGTAACAGTAACCACCTTACAACGCAAGAACCAACCTGTACCCTATGACGAACTACCAGCCAAGAATTGGAATGTCATTACCGTACCACCCTACGCTAAACCTGCCGATCCAAGTGTGTTGGGTATTGTTGACAAGTTGGTGGCTATGCGTGCACAATACTTTTTGGCAGGAGAACCAGGCGTTTGTGCCAAATCCAGCAGCTTCACCAAACGCATCATGTTGGAACGTGAAGCCGCATTCAATGCTGGCGATCCCCAGATTGTAGTCCCAGTAGATACCTTTTCATTGTAGATAAAATAGAACATCTTTTCATGTTGTTTATAGTTTTTGAAAGAACGGTGCAAGGATGCTGTTGTTATTGTTGCTCATTGTTGTGTAGTAAGAAAAGAGGGGAATGACAAAGGTGATGGTTGCGTGCAAGAACAAAGAAAACGATGTTTGTATGTGGATGGGCGTGAAAGAAAATATAAATGTGTGCGTGTATGTGTGATGATGATATAAGTATAAACTACCACTCAATATCAGCTGGGTCCTCGTCCTCTGAATCCTCACTTTCAGATGATGATGGTGATGCGTCTTGTTTTGCTGCTGTGCCTTTTGCTACTCCATTGGTTTCTACAAAATGAAAATATGGGTCAACTCATGCCAAATCACTCACAATAACACACACACACTCACCCTTGGCATTGGATATGCTTGTAAAATAGGTGCTTAATGATGGGATTTCACCAAGTGATTCTTGTGAAGGGGAAACATCTTCATCATCTTGAGATTCGGGTTGCTCTTGATCCACATCCATGTCTTCGACCCGACGATCCAATCCATCATCAACATTTTCTTTGCTGACCCGCAGTTCCATGAATGCACCCATGAAGGATTCAAAGACGGATTCCACACTTGGCAACACATGGCTTGGTGCACCCAATACAGACATTCCTGCACCTTGTTCATCATTGTGTGGCCGTGCAGCAGTATCAGCAGATTCTCTTTGCATGGCTTGTTGTCGTAATTTGGTTGCCGTTTGTACTCGAGATCGCTCTTCCTCTTCCAATTCTTGACGAAGTTGCTTACGCGAACCAAACATATCATCGAGCATCTTCTTTTCGGGTGCAGTATCCAAAGATGTGGCTACCTGTTCGGCTGTCTCCTTGGCAACCGTTGCCTTGGGAGAGAGAATATGGAATGTCGATTGACATGTCAAGTACACAATGTCGCTGTGTGCCTTTCCACCTTCCACCGAATCACGAGACAAGAATGCAAGGCCTATACATGCTTCATCCACCTTGTGCATAGCCAAAGGTACTGCCGACTTGGCATCAAATGTGACAATAAGCGACTTATCCATCAAGCGTTGGTTGCATGCGATAGCAATCTTGGACGATTGTTTATCTACGGCAATATAGCTTGCAGACAACTTGTAACTCCACCAAACTATGCATACAAACATTGTCAATAAATATGATCCTTTGCATATCAATGCTTGATACTTACCAGTACAAGTGAGCATATTCCATACAGCGAAAAATCCAGAAGATGCGGCCACCAAATAAGGACTATCGCCAGCGAAACGTAATGTGGAAATAGGTTCAGAAGAAGGCTGAGCCAAGACTTGACGAATGCAATTGGCATAAGGATCCCAGATGGTAATAATGGATTTAAAGGCAACTGCCAAAATACTGCCATCTGCGGAGAATGCAGCTGATTGAGGGATATCATGGCGATACATGCCAACCGAACGGCAATTCCATGCAACCTCGCCTTCTTGATATGCTCTACCAAGTTGTGATGTCAAATGCCACACCTTGAACGTCTTATCCTTGGAAGTCGTGATTGCCATGGGACCATGACGTGTCGATGGGTTGAAAGTAAGCGAGGTAATAGCTCCTGAATGAGGCTTGTCAACACGTGTGTGGAGTACATAAGCTTGTGTGTTGGGATCCCACTGCCAAAACTTGAGATGCTGCTCCATTGTTGTCACGTTATCGTTACGCATATCCACGGTTGCCATCCATTCGCCACTCGATAAGAATGCCACATGTTCAACTTCGGAAGGTATATGTCGCTTCTCGCCTGATCGCCACACTGCACTGGAAGGAGAGACCTCCACATCGGCAATGTGTACATCCGACACGCAGTTGAAGAATTGCACGCTGGACCGAATGCCATTCAATACCATGTAGTGGTTTCTAGGTTCCACAACCAATCCTGTGCGCACAATGCTATTGCCATTTCTCACAGAGGGATCTATTCAAATACTTTATGAGTATGATGCATGCATATACCAGAACCAATCCCAAAATAACTTACGAAGTTGCACGCCTTGAATGATTTGTTCAATCTTTTGCGAAATAGCATTGATCAATCGGATGGAGTTGTCAGCTAAACCCACGCAGTAGTACTTGTGATTGGGAGAAATGGAAATAGACATGATTTCACCGCCAAGACGTGGCATGAATTGCTTATGACCCGTATCCAATTGCCAAAACGTCAATACAGCTTCGCTACCACCACTGATCATATAAAGACCATCTTGCATGAATTCGAGTGCAGTGACGGCGTTGCTGTGCCAGTGATGAGTTGTCGTACGAGGCTTACGCATCGTTTGAGGCGTGTAATGGTTGAGAATGATTCGTCCAGCAACATCACCAACAGCCAAGCATGCAGCAGTAGGATTGAATCGCACTTTGGTCACAGGTGAAAAATCCCATCTATATCCCAAAACTTCCATTAATATCCTCCTTGTTGTTTTCCCAATCAATAATATTACCTGTAAATCTGATGTTCTGATCCATTATTGCCGTTCACATCCCAAACGTGCACCGAAGAACCAGCAGCCACAGCAACGTATTGCCCATCCTTAGAGACATCAAGATCCTTGAACTTTTGAACATCCATCACATGCTGACGGCGCTTCTTTGCTAACGTCTCATCCGATCCAAGATAATAACGGAATAGCTGGCTCTGCTTCTTATCCTCGGATTCTACTTACGTAGATTAGTAACCTATTCCATAGATACACGTTCATGAAAGCACTTACTCTTATCAGCAATAATATACATGAAATCGGGTTCATCGGAGCCAAATGCCATATCTTGAACAGGCTTGTTGATACGAATCGTCTATTACACATCCCATTAGACATGCACCATACCACTATTTTCCATATCCCACAACACATACCTTCAAAAGCACATCGTCATTGTAGTCCCAGAGCTTGATCGTACCATCCAAACTAGCGGTATACAGTTGCAATGGATTGCGTGGGTTGAGGAAGACACGAGTGATTTGATCAGTGTGAGCATCGGGTGAACCAGCCTTCGATAGCATCTTGACAGCTGAGCCAGTAGCTACACTGCAAATCTTGACCGAGGAACCAATGCATGCAAACAAATATCTATTTTACGGTCGAGAGTTGAGTGGATCGGTTGCAGATCGTCTCCATGGGGTGGTGGGGTTTGTTGATTTACCTCGAATCCTTTGTAAACTCGATAGGACGCTCACTGAATCGGCCACCTGTTCGCTTGGTAACCACTAACGATTCATGCTGTGACAATCGCGATGGTGCTGCCTTTTTTGTTGGTTTGCTGTTGACGAGATCTTTTTTCTTTGGGGCTTTGGCGGGCACCTTGCCATTGGGTTGTGGTCGAGCCGCTTTGTTCTTTGCTGGTACTGTTGTTGACACCATGCTGTATTCAAGATCGTCAATTAAACGGGAACGGGACCTGCAATGGCGTAAGGGAGGGACAAAGAGAGAGACGGTGTGGACGATCGGAAAATGTCAAGCACAAAGAAGGTCAAACCTACCCAGCCGAGAAAAAATCTTCAGCTTTGCTGACAGCCAGCCAGTGGAGCGGGCGGCGGCGGGTTCTCAATCATGCAAATCATCCATAGCAACCATTGCTGGATCTGCCATATACCAACGTTCTCAATTGGGAATAACAAGATAGCTTATTTATCAATTCGTATTGTTTACTTTTACATGTCATCTCTCTCTTTCTCTCTCTTCCCTGTATTCATAACAACCCTCATTAAATCTTTTCTTTGTCTGATCTACCCATTCTCGACCAGGTTTCCAATGTCACCTTTTTCAATCCCCAGTGCTATACGTTGTCCTGAGGATAACACAGCTTGCAGTGTGATGCATTCGAATGCTAACAGTTGGAAGCTTGTATTTGATTACCGGGTGCCTCCTCATCCAAGTACCCTCATCTTCGTGTACCCTCATCGTGTACATACATACGTCCATAGTCAAGGGTCCTGTTTTTAAACTTTAGACCAGCTGACTACTACAACATCAAGTCTGGTTATCTTTGCTTATCTCTTCCCAAACCTATATGTGCAACAAGTACTCATTTGACCAATTCCAGGATTCTCTGAGAAGATTGTGAGACCAACGGGAGGACATCCGATCATTGAAATGCATTCATTTGATCATTATGTATGTTTTTGTTGATGCAGGGACCCGTCTTGTGCCACGCGATACTCGAATGGCGACAACAAGTTAGAAGATATGCATGCCATTTCTACGGTAAGAAGGTTGTACAACAAATACAGCATTTGGGAAGAATTGCGGCGTTGAGATCATTCTCGGATCACGGGAAGAAGAAATGTAATGGAACCAAAACAAAATACTTGAGCCCGTGCGCACTATCATTTACAAACGAAAAAAACATATTTTATCAAGTTACCATGTTAACGGAAATAATGTTACCTTGTGACGGAGCTAAGCAAGCCAAAAGGCTAAGTACCCTGTACCCAGCTTAATGCCATTTTCGCTGATCACTCTTAAAAGGATAACTGTGGCGGCGGCGGCGGCGGAGGAGAGCGATCGCTTGCATGTCAGTTTACCTCCCGCACATTGGTATTTGCTTATTTGATGTGCTAATGAGGCATGTTTCCTCTGTCTGAAACACCCAAAGAAAAGAGCAACTAACATCTTCTGTAACATGTGAATCTCATTGAACTTTTCATTCTACAGCATATAAAGGCGAGTATCGTTGATAGAATAAATGATTCATTGTTATAATATGTAACAATCTGCTTGTTGAAGGGGGCTGCACGTGTTAAGCGATTCCCGCCCTATGTCGGGAGAGTCGTCATTGTAAGACACAAACGGGTTTTCATCCAAAATGGATACCCGTAACTATGGTCATATATGTACTGTTGATATTTAAAGGAACATTTGGTAAACAATGTCGCGCTCTTTCTTATCTTGGCCTTCTGTTATTCTCAATCAGGCCGAAACAAAACAACAACACCAACTTGCCTTTCTCATATTTCCATTGGATGACCCCTCCCTCGGCATAAAGCCTCTACTTGGACGTCCCTTTATTCATATCAACAACCCCTTGGAGCTTCAAAGGTATTTTTGCATACTCTCGCTTCATTCTAGCAATGACCACAATGCTCACATTTGGGCAGATCTTGCTCTCTCTCGCGCTCTCTCCGTTTCTTCCACATTGACGCCTTAGCGACATTATGACACAATTGCTGCATGCGACAAGTTTATCCAACTGGACACTGAGTCTTGTGCTTGGTGCAGCTGCTGCACTACGAAGTGGATCACAGGCTGGATACGTGGATGAGCTTCCCTTTTGCGACGTGCTATTGACTTTTACGAATCGTTTGATTGAAAATGGATTATCTGGCACAAACGTCGTGATTGGACTTGATACACGGTGGATACGGATGATGATCATGTCATTTCATACGCGACGTATGCCTTACAGCTATATTCTGTTGGATGGGAAGACCTTTGTGCCCAAATGTATCAATGAAGAGGATCCACAGGAGTATCTTCCAAATGGCCGATGTCTTATGACTCCAGAACCTCGTTGTCCTATCCTCCCCAACATGTTTTATTCTTTGGTGACCGATTATCAGCACACGGATGGAAAGGCGTTTAAGGCAGTGCATCGACCTGAATGTATCCTCCGACAAGAAATCGATGGGCGTGCTATTGAGTTTTTATCAGATGACCTCACAAAGCGCCTTCGTGGTATTACCAATCTGCAGGCAATCAAGTTGTGCGCCGAAATGATCGATAGCATGTGTGACAAGGTGGTGAAAAGTGACGAAACAAACGAATGGGATCGACGTATTATTGATCGGATACGGCTATTGACTTTCCAATCGGATGATGCTATCCTGACGCTGCTAAGAAAAGACACCATGCACCCCAATGAATTGATCAAAAAGCTATCAGCGAGCGAGGATGATGAGGATCAGGAAGATGCTACACGACGTAATGAAACCATGGATCGTATTCATTCTCGTATCCCAGCCATGCTTGAACGGCTCAAACTCAATGCATTCGATGTACCTGGTGAATCAACGCCCTATTCAATCTACGACGTGTCACGTGCATTCATCATTTACTTTGGCATTGTACGCGCTGTTAAAATGTCACGACGCATCTATGAAGAACAAGCACTGATTGCCATGGGATACAATATTGCAGTGGCGCATGAATTGATAAGCGACGTATCGGATCTACCAGCACCGCTCCAAGTTGGCTATTCTTCAGGGCTTGTGATTGAGAGCACTTCAAGGTCACGACTTGCCGATATCCAGCCTAAAGATGTCCATATCTTTTACACGCTATTTCTCGAGTTGATGATCTCCATTGGTATCATGTTCCTTAGTGGTATGGGTCCTATCACATGCATGTATGTGGGCCGCTTGTTGACGGCGCGCTATCGTGGAAGCGCATTGAAGATGGGTACAAGTCTTAATTGGTCCGTGGGTCGTGTTCAACTCGCCTTTACGGGTTCAGCAAGAGATGATTGGATGGTGTGTATCACGCCTGTCAAGAATCGTACGTTTCGTATCGTCTTGTTCACTATCCTCGTTTACCTTGCTTCGATCGTGCCTATCGCTGTTTGGCCCTTGATTCATCCCCAATTTTCCGAAATCAACGATCTTGGCTCAAGTATTTGCTACATCAGCTTCTTGTTTGGCTTCTTTTGGATTTTAGCCACTGAATCTATGCAAGAACACGCTCAAGGTTTGCGATCTTTGGCATGCACAATCCTCGTTGCCCTTCTTCCTATAACGGTATTCATGGGCTGGCAGCAGGAATGGATTTACTTGTATCTTTTCGAATTCATTTACGGTTTGCAATGGGTCTATGGCGCTGTCAACGAGAAATGGTTATACCAAGGTTCATCTCTCTTTATGTTGGGTGTTGTTGGTGCATTGCGCTTAAGCAATCTCGTCGATATCCTGTGGTAGTAGCAATAGCAATAATAATAGTCATCCTCATCTCTTTTCCTTGCATTCCCCCTTCCCTTTATGATATTCAACCATAAGATAATAGTATCGCGTGCTACTGTGTTATTTACAAGTTGTCGTAATAAGAACTTTGACTTTCATTGTGCATGATGGCTTGCATATTTGTACGTGAGTGAGTATCGGTGCGTGTGTGATTTTCATGGCAGGGCGGCATTTATTGTGTGGGGTATGTTATACAGGGAGCTTTTTCCCTATTTGTCATTGCATCGCGGGAAACTGATGATTCATCCACACACTCCTTACCTACGCACACGTGGGAGATTAAAAGACCTCTGGAAATCCAAACTCTATGATAACATTCAATTGCTCTTTTTCTCTCACTTGCTAACAATCAAACATGGATCCTGGTACGTACATACGAGCACCATTTCAACCTGGGTATGATGATTGTAGCACTGCGGAGATTAACATGACGATCATATTACAGTGACAGTTGCCACGGCTGTTGCCGGTGGCGTCCTTGGTGGATACATTCTTGACTCAAGTACCCATATCCGAAACGACTTTCATCAGCTGCGAGTAGCTCTTGGTTCTGCACTCAAGTAATGATCTTGTAAACAACGCTCTGCTACCTCGTAGAATTAACCCATCAATGCATAAAATTAAGGGTGCGAGCAGCTATTCGACAACAACGCGAGCATCTCTATTATCGTTTCGAAGAAAAGGCTAAGGCAACACCCGATCGCATCTTTCTTTACTTTGAGGATAAAACATACACTTTTCGACAAGTTGAACAAGGTAACATCATGCAGGTACAAACCCTATTATGCAAGGTGTTAATTCGTTTGCTCCACACATCGGCCTCTTTACTTGTTTAAAATAGCATCAAATCGTTTGGTAAGTGTAGGAGATAGTCATACCATTACGAAAAAGAGTCCATCTTATATAACCATCGTCGTTTCATAGGCACGTTGGTTGTTGACCACTCAAAATGTCAAGCCAAGAGGTATATGGATTTCAAATGGGAAAGGGTGAATGCAATGACTAACAACGTATCATGTGTGAAAAAGATGTGGTTTGCATGATGCATCCAAACCACCCGCTGTTTATGGTGACTTGGCTTGCCATTCTAAAAATTGGAGCTATACCATCTTTGCTTAATACCAATCTCAATGGGGAGTCGCTGGTGCATTGCGTCCAAGTATCAAAAGCACGCCTATTTTTGTTCGACCCACAATACACTGAGCAAGTTCAAATGGCTGCCAGCAGCCTGGATGGGGTCGCTGTGTATGGTTATGGCGAAGGTTACACGGACAAGTTCCCCATGATCACCGAGGAAATCCTAGCCGGGTTTAGCTCTGATGACACGGACAAAAAGTTGCTCAAAGTCGAAGGCCCTGAAGATCCCGCATTATTGATCTATACCAGGTATATAAGAAAGAGAGTGATACCATTATACAATGCTGATGCTCATTTCGTTCAATGACAGCGGTACTACAGGCATGCCAAAGGTAAGAACACGAGCGTCGTTTTAAACGCCCCACAGCTTTCTAATGCATGTATACCCATTCCACATAGGCTGCTATCTTGACACATTATAGGACGAATCGTAAGTACAAAACGTCCTTAACATCGATATTTGAGACTAATCATGTATCATAGTCAGTTGCTGGGCTATGGCAGCTATGGCACAAACGCGTTCCACTGATATCACATATACATGCCTTCCAATGTTCCACAGCTCTGGTTGTAAGTTGTCTCTGGATTTAAAGTCAACAATGACGATTAATCAAAAGACGCATAGTGATTGTGTCTCTAGGAGCTACTATGGTGGGTGGCGGCTCAATTGTCATTGCTCGCAAGTTTTCAGTCAGCCGCTTTTGGGATGACATTTACAAATACAAAGTGACCATTTTTCACGTACGTAATTCTATACATAGGAGAGGAAGTCCTTCACCTATACTCACACATTGGCTTTTGACAGTACATTGGAGAGCTTTGCCGATACTTGGTCAACCAACCACCTCATCCACTCGAGAAAAAACATTCTCTTCGCCTTATTTTCGGCAATGGCATGCGATACGAGGTGTGGAAACCTATGCGGGAGCGGTAAGTATACATATCGTTGTATCCATGGAGACAAGCCGCTAATGGATTTTATATAGCTTTGGCATCCGTAATGTGGTAGAGTTTTATGCAGCTACCGAAGGGCTGGGTATCTTTTTCATCAACAGCAAAGATGGCAAAGGAGCTGGGGCTATTGGCCAGCATGGATTGTTGATGCGTTTGTTATCTCGTGGCCGTACCAAGATTATCAAGATTGATCCAATCACCCAAGAGCCATATAGAAACAAGCAAGGATTTTGCGTCGAGGTATTGTGTGTCTTTGGGAAAAGCAATGTTGTTGCCTAACGTTAGTATTCCATTGTAGTGTGCCCCTGGTGAATCTGGTGAATTCATTGCACGCTTTGATAATCTCGATCTTACGCCATTTACTGGGTACTTTGAAAACAAAAAGGCAACCAGCAAAAAGATCTTACGGGATGCATTCATTAAAGGTGACGCGTAAGTACTATTCTATACTTTGTCACCTGCCTCTTTTTATTCATCATGTTCCTCTCGTACATAGTTATTTTCGATCCGGTGATTTGATCCGGTACGAAAAGAACTCGTACTATTACTTTGATGATCGACTTGGGGATACATTTAGATGGTAAGGATCCATTGATTGGAATAGGGAAGATTCTTATGCATGTAACACAGGCACGGTGAGAATGTGGCAACAACAGAAGTCTCGCATGCCATGTCCAATTATCCAGGAATTGCCGAAGTGAATGTGTATGGTACACTTGTCCCCAATCATGATGGTCGAGCAGGTACGCACAAAGGATTTATTATTGTAACGTTGTCGTTTCTCTTACACACAAATTTTAATAGGCATGGCAGCCATTGTTCTCAAACCAGGTGTCACGAGTCTTGACATGAGTGACCTGTATCAGCACATGAGCAAACGCTTGCCACGCTATGCTATCCCACGCTTCTTGCGATTCCTTCCCGAGATGACAATCACTGGCACTTTCAAGCAACAAAAGTATGAGCTGCAGAAGCAAGGCATTGACAATGTGCCTGAAGATCAGCCCTTGTATTGGCTGGTGGGTGACACCTATACTCCCTTTGGATCAAAAGAGTTACAGCAAGTAAAGCAAGGAAAAGCCAAGCTCTAATATAGAAGAAAGATGGATTATGGGGAAAGCAGAGGGAATCTCCCAGGGAATGGTGTGGGGTAATCAAATACTTCACATGTCAATGCCAAGCCCGGATAGCAATTTTCCCAAACCCATACACACACAATGGAATAAAGAGTAATGAACAATGGATATAATATTATAAAGAACCCTACTATCAAGTACGCACTATACTTTTCCAAACAGCTTCACGTCGTTTCTTGGATGGCTCGCGGCTAATACGCTTGTTGTTGTTATCCGATACTGTCGAAGCGAGTGAAGTAGTGGTGGTATTATCGCCAATGGCAGGTGTTGAATAAAGACTGGTGGATCGTGAGCGTGTGATAGAAGAGCTGTTATTATGATCATTCACGGTAATTGTGGATTGACTCATGCGAGGAATTCCAAATGTGTCTCTTCGTGCGCTTTCTTGTCTGAAAATAGATGCTGTACTCGTGCGAGGGCTAACAGTAGGGCTGGTAACACTATCGACATAGAAGGCTTGTGTTGTTGGAGATTGGATAGGAGATGATGAATGATTGAAAGATGTTGATGGTGGACGTTGATGATTGTTGTTGCTGTTGATTATAGCATGGTTGGTATCAGCAGATTCCAATGTTGTAATAATAGAAGTAGGTCTTGGTGAAGAAGGTGAAGATGTGGAAGCGAGTTTAGAATTGGTCACCTCGACACGATATTCAATGGTAGCACGACGTATCCAACGACGACGACGAGTTGAGAGCCATCCCTTGTTGACCCGGTCAAACATTGTCCACACCATTGTACCATATTCCCATCCAAGTTCATCACGTTTGCCTTGTTCATCATCCTCTAAACGCCATTCGGGATCCATCCATTGCCATGTCCAGGTCTTTTTGTATTCGGCATCCGCTGCTACTGTTTGAACCACTGAGGAAGGAAGAGCAAATGTTGATTTCGGTTGCAGTGGAAAGCCTGCTTCATCGGTCCATGGAGCAAAGTCGAATGGAAGACTAGGGCTTTGCCATTGTCCAAGATAACGCTAAGCAATGATCATGAATATACATGTCATTCTTTCCCTCTCCCAATACAACCTGATATATACCTGATTTTCCACCAAAACAAATACAAAGTCTGGATTATTGGTTGCTCGTCGCATCACTTTATCTTGATGAGCCAATGCATGGTGTGCCAAGCTGCAAGTGTCTGAATGGGTCTGGACCGAACCAAGGAAAATGGCGGTGAGAATGGATAAAGGGTATCTTGCAGATTCGCGTGCTTTTATCATCCATGGGCTTTGCCAAGTCAACACCAATACGCCCGTAACCATCACAACATGGCACGTATCGACCAGCTGATGTGCTGTCACCCAACATACATATGCATACACCAACACAAGGAACATCCTCTTGGTCTTGTTTGGATGCTTTTCCCATTGCAAGGACTCCACTGCTGTTTGGATCATGTTCTCAAGGGCAACCACGCAATCGATCACTGATACATCAATATGTTGCTGATACAAGCTGCTGCTGCTGCTGCTATTACGGTTGCTATCCTTGTCTTTTTCAGTCGTTGGTGTTGGCCACCGTTGCATCGTCCATAAAAGAGGCAGCAAGGGCACAATGTAAATCAATACGGTCCAGAAATGGAGACACAGCAAGCACCAGAATGCAAGAGCAAGGACGGCATTTTGAGGTTGTTCCCAAGTTGTCCAGGTCTTGATTTGGTCAATCCCTTGCTTGGCATGTCGAATCACGAGTTCGAGAAAGGGCAAATGCACCGTCGTTGTGCCATTCTTGGTGGTGAAGGTGGTGGAGGTAGTAGTTTTAGTGTCTGGCTGTGCCACTGACATGTAAGGGGAATAAGTACTTAAAGAAAGGAACGGAGAAGTGAATAAATGTGTGAAAGGAATACGGAGTCAACTATCCGTGAGAGAGGAATAAAAAAAACAGCGAACGTTTCAACGCCTTCTTGCTCTGTTTTGACTGGCTGCTTTGATATTACACATGTGATGTTGGTGTCACACAACGACGCCAATGGCTCTTGCAGTGAAGGAGTGTACCAATGACCCTCTACTGTCACAGCATAGCAATGGGGAATAAAAGGGTGGTCATTGTCTATCAATAATATCGTCAAGAGCAATGATCATATGTATATGATAGGATGAACGTTGTCATTGAATACCAAGGAAAAGAAGGGTTGACATGACAACAAGAAAAAAAAAGAGGAACGCAGCGTGTTTTACCAAAAAGAAACTGAAACAACGGATGGATGAAAACAGCAGCAGTGTCAAGGGCAAGTATGAGCTTGGAAGGAAAGCACAACATCCTGGCAGGGGATAAGTGAATGAAATAACAGGGATAAGGGGTGGGTGGTAACGTCATAGCAACAGCGTGCGAGTATGATGTGAATGGGGACGCATGTATGTGGCTGCTATGATGAAAAAGAAGGGGGACACGGAGGCAGAGGAATGATGCAAAAGTGGTAAATGATGTGTGGCCAAAGCGTCAATGACACCATTCCGCCACCCCGGAATGAGGCGCACCTCACACATATTTACCTATGACATCCCTCTCCAAATATCACCCTTATCACAGCTTGTCTGACGGGATTACTATTTAAGGCATACCATGACATCATATCTTCCCGATATACACACAACGATCTCTTATGACATCATAATGCATTGTGGCATCATCATGCTTCATGCACACATTACGTCTTTTGTTTGCCCTTGCACACCCCGCATGAAAAACTTCTTTAATATCTTGACGTAATGTTATCGCTACCCATCATCAATCCTTCATTGACCATGCATGTAATCCAAATTCCATTCCGAGGGCCCATGCATCGTCCTACACACACACCACCACCATCAACGCCATCATTGTCTTGGTTTCATTTATGCTGCTGCTGTATGTAATGCGCATCACGTTTAATGTTGTATAGCTGCATAAGTCAATTAGGGAGCTCATTTATGTTGGATTCTGAAAAGGAAAAGAAAAGAGGTGTTGGGTAAAAGAAGCAATAAATGATAGGCGTTGATAGGGAAGAAATGTAAAAGTTGAAGAAAAAAGACGCGTCTTTTATACCTTTTCAAAAGTCAGGGCAACAAGGGAGTGGTGACGGTGCAGCCAAAAAGTCAATCATGGAGGAGATGTGACCTGTACTTGCCACCATCTATCACAAGCTGCATCCTATCAACAAAAGCTGGCGTCATCATCTTCATTGAATGTGGCTGTTGTGTTGCAGAGCAGTATTCTAGAACAAATTGTACGCATAGCTTTATCTGAAAATGTAAGGACGCACAGGCATTTTTGGGTGTACATGAGATGACAGCATCTACTGCTACAGCCAAATGATGTGCATGCGTATATCTGTGCTGTGTGTGAGTTCAATGTGGCACAAACAACAATAAGCTCAGAAACAACGGCTGCATCCCGAAAAGTCGGCGTTAATGTTACCCATCGGGGTTACGCAAAACGGAGATAAGTGGCGCATCCGCACATACCACCGCTTTGCCATTGACAATAATGAAGAAAGCATATAGTGACAATATGGCAAAGGGATAACAATAGACGACAGGCCGTGTGTAAATCAGGGGTCTGCTAGGAGCACGGCTAAAATTAATAATGGGATTACACGCGGCATTCATGCAGGGTGAGGAGGTCAATTACGTAGCTGCGTTGATCTCCCTTTTTGGATCGTACTTCATCATAGGGGGGGAGAGACCCAAACGGGGGTTCACACTGATGGGGGTTGGCTTGGGAATTATATATAAGCTTGACATGTCAATGCCATCTTTTTTTTGTTCCCCACCGTCATCCTCGTTTATCTCTTTACCGCATTTTCTCACATCCCCACTCACACATCATCATGTCGACAACTGTTCTTGTTCCATCACATAATGGCATGCCACGAACACTTAAATGGGCAGCTCATCACACTACCGAATCAGGGAACATGCATAAGCATCACACTACAGCTACCACGCCACAACTTACCCCCTCGTCATCATCCACGTGCCCAGCACCCCTTCCCTCAGAACAACAAGAGATAGTCAAACTTGAATCTGAGCTCACATTTACATATGACACACTCGCCACAATCAATGTCATGTTTGACAGCTTACAACATGCCTATGCGAGTAGCGAATCTGAAATGGAGCGTCTACGCAATCCATTGCGACTAAGTGAAAAAGAAAAAGAATTACTCGGTGCATACGACGATCTTGGTCTTCAAGTTGTTCATCTCGAGCGTCAAATTGTCAAGCTTGAGAAAAAGCTCAAGGAGTTGAAATCACAAGAAGCATATAACAAAGAAACACCGGGAGCAGAAGCTCCATTGTCGACACCGATATCATCGGCCATTGATACCTTATCTCCATCACCATCATTACCATCACCACCTATTGTTCCGGATCAACAAAACTATTTTAACCATACTACTCCAATAATTCATCAACAGCAACAGCATCAGCCTGTTGATCTACCACCACAACAGCAGCCGATGGATATGATGTTTACGTATGAAAGTGAAGCAATGGCAGCCTATGCTGCTGCAGCTGCTGCAGCTTCGGCAACGACCATGCAAATGGCTTTTACAACAGAACAAGCAGCCACCGGAGGTGTGACTACGCCAATGGACGAGGATCCAGCAGCATCACCATTTTTCTATATGCCACAAGATCCGATGTTCTTTGACATGTTCAGTGACCCAGCCTTGTACAGCTTGACATGCTACAACATGGATGTTGTTACGCCGTCTCAACAATATACACCAATGTTATGGTCCACCACCAATGATCACATGCCCCAACCACCACCACCACCATCCTAATCCTATGCCCAACAACAACCCCCCTCATGCTTATTTCTTTTCTCTTTTCCTAAAAAGTCTGATAATTATTGTCGATGCTCAAGTTTAATAATATACCCCATCACCACCTTTGACGCAAACACTCGTCTGTGTAATAATAAAAGTTTGACGCTCAATCAAATCCACAACGTAGCTACATCACCTATTGTAGTCCAAACTTCCCAGATGCCCTGATTACCACTACCAATGGATGTACATAATGACTTGACGAGAACAAAAGCATGTCGACACGATGATGTGAATGAACCAATATTGCTTCCCGACCTTTGAATTTCTATGCCTCCTTTCAATCCATAAGCCAACCAAGTGATCCACATCTTGCACATATGAGCTGATAGTATGATACCCTTCTAAATCCTATGTTGAACCGAATTTTCATTCATTGACAAAGTCGAAGAATAGGTCATGATGGTATAGATGTTTATAAAGTAAATTTGATAAGGAAACAGCGCATTGAAGAGGGTGGGGTGAATCACATAGAGGGGGCAGGGATAATCGTGTCATTGTGTTCTTGGTTGCTGCCGTCATAATCATCCTTCATCCATGATTGCAAAATAGCTGCTGCATAGCATTGACTCGAGTACTCCAAATATCATCCATGACTGTACAACCCCTTTCGTCGATCCCATCCAAATCATCATCATCCTCAGCCGTAACCACGTGCTATGTTTCATTGTTCATGATGACGACGTGTCAAGTAACCAAAGCAACATTCCAGGATTCCTCATCGCTGCACTTGATTCCATCCATCCCTCATAGCCATTGCAAATCCAATATTGCTTCCTTTCCCATACAGCTATTGGCTCATCTCTTTTTTGGGCATCTCCTATCGCAGCTCAACCAGGTGAAGATTGCTTGTATTGCGGTGTGCTTGATAGCTGATATGGCGCCCCATCAATAGTAATCCGTATGTATCAAAGCAAGCTGCTGCACGGCTTAAAAGCCTGCTCTCATATAATGACTTTCTGCTGTTCACGTAAAGAAAAGCTGTAAGACAGGTTGCTGCAAGTAACTTGAGACGATGGAATAAAGACCTTGCTGTTACGTTTGGTTGTGGCAGAGGAGCGTGCAAGAGCGTGTGTTGTAGTAGAGTGACAAGGCTTTGAACACCACACGAGTCATTGGAGAAGAGTCCTTACTAATTGCAACTGCTGTTATGATTGGTCGTGGTCGTGGATTGTACAAGAGAAGGTGTGGTGTCAAGGAACACGGGTGCTGTAGTGGGCTGTACTCGCCATGGACTTGCCATTCAGTCAAAGACAATCGGATCAAGACATTCGTAGCATTGACATGATGGGCTGGAGCAGGACAATCGTTCGCAGGTGGTAGTTGTATACATGAATGAGCAACAGTTGAGATTGCGAAGAAGAGGCAAGGGGCTGAGAGTGGAAGAAGTGGAAAATAAATGGGTCGGACACCTCCTGTATAAATGCATGAACACTGTACATCACACCATGATATTGAGTTTGCCCCCTCTCGAACCTGAAACTTTCACACAAGATGCTCTTGGACATGCTGATCAATGTTGTATTAAAAAAGACATCATGTACATTTGAAAAACTGGAATGGGAGGGTGCAATGTGGGTTTACTATGTAAGTCGGAAATGGAGGTCAGCCCCGGATTCATGATTGATCGAAATAGTATGTATTACCTTGGGATTCCCCATTTCGAACATGAAACTTTGTCAGAAGGTTCGCTGTAACATGCTGATCAACTTCATTCATTTAAAAACCATACACTTCATTATGAACATTTAAAATGCGAGGTGGTCCAAACGGTGGATGATGGGAACAAAAGAGCGGACGGCCCACCGCCCCGAAGTTGCTCACTTCCAACTTGAAAATTAGTCAGTATGGTGCTCCGAGCATGCTGATCCACTTTTTTCAAATAAAAACCTCACGCTTCATTTGAAAATTTAGAACGAGAGCGTCCAAAAGTTTGAATGACGGAGACATTCGCAGGGTCGGTCTTTCAAGAATTGACACATTCTCTGTTTGGGCGTAGCTCACCCAAATCGGCTCGGATCAAGAAACTTGGATGATGGAAATGATCGGCTGGAGCAGGAGCAGTGTTCACATGTAATAGAATTAACAACAGTGCCGATTGTGAGGAAGTGGATGTTAGCTGCCAATCATAGATGGTGTATATGGTATCGTACATTGGTCATTCCAATCATGCAAAATGGCTCCGTTACACCAAGAAGTCCTTCTGCATCTTTGGCTCTCCAGGGTCTAGCTACTTGGCAATGAACAAAGACCACTTGCTATATAGCATCACGCTTACAAACATAAACGTGCCTGTATCTCCAAACTTTACAATGAAACGTGGGGTTTTGAATAGAGCAATGGGCTCGGCTTGGCCAACAGCACCTTGTGTGAAAGTTTCACGTTCAATGTCGCAAACAGCCCAAAAAATTTTTTTTGGTCGTCGTCGTCGAAGAGGTCGACCCCCAATGTCTTCCCCGAACGCTACCGTTTTGCCTGATAAGGAAACAGGCACCCAACCTACATCTTATGCGAGAGCTGCTCGCGTTCGACGACCTACTGCAATTCGAGAATCTTTAACCAGCAATGCACTTGACAAGACCACACATTCCAATGTGTGGAAAGTTGGTGGATCCCCTGCTTCATTCCCGAGTTTGTTTTTTGACTTCACTTCTCGCAACGAAAACCGTACAACTCTTCTTCGTCACATAACTGAAAGCTATCCCGATAACTGTGGTGCACGCCTACACTCCGATCACTCACGCCGTATTGTTGAGCTTTTCATTGACGACTCATCCTTGTATGAAAAAGCCTGCAAACATGGTCTTCAATTCTCTGATGGCTCTCGTATCATTCCCACTCGTCCTTTAGCGGAAGACTCCCGCATCATCAACATTCGTCTCAGCAAATTGCCGTTCACATCTCGTGAAAAACTAGCACATGGAATCCAACAAGCACTCTTACCCTTTGGTAAGATTCAAGACTATGGAATTCTTCGTGACCATGACTCCCACTTGTTTATGGGCCATGGTTACGCAACATTAGACGTTTCAGCCTCAATCGATTTTCTCCCACTCACACACACGATTGCTTGGCCCAACTCCGCCGACTTCTTTTATGCAACATGGGCTGAAATGCCATTACATTGTCTTCACTGTCATCGCTCCGGTCACTCTATCTCATCATGTCCTAGTCATCCAAGCCGCAATCGCCTTTGCTGGTCATGCGGTCAACCAGGCCATCGTGCAGCAAAATGCTCTAATCATCGCACCCTCACGCCTACCAGCAACAACAAGTCACCCTTGCCACCATCGCCTCCCTCGCCCACACTTTCTTCTGCCTACAGCCACAATTCTGATGTTTCAATGCTTTCGGATGATCTTTCCAATCGTGAAGCTCACAACGACCAAATTATTGTCGACTTTATCCCACCTCAGCCCAATACCGATCCAAACGCCAAACCTATCACTGCTAGCCAACGTAGACTACTTAATCAACTGTTCCCTATTTCCGATGAAGCAAGAGCCATTACTGAATCCTTAACCAGCGTATCTTACAACAAACTTTATGCTGCACTTCTCCAAAACGGAAAAAGTTCCGCGACTCGTTCCCTTTTGCATCGGGGAGTGCCTCTTCTTCGAGTCACAATGATCCGGTTTGATCCTTTTTTTCTCAATTAGTTTTCTTTATTTTCACATTGCTGTATCATCTTTGGGGTATCACTCCTCGACATACTCCCAATAAAAACCGAGGCAAATCAAGCCTCCCTATAACGAAGAGGTCGACCCCCAGATCCAGTTTGGCTGGTAGCGACATTGCGAAATCTGGGATTGGCAAGCTTGATCGCGAAACTTTCACCCAAGGTGCAGTTGGCCAAGCCGAGCACATTGCTCTAATAAAAACCCCACGTTTCATTGTAAAGTTTGGAGATACAGGCACGTTTATGTTTGTAAGCGTGATGCTATATAGCAAGTGGTCTTTGTTCATTGCCAAGTAGCTAGACCCTGGAGAGCCAAAGATGCAGAAGGACCTCTTTGGGTAACTCAGCTAAAAAGTCAGGACTTCAGGGACAATGCATGATAGGTACGCAACCCTCACTTTTATGTCATACATTGGCAGGTAATAGCCACTTTTGTGCATTCCCAACTTTTGTGCATTCTATTGTAGGTGGACGATGCTCCTGCTCTAGACATTCATTTCCATGATTAAAGTAGGTTGATCCGAGCTGATTTGGTGGAGTTACGCTCACACAAGATTACATCGGTTGAGCTACATCGAGCGTGCTTTATGTCCAGAGTGATATAATCTCTCTTTGACCGCAGCTCAGTCAAATCAGCTCGGATCAACCTACTTTAATCATGGAAATGAATGTCTAGAGCAGGAGCATCGTCCACCTACAATAGAATGCACAAAAGTTGGGAATGCACAAAAGTGGCTATTACCTGCCAATGTATGACATAAAAGTGAGGGTTGCGTACCTATCATGCATTGTCCCTGAAGTCCTGACTTTTTAGCTGAGTTACCCAAAGAGGTCCTTCTGCATCTTTGGCTCTCCAGGGTCTAGCTACTTGGCAATGAACAAAGACCACTTGCTATATAGCATCACGCTTACAAACATAAACGTGCCTGTATCTCCAAACTTTACAATGAAACGTGTGGTTTTGAATAGAGCAATGGGCTCGGCTTGGCCAACTGCACCTTGGGTGAAAGTTTCGCGATCAAGCTTGCCAATCCCAGATTTCGCAATGTCGCTACCAGCCAAACTGGATCTGGGGGTCGACCTCTTCGACGACGACGACCAAAAAATATTTTTTGGGCTGTTTGCGACATTGAACGTGAAATTTTCACACAAGGTGCTGTTGGCCAAGCCGAGCCCATTGCTCTATTCAAAACCCCACGTTTCATTGTAAAGTTTGGAGATACAGGCACCTTTATGTTTTACCTATGCTGTAAGCGTGATGGAGTTGCTTTTTCCTAGTGGATGGCGTCGGCTGCATTAACGGAAAGATGAAGAGCTGAGTGAAACGGCACGTGGTGGTTACACACGCACGTCCTTGGCAGGTTGCTACACAAATGGATGATGATGATGATTGCCTTTTGTGAAGGTACGTAAGTAAACAGCAATAAATAATGAAGGTGTGTCAAGGTATGCATCACATTTGCATGTAGAAGAAAGCCGAGCTGCATAAACCAATTTGTATATGTAAAAAGATACATATACATATTGAATGAGTCACTCATCCTGAAACTCAATGGAGGGATCTCTTCACTTTTTCTCTTCTCAAGCTCAACCCACTTCCCACTCCTCCTTATTGTATCACAAACGCGATGTACTTCTTGCATGACCGATAACCGGGCCACCTTTACAGTATTATTCCATCTTCGAAGCAATAGTATGTAATCCACAAGCTAGCAACCTCCAACAAGCGTGTAATAAATAAACAATGCTTTATTTCATCTAGCTATCTTGCTATGTACTGTACATTGCTACCACCATCGTCGTTGTCGTCCTCCGTCATCATTCCTACTCGTACTCGTCACCAGTCGTCAATCTCATCCGTCACACCAACATCCAAAAACACACAAGTTGAAAAGAATGGGATCTTACAGGCTTCCTTTTGAATCTCGTTGTCGTCATCATTGTCATTGTTGTAGAGGGGTGATCATCATAATCATCATTGTTGTGAATGTGGTAATCATCATAATCGTCGTCTCTACAAACAAGAAAGCAGGCAAGTTAGACCATCTGGTACCGGAATGATGACGATTTGGTATACCGTTAGGCGATCCTCTCCAAGGAAGAAAGCAAATCGGAAGGAATTCACAAACCAAATCACCACCATACGAGCAACGTCGGGCGATCCCTGTTCTTGAGAAAGCACTGCACGAATCACGCAAGGCCAGTTCGATCCATGGCAAGGAAGGACATCACTTACGTAGAGTCCAGGCTCATCGTTGTCCTCGTTCATCCTCTACAAAGAAAGAATGATCCCCAATCCTTCCAATCATTTCCCACCTCATGAAAAGAAATCCTCAAGGGAAAGAACGAGCCTATCACGAGAAGAGCGTGTTGGTTCAACACATTCACGGCCAAGCCATTGCAAATCCCCTTTTACCTCAACACGGTGACCATGTTTTTCCAAACATCCATCGTCATCGACCCATCCTCAACTCAACGCAGGCATATAGAGCCCTGGACGCGTTCCAAGAAGCTTTTCCAGTACGCTTGGCCAGTGCAGAGCGACGCAGCGGCCACTTGATACAGGCTGGGACTTGAACCCAAAGGGATGATGATGATGCCCCAAGTTGCATTGCCTGACCAAAGAAACCTATTTCAATTCATTATTAGCACACACACAATGAACACCCTTTTCATTGTTTGTTTCATTGTACTTGCCTTTCCATATACACAAAGACCCGTTGTTGTTGGTTACTGGAAACCGAAAACCATGGTGTAGTATAGTTGAGCCGAAACAAAACGCCAAACCAGCCAACGTCTTGAAACTAAATTTGCCCTCTATACAAGCTGACGCGTCAATGGAACCAATTAGGCTGCAACATTGGACACTGAATGTACCTGTTGACACCAAGCGTAGAGCGGGAATAGCAACGAACAAGAGGAAGCAACGATATCGCCATGACAACCACCAACCACCAACCACGCTCATTCCTCAGCACTTGGACACACTCACTCCCTGACAATGCATGTTCAGAACTGTATTGATACCTCGCAGCCAACAACAGAACTCTTTGATAAAACATTACCTCGATCGGGATGTCGTGAATGGGATAAAAGCAGAGGAGGGAGAGAAGCTTTGTCTCAGGCCGTGGAGCTACCATCCCCCAAGTTTAAATCCCCACACGCACCACCATCACCACCACCATCACCCTCACGATAGACAATCGGTACACATAAATAAGAGAAATGATCCTCACGTATAGCAAAAGGTGCGTTTGTCATTTTAAATCATACGATCCAACAACAACCATCGTCTTATTACGAGGTGCTAAGCCAATACCAAACACCCTTTTCCTCTAGTATGCTCACATCCTTAGCAAATAAAAAGTTCCACTTTGCATACACCATGCGAACTCCAATGATAAGATCACTCTTACTATCTCTGAAGGATTGGGCTAGCGTTGGTAGCCAACGAATTAATTTATTATGACAAGAAGCTTTACGTAGACAAAGAGGGAAGTGGGGCATTGTGGTATTGTTTTGGACCTAGCCGCACCTCCTTGAGTAATTGGTCAACATACTTCCTTGTGTTTGGGTTCAAGTCGTCTTGTAACATCTTCCGTTCTTTCCAATGATCTCCTGTTAAATGCGTATATAAGAAAATGATTCATGCAAGCTGTTGTGTGCACAAAAGCAAACCTGGTGCAAGGATTCTAGGAAGCACTTTTCAAGTAAGCATTTGCAATCCTCCCAAGCATGATGATCCAAGATGGTATTCTCCTTGTACATGGTATGACTGTATGACCTGTGAGCATACGTGAAGTAGATGTGCCTTTGGTGGTGGTCATAGCAAGTGTTGATTTGCTGAGACTGCTCTGATGTCAAAGTTAGATTTTCGCTCTTTCTCCTTACACACACACACACACACACATACACACATACCCCATACAAGTAAGCCTGTTGCCTCGCGATCTACGCCGCCATTCTTATCCCGTTTTGCAATAGCATGGACATACAATCGACAGCACCCGCAGCATCCGTAGGTCAGACATTGACAGGGAAAAAAAACGAGAAAGGAAAAGAGAGAAGGAGGAAGGGAGAGTGAGGGAACGGTGATGCTGATCCAAATGTCAATACGCACAGGAACACACCATCCACTTTCATCCACATGGGTATTCTGGTTCATGCACCGACTGCCCAAAGCCAAAATCAAGGATTACGAAGGCAGCATGAAACGCATCGCGTCTTTTTCAACGGTACGCAATAGCAACAGGAGCAGCAGCAGCAGCAGCAGTATCACATATGGCTGACATGGCTTTTCTTTATCCAGGTTGAAGAATTCTGGGCAGTATACAGTCATCTACGTCGACCAAGCGATTTGCCTACTATCAGTGATTATCATTTGTTCAAGCAAGGTGTACGTCCAGTATGGGAGGCAAGTAGAATTTGATCACAAACTTGGGAGTGAGTATGAAGTTAATGGAGGAAGATGTAGGATGATGCCAATATCAGGGGTGGTAAATGGATTGTGCGATTGAAGAAAGGTTTAGCAAGCCGTTATTGGGAACAATTGGTAAGATTGGATATCAAGGAAAGCAAAACGGGATGCTGATATGACTACTCTCCCAGTTACTTGCTATTGTTGGAGAACAATTTGACGTGGGTGATGAGATTTGTGGTGCTGTATTATCGATTCGAAGTTCGGAAGACATCATTTCAGTGTGGAATAAGACGGCTGCCAATGGTCGGATCAATCTCAAAATAAGGTAAGGTGTTCGTTCAATGGGGGTTGTTTGTGTATGTATGTATGTATGTATGTATGTACACTCATCATCCTATGCAGGGATACGATAAAAAAGATGCTTAATCTTCCAGCGGAGACAACAATGGAATACAAGACACACAATGATTCTCTTAGAGACAAGTCTAGTTTCTGCAATACGGATGTATTTCGATGACATGGATAATCAAATGCAGCAGAATAAAGGCATGAGCGCAGGAAGCCACTTTTTTAAGCAAAACAACAACCAAATTGCCACCGATGCATTACATTTTAGGATGAGGAACCCAAATTCTGGTTATCAGCAACAGCATGTGCAATTGAGGAATACAAAGAAGGTTATCAATTAGCCCCTGAATATGTTTTCGCGCGTTGTGTCGATCTTCCTTGTTATGATTTTCCTATGACGTGTCAAAAATGTCTCTGTCGATGGGCTAGCCATCGTGGTGTGGAGTACAAGGGGATTTGGGGGGAGGTATGTATGTATAGGTGGACTTGTGCCATCCCGTATTTGTCATATCAAGATCGCTTGGGTATATCAAGATCGCTTGGTTATGTACCGGAAAAGGGTTTGCACCATTCTAGATAATCCAATTATGACGCGTACGTCTGTGTGTATGTGTGTGTGTTTCTTTTTTCAAAAGTTTGTTGCTGCATGTCATATAAGCTCGGGACTGAATAGGTTACACACGGGCATGGACTGATGCTGATCTACACATTTTGGCATACTTTCATTTGACAAGTCCAGCATTTGGGTCACATTCGCAATGTATCACAACTGCTAGTACAACCCTCTTCATTGTTTCCCCTATTCTCGGATTTGCATTTTCATTCTCCTGCAGGGTGTTTGTTTTTTTTCTACCATTACCTCCCCGCCTTCATAAAAGTAGTAGTCGCGGCCTTTTGTGTATCATTGAAGATGCAAATGAAATGATTTATTAAATAGATGGTTGAGATGAAAGCATATGGATGAAGGAAAGGAGTATGAATGAAAAGGGTATAACATAGTAAAAGTGAGAGAGTGCATACACACACATGCATAAGGGTAAGTGAGAAGGTGGTTAGTGAAAAGGCTGGCTGACAAGATATACATAAGGTGCAATCATACACAGGGTCCAGAGTGCTGGGATGATGATAAATTCTACATATGGAATACAAAAAGCAGGAGCCATGCTGCAGCTATGTGATACAACATAAAGGTAGGGATAAGGTGAACAATGAGGAATATTAATAGGGGTACGGGGCGTATAGATGCGATAACACGTAAGATGATGATGATGACAATTGCTCTTGCTGCACCAATGGTGATGTCCACAAAGACGTTAGCAAAGGTGGTTGTTGTTGCTGAGCACAAACAGCAGCACCGGCTGAGCAATCGTAAATGGCATCGTCCGAGAAAATGGAAGAAGGCGGCGTAGCAACATATGGAAGTGCAGACATTGGCGAGTCATTTCCTACATTCCCTTGGACTAAAGGTGGTGGCATAGCTTCTGCTGTTGTTGGTGAAGAGGATGGGGATAAAATCCAATTGCTGTTGTTGTTGTTGTTGTTGACATGGTGATGATATCCATCAGCGGAAAGATCGCAAAGGCGTCTTTCAAGTTGAATAATATGACGCTCCAAATGAGTAACCTGATGGCCAAGGTCGTCATAAGCTGTCAACAATTCCTTTTCTTTTTCGCCAAGCCGAGTGGCGCTGTGATCACGATCAAGCTCTGGTTTACTAGCACGATAGGCATGCAAAAGGCTCGTATACATAACAGAGATGGTTGCCAACGTGTCAAGTGAATACTCAAGCTCCTTTTCCAATTGCTTGATGTTCATGTCGGAAGGATTAAGTGGCGAAGCCGATAATTCAGGCGACGTGTAAAGCGTGGAAGAAGATGATGGCACCGGAGCAGTGGTGTTGCTGGTGGATTGCATGTCACTATTGGAACGTTTATGTTGTGTTGTTGTGATGGCAGTCTTCTTGTTGATCCGTGGCTTGCGTTTCTTTTGTATACGACCACTTGTAGCTGGTGTAAATGTTTTGGCCCATTTGAATCGTTTGGTGTTTTCAGTGGACATCGTATAAAGAAAGGAAAAAAGGGAAGATGATAATATCCAAGAAAGCGGGTGTTGGTGTATTTATATTTATATAAAAGGGTGGGTTGAAAAAAAAGGCACACCAAACGGAGTTATATACTTGCATGAACTACAGGATGTTACACCACGTATGACATACTTGAAGGTTTGAAGGGGGGAAGGGTTTGTGTGTTGTAAAAAAGTGCGTGTGTGTATGTGCATTTGTGGTGTGCTGCATGCAAGATGTCACAGGCCAGTGCCAAGCAAGGAAAATGATTGGCTCGATTTAGTGTCGTTGTCTAGCACCAATCATCTGACAATGACACTGACGTTTTTGGAGCATGCCCGTGCACTCCTTGTTGTCCCAAACTTCAGTGTGGTGGTCATGCATCATGTTGTAAATACACCCAACCGCCTATTTTTAACGCCACGTTATATCCCAAATGTGCACATCATTTCTCATCCCCGCTGCTGGTGCAGATGTAGTCTGCGTAGTACCGCAATCCCCCTGCAGCTGCCATGTGGTGATTGGTTTGTATTATTGGACAAGCACTACTCCAAAGTATTGATCCTTGCCCCCTTTACCGAGCTCTTGGCACAAATGCGTAATATTGAATGTACTCCTGGTATCACAACATGCATTCTACCACGCTTGTTGACGTGAGATTAAATCATAATCAAAATGTGGCTATTAGAGTGCATCATGGGGTTATCCATCTCCTGCTTTGTTACAATCCCAGAATAGTGCGGGAACAAAAGATTATGTTGAACTCTATGAAAACACAGGAATGCACTGACTTTTTATAAACAAAAACGAAAAAAATAGGGTAGATATGAAAGCAAATGTATATGCTACAGTAGCAGAAGAGTAATATATAAGCGGACAGGAGTAATGAATCTAGTTCTTGAGGGACTTGTCGAAGAAGGGGATCAACTGCTGTGCCACGGTAAAGCTGAAGATCAACTTGGGGCCAACCTATGATCAATACCAAATATAAAAAAATCAGCCCATCATTATCACGTGCATTTTCTTTCCCAATTCGAGAACATACCACCAAAATCTTGGGAGTCAAGCCCTTGAAGAAACCACCAAAACCTTCCTTCTTGATAAGATCCTTGATAATGTTCAAACCAGACTCGGGGTTATCAAAGTTACGGTTCTGGATACGGGTCTTGACAACATCAAGAGGAGCAGCGACAGTGATGGAAGCAACGGCACCACCAATGGAGGCACAGAAGTTTTGGAAGAAAGTGGCCTGGTTGTAATCGTTAAGATGGAAGAGATATTCCTTGACAAAAGCAGAACCACCAAAGAGAGCAAAAGAACCAGGGGCGTTACGAGCAGCGGTCCAGCCAGCACCACTATTGTGTAACATTTCATTCGTTGTCAGTTTTTTTGTTTATCAATGTTCCAAATTACACATACCGATACAAGCCCATGCCCTCATCCTTGATGATAGTCAAGAAACCACGACCACGGAATGCTTCAGGGTTGGTTTGACGCTTGATCTTCAAAACATCCAAAGGCAAAAGTGCGATCTCACCAATACCGACCAAACTACAAGGACAATCATTATTAGTCATTTTCATCATCATCATCCAAGTATCCTCTTTCATCACTCACCTGCCAGCAGTAGCATGCATAATGGTCTTGCCAGTCTTCTCACCAAAGAGCGAGGTGAAGGTGCTCTTGTGATGGGTGTTAAGGTAATCCTTGACGAAAGGTTGACCACCAAACTTGTACACACGTTGAGCGACCTTGTAGCCGGCAGCGAAACCAAGACCAGGGAAAAGGGAAGCATACTTCTTCATGAAGGCTTCGTTGGCAGCATCCTAATCCAACATAGTTAGGTGCCTTGTTGATCCAACCCAACCCCTGTATTTGTTCCTGAGAACTCTCTCTTACCTTGAAAACAATCTTGCTCAAGGCAGCTTGGCTTTCAGCAAAGGTCTTACCACCACCGAAAACCTATTATGATATGAAGGTGAGCCACTTGTGTATTGTGCGTTCCTGATTATCACAACTTACTCTGGTCTGGTTGCTCATAAGACGCTTGGCAACGGTATCAACAGGGTGGAAAATGAGAAGTTCCAAGACACCAGAGCTGGCACTACCGAGGAAACGAGCGGTTCCTGATTCAGACTTTCCAGTGGCGATGGGAGGAGACATGACAAGTAATGGCGAGAGTAAAAGAGGAAGAAGCCGATAAACAATTTTCGAGACTGTCAAAAAAGCTCGATCCGGAACTTGAAAAACATACACAAAAACCTTGTATACATTCTGATTGATTGATTGATGATCAATAAACAATGGTAAAGGTGTCCATGGTCTTTGCTTTTGCTGTTCATTCATCCTATTCCATTATCCATGTTGTGGAACGAACCTTTTTTCAAGTGGCAGTGTGGATGATTCCCCTGTTTCCCCAATATTGTGATGACCCTTGCTGGGTGACTTGCTGCATGACTCACGGAGAAAGTTTGATGGCGGTGTTTACGCTCGATATGGAAGCCCACGTTGTAACACAGACGATGCATCATCATTGGGAACAACATTGCATACATGCAAAGCATTTATAGATTTAGAGCTTGCTATTCTCAAAAGGCTGTTGTACCATTACGTCTAATCGATCCCTGATAATACTCTCGGCATCACCGACCATGCGTTTGACAAGATTCTCACACGTAGGAATATCATTGATAAGGCCAAGGACTTGACCTGCTGTCCATACACCATATTCTGGATCTCCAGTCTCAAAGACAACACGTCCACGTGCACCAGCTACTAATTCACGAATATCCTCAAACTTGACATTCGGCTTACGTTCACGAGCGTTCACTTCAACAGCCACTGAGTTTCTGAAAATCCTTGCCGTATTTCGAAAAGGTCGATACACAAGCGTTGTCGATCTTTCATCAGCCTTGACCATGGCTTCCTTGATACTTTGATGAATAGGTGACTCCACAGTACACATGAAACGTGTTCCCATATTAACGCCTTCAGCACCCAATGCCAAAGCTGCTGCTAATCCACGACCATCACCAAGGCCACCCGAAGCAATATAAGGAATGGATAAAGCACGTGCACTCTTGGCTAATAGCACCAATCCACCAATATCGTCTTCGCCTGGATGACCAGCACATTCAAATCCATCCATGGAAATAACATCCACACCAAGCTTTTGTGCAGAGAGAGCATGTCGAATGGCTGTGCACTTGTGTAGCACAATAATACCAGCATCCTTGAACATCTTGATAAACTTGCCGGCTACATAGTACATACATACACAACTTGAGTTTAGTACTATGTCCCCCTTTTCTCTTTTACCATCGTATCCACTACTTACGGTTATTGCCAGCCGTCTCGACAATCTTGATGCCTTCTTCTACAATCACCTTGGCATACTCTTCATAAGGAGGCGGATTGATCGCTGGTAGTAGTGTCAGGTTAACGCCGAAGGGGTTCTTGGTCATGGTACGGCAACGACGGATTTCTTGACGTAAGGCTTCAGGCGTAGGTTGCGTCAACGCTGTAATAATACCCAAAGCACCAGCATTCGACACTGCAGCAGCCATCTCGGCAGTACCAACAAACATCATGCCACCTAAATTACCCTTTGAGCATGTCACGTTCACTTGAATAAAAAAGTAGCAGCACGCTTTACCTTGCACAATGGGATGTTGAATGCCAAGCATTTCAGTGAGTTTGGTCTTGAGCACCATGTTTGTAGCGAGCAAAGGAAAGAGAGAAAGAAGATGACGTGGTAGATAATGCAGGTGTGTTTACTATCATATGTAATGAGAAGGAGGTTGCTGACTACCCGTGAGAGAAGTGCATGATATTTATGCATGACCATTTTCCCAGCTCCTACTGTATTAGCTGGAGGTGATTCCATAGCAACCGATAGTCCTCTCAAATGCACAATATGAATGGATACGGTCATTATTTATGCTGAGTCATTGTCGTAACATTAACAAATACACGTTTTCATTGTTTCGCGTGAAAAAAGAAATGCATTATTATTGAAAAGTATTAGTGTATGCAAAAAAGTGGTGTGAGATTATGTTACAAAAGGTAATCTACTATGCGAATGAAAGATGAAAGATACCACTCGAATGAGCAAATTGCTATGGGTCTATTATTGCTTGTTGTTTGGGGACGTTTCTTGTTGAGGAGCAGCTTCTGCATCCTTTTTAGGAGCGGGACGTAAGCCGACGCCATACTTGATGTTGCGGATAAAGCAAGCACAAATGAAGCCAATGCCACCGGCAACCAAGGGAATGATAAAGACGTTGTGTAATGCATTCATGTAAGCATGGATGATGGGGCCTTGGTATTCCTGTGGCATGTCACGGATATAAAGATAGTTGCTTAGTGCACCATACTCATTGGCAATAGCGAGGACATCTTGTGATACACCCACGAGCTGTGCTTGTAGAAATGTTTGCAAGACCGTCTGGTATACTGAGATAGCCAAAGAACCGCAAAGCAGCATGAAAAAGTTGTTCTATTATAGAAACGATGGTTTACAATCATGTCTTCTTCGTCCATGCATGCATACTTACCAATGATGTTGCAATAGCCATGTATTTCTTGCCAGCCACCGATTGCACACCCATGATAGCATTGAGCTGGGATAAACCGAATGCCAGGCCTAAGAATGTATGAGCACCTCGTTCATATCCAATGTAAAAACATGCCATTTACTTACCACTGAACATTAAGAAACATGCCTGACGACCCCAGTTTGCGTTTTCATCCACTGTGGAAAATAAGCCGTAGCCCAAAACGTTGGATGCTGCACCAACTATGATAAACACTTTGCAATAGGGAAATCGTGGTAGGAGGATGCCACTCGATACGGAACCAATAATTAGGCACACAACAAAGGGAATGAGGCGGATGCCGGATCCTGTAGCATCAGCACCAAAGACCGCTTGATACATCATTGGAGCAAAATACAACGTGCCCATGAAGGAAAGACCCAAGCAGGACATGTACATGTAAACGATAAATATGCCAGGATTGAGCATGACTTCTCGAGGCATCAGCTAACAAGTAGTAGTAGATGTGTGAATGAAATGTGTATGACACATGTAAATAAATACGACTTACTGGTTCCTTGGCAACTCGTGTCTCGACAATGATGAGAGCAATAAGAGCTACTCCAGCACCAACAAAAGCGCCAATGCTATGCGAATCGCTCCAACCATACTTTTCAAGGCCCCGAATCAGTCATCGTTTGTGATCCATCTTTTGCAATAAAAAGTTACATACCTGTGGACCCCAAGTTACGCCAAGCAACAAGCACACAATGAATGCAATAACAGTGATAACGCCCAGGATATCGATACGCTTGATCTTGGTCATAATGGATTCGGTGCGAGGTTGGCCCGTTTCTTTGAGCAAGAGAGTATTGATAATGATGGCGATACCAGCAAGAATGACATCCAACCAGAAATCCTAAACAACAATGGAGATCAGTAGGGTGGATAATAGAGAAGTACAAATGATGTATAATGCTCACCCATCGCCAGCTAAGGTTATCCACAAAGGCTCCACCAATGAGAGGACCCACCTAGTTACTCGACATACAATCAATCATGCGTACTTGAATATACAACCATGCCCTTGACTTACCACAGACGATAAGCCATAGATCAACGACATCATGGACTGCATTCGAGGACGCCATTTGAGGGGAGCAATGTCGGCAATGACAACGTACAAGATAGGAATGATATTCCCACTACCGGTTCCTTGAAGCGCCCTACCTGCGATTAACCCGTTTATCGAAGGGCTAAGTGCATTGACCAACGAGCCGAGTAAGAAGAGCGACAAGCCAAAGAGGAGTACAGGCTTACGACCAAAGATGTCAGCAAACTATGATGCCCCGATTGAGTTAATATAGAGGTAGTGCGCCATGCATAAAATCTAGATTGTGTACCTTGCCGCTGAGTGGCTGTAAACCAACCATGCCAACCATAAATGCCGTGGCAATCCATGTCGAGTTATTAAGAGCATGTAAATCGGTGGCGATCATAGTCATTGCCGGCGCCACAAGCGTACTATTGATCGTAACCGTAAACATAGAAAGCATCATGCCAAATAAAAGCACAATGATTCGTAGGATTTCCAAAGGCGATTTCTTGGTTGAGGTGTTGGCATTGTCATCATCTTGAGCGGGTTTCTTTTCGTCTTGCTGTGAAGAGCCTTGTTGTTCCTGTTCGTGCTGTTGCTGTTGTTGTTGTTCCACCTTTTTTTCCTGCTTGTTGTCGTTTGCATCATCCAAAGAAATGACTGTAGATCCACTGTGTCGACTTCCAGCTGATATACTTGGTCTCGGTGAAGCCATTGATTATAATACACAAGGAAGAAAAGAGGTACAAAACGCGAGCTTGATTCAATCTTGATTCCTGAATTAGTTTGTTTCATGATCAGGCGGGCTTTCGGGAAAAAGAAAACTCCAAACGCTGCTTTCAAGAAGTATTACTACTGTGAGAATATGCTGACATCTTCCATATATAAGAAATTTGGGTGCTGTAATAAAGCTGATGTAGAATGCACTTGCCCTGGTTATCAATGTTACCATCGTATGGCATTGACTATTGCTATAATTGAAGAAGATACATGTTCCTGGCAATGGTAGGCACTCCGAGAAAAATGCCGCTGAGATTTCATTCAGCTTTAAGGTGCCTGAGCACAAATTTGCCAAGTTTGTTGTGCAAGGTTGATCCATCCATTTGGATGCAGCAAGGTGTAAAAGTCATACGTTAGAGCACAAGAGCAAATTCATTCATTGTCGTATGATGAACTATATATGACAACAGTGTTGAATGGATAGAGATCATGTCCCTCGCTGATTTGATCCAGCTTAAAAAAGGATTAAATGTACCGATCTTCATATACCCGCGCCCTGGTGATCTCCGTCTCGGACCGAAAGCTGCCATCATTGCCCACGGGTTAAAGTTGGTACATTGCCTTGCGAATACTTTCATTTATGGAAATGTTTTCAATCGCTGCTCAATGACTGAATACAGCCAATGACCCATCATCCTTGACAACAGCGTGGATACTTTGGCATGAGGTAAAAGTAAAGTCACATTTTTAAACACCCCCTCCCAATGTCAGCAGTATTATTAGTGTAACGCTGTCAACATAGCTGGTGGACGATACACGTAGTATACCGATCCCTTGCAGCCACAACTTCCATCCCATGATGGATACCACAAAATAGGAAATCACAAGAGGTTCTTGGTACCATGTCTATTCCACATGCTATTAGCACATCACACGTTTGGACGTATGATAAGGCATGGAACGTGTAATGTATAGAGAAGGACACCTTGTCTCTGCACACACGCACTTCTTCTTGGCTCCATACCCTTGCTTTTCATCTCCTTTGACTTATCAACCGCCCATTCTCTTTTGGGCATTGGCTCAATTCTTTCCTCTATCATCAACAAAATGGTTCATGGCATAATCAAATGGCTCTTTTGGGGTAACGACGTTACCCCCATCATCAGGGTATTCACCCCCAAAAGATGTTGTGAATGAATAGCTGAGAAAGACCAGTACTCTGATTGTCTTGGCTGTCGGCTTTTCATAGACAAGCCCAATACGTCACATATAGTATCCATTATTTGTTGTTACATATGCAGGAGTTTATTCCCTGCACAAGACAACGTATAAATCATTTGTTGTGCTTGTGCAGTATTGATTTAATAATGAAACAGCAATAGGGAGGATAAGCTCCTGATGATCAATGCATCTGATAAAGTGTGTCTAGCTTATCTGACGCATTTTCCCTGGTATGCGGGTGATCGAATCGAACGCGTGGCAAAGCTCAACTTTGTACCTCTTGAGTTTTGAGACCCAGTTGAAGTTGTTCCAGGGATATGAACTTGATACCCCTTCCCTCTTTGACCATGACATACAAAGGCTACCTACATGTCGAGGGCAGGAGAACAATCTCGAATCACCGAGACGTTTTCTTGTTAGCGAGATGTAGTTTACAACTTTGGGGAATCGAACCCCATAGAAGGATCATTCAGGGATTGGGTCAATTTCTATGCGCTTCTATTATACCAAAGAACCAACCAGCTGGTAGGTTTGTCCAAAATAAGCAAGGATTGAGTGGGATATGCATACCTAAAAATGGGGAGCTGACTTTATGGAACAAAGCAAATCACCTATTTCGCTTCTTTGCTCTTCTTTGTGTTGATCAGGCCCGCAGGGGAGAACAACGAGAAATACGATGACACTATCATTCACCGATCATTGTCAATGTTTACAGGCGGTAACACAGAAATCTTTATATACACGGCCTATCTCATGCATTTAGCAATTCCTTTTTCTCTTAACTTTTTCGTCTCGTTTCTTTCTGCGGAAAGGTTACAATATCCCGCCTCACTTGCCACGTGAGCGGATGTGTAAGTAAAACGGCCTGTCATTGATAACCACAACTGTGGCTTGATGTATAGCGACTCATTTTATTGATATTGTAGCTGATATTTGAGACACACACGGTTCCTATGTTTCGTTCTAGTCATCAGCCCATCACTGTCACCACGTTAAGCATTGATGTTTTACGGCTGATTCTTGGTTATCTGGATCCTTATTCTCTTGCTGAGCTATCGCAAACATGCCGGATGATGTATCGCATGGTACGACATGAGCTTAATTTTGAGTCAGCTGTTTGGTATCAACGCCACCCCCACCGTGCATATCCCGCATTTCATGGTGATCGTGATCGACAAGATTCCTTGTCCATTTTCGACATGTCAGGCCATGATGACGATTATGATGAATATGATCACACTCGATCCACAAGGGGTACGGCAGCAACAGCAGCAACAACAGCAGCAGCAGCGGATGTTGATAGGATCCGTACCGAGCCGATCTCCATAGCACCCCCGGTATATCATTTGCGTTGTATGGCCATGATTGGAAACAAGTTGTACATGCCATTCATGGCAATGGATCCCGTGTGCTTTATATATGACATTGAACGTAGCGAATGGCACAAGGTCCCTTTGCAAGTGTATCCAGGATATACATCATTCATCTCACCTGTGGTGGCAGTGGGTCGACGATTGTACCTTGTGGGTGGTAGAAAGGTGGCCATGGGCACATTGTCGAATGAAGTGCACGTGATTGATATCGATACTTGGACTTTGGAACGGCTTTGTTTCATGCAAGGACCTTTACCACGAGCTCGATGTGATCACACAGTGGATGTATTGCAAAATCGATTCTTGCTTGTATTTGGCGGGGTGTGTGCCAATTCACTTGGTAAGTCGCTATGCACAAAAGAGTCTCCTTTCTTCCTTTTCCTTCTATTGTTCCATTTGCTTCCTTTCTTTCTTTCATTTTCACACCACCCATCCACACACACTTATACTTGGAAACAATACATCGCAGACTAACGGCCTGACCGGATATCATCGCACAGGAGAGAATGACTTACTTGTATTTGATACCATCACCAACACATGGAGTGAGCCAAAGACTTCAGGGTAAAGAAAAAAAAGTGATCCCCTTTATTTGACTCTTGCTCATAGTCTACATTGGTCATCTATAGACAAATCCCCACTGCACGCTTTGGTCATGCCTCTGCAATGTTGGATGGTGAATTGTATATCTTTGGTGGATGTGAGACACAAGCTGAAGGTCAACTGGTTCATGACATTCTTTATCGTCTTGATTGCCGCACTTGGACATGGTTCAAATATGATCATCCCGAAGCATACACATATCGTCGCTCTCTTAGTCGAAGTGCAGAGATCGCTTCTCCTGGTCAAGAACAAGAAGACTTGGATCAAACTATTTCCGAATCATTGCGTCGCGATCTGATCGTTGAAACAACAGGCCATCCTCCACGCGATCGTCTCAATTGTGTGCTGCAACCGGTGGGGACTCATAAGCTGCTAGTATTTGGAGGGCAAACGATTCGACAAGATGGCGATGACAGGAACTTGTTGCATGCTCATTCACTGAGGTCGATGGACGTGTTTGACTTGCGAAGGAAGCATTGGTCGGCGTTGACAACCACGGCATATGATATCGAAGGCAGCATTTATCCACATGACGTATCAAGCTTTTTGTTGGATGGTCAACACGATGGTGGATACCGGTTACTGGTTATTGGACAACAAAAGGCTTTCATTACGACGACAACGGATTCATCAGGAGAGAGCACAAGCCCTTCCATGACAACGACTGAACAGCATCGTAGTATCGCTTCCATTTCACCCAGCAGCATTCCTTATCATCCGCTTCATCCTCCAACGTCTCATACTCTTTCTGAGGATCCACATTATCAGCAACAACAACATCAACAACAACACCTTTCTCAACGTCGCATCCCTATACGAGAAAGCAGGGCAACGGATCTAGAAGTTTATACATTGGGAAGAGCCCATTTACATGAAACACCATCACTACCACGTCTAAGTCGAGCTATGGCAGATTATGAAGGGTTCTTGGAACCAAGTGCAACGACAAGCGAGGATGATTTTTCGCCTAATCAAGCGCAAAGACACCATCATTATCAGAGTGGCAGCAGCAATAGCAATGATTCGTTTATCCATCCCAACTCCTCCCCATCCCATGACAACATGTTTGCTTCTCTTCCAACGGTCGCTAGTGGATCTTCCCCTGATACGCGAGCCGATGAACATCACATTAGCAGGCAGTTTACTTTGGAACCTCTATGCATCTTTTTGGCACTTAATCAAGAATAAATCCCTCCACCCCATATGCTTTGCCTTCACCCATTGATATCATCATCACATAAAAGCTACTATGCCTTCTTTAATGTTACAATCACAGAATTGATGCCCCCATAGGATGACTTCCAATATGCACGCTAATGGCCCAAATCACGCGTTATGCATGTAATTGACGATGCGAGTTTGCAGCAACTCTACTCTGCAAGGGTTTTGTGCATGCCATGTGTCCATTGTATTATATAAGATCCTCTTCTTACTAGCCCTAGATTAGAATCAATTAAACCATGTTTTGGAGTAACTACAGCTTGCCATGCTATAGCTCTTCGTATTGGATCAAATACAACGGGCGGATGAGATGTACTTGTGTGTGTGCGTGTGTGCGTGTGGCAATGGTTTAAATTCCAACGAGGAGCATGTGATTACCGCGAATGGTATCCTATCCTATCCTCTTTATGACACGTAATGTTATGGACAATGCTAATGGGATGGCAATGGCTTTTAAAGAGATAAAGCAAGATGGATCGAGAAGGGTATCTAGCGTATAGAAGAGGATGAAATCAACTTGGATTCATCGCGCGAGATGCATAATGACAGTGTAAATATTTATAGTTTTGGGGGTGGTGATGAATGCAGTAACATGTGTCATACTCCTCCACACACATGGACACGCAGGTAAATGTTCAAGAGAATCGAGATCGATATAAACCGAGGGTATGTATTATAAGAGAAGGAGGGGGAGAAGGAAGGCAATGTTGTACCTGATTAGAGAGGAGATCGGATACACATAAATGCCAAGATACGACCGGATCGACGTACATGTGCGCGTTTTCTTGTAAGGATCGGCTTGTACGAGAGGAAAAGGATGCTCATGCGAAACCATTCCATATTGGATAATGCGGCACAATGTTCATTGGCGAATGTCATGCCACAGACACATCACACAAGCTATCATGCTTTATTTGATGACGTATTTTAACTTCCTCTTTCTTACTTTCTTCTCTTTTCTCCCCTTTCGCACACCTCTTTTATTACTACCTTATTACTTTTTTCCCTCTTACTGCACAGCCTCTTTCTTTTTGCTTTAAAACACACCTCTCTCTGAATCATGCAGGCAATCAAATGTGTAGTCGTGGGTGATGGGTAAGTACCTCCTGAGGTGGGTGGTGGGCGAGATGACGGGTGGTGGATGAGTTGAGATGATGTCCCTTGGAGGTTGCATTCGACTACTACGCTACAGGAGAGGACACGCCATACTCGCTTCAGCATACGTATCCACAACACACGACACACTTGGTTTACAACAACATACAATACACGCACACCCATATATCAGAATTTAATGCATTACAGCAAAACTCGGTAGTCTACCACCACCAACGCCCAGTGTTGTATTGCGAATGCGAGATAGAGTTGTCGGCAGGAGCAACTCAGGGGACAAAGGGATACACGCACGCATTGCTACCGATCTCTATACACTATTTGGGAGAGAGAGAAAGAGATGACAAGTGGAGATGGGAGAGAATAGGAGCAGGCACATGGGTGTTTATCTTTACATTTCCAATTCTAATCATCCATCCATATCTCTTTGTAGTGCCGTTGGTAAAACTTGCCTGTTAATTTCTTATACAACAAATGCATTTCCCGGTGAATACATCCCAACAGTGTAAGTGAAGGGAATTGGATTGGGAGAAGATACATAGCCAATGACTTTACTCATATGCCATGATCAGCTTTGATAACTATTCAGCAAACGTAATGGTCGACGGCAAACCTATCAATTTGGGATTGTGGGATACAGCAGGCCAAGAAGATTACGACCGATTGAGACCATTGTCCTATCCTCAAACCGACGTGTTTTTGATTTGCTTCTCCCTCGTCAGCCCGCCCTCTTTTGAAAATGTCAAGACCAAGGTAATGATGAAGAAAAGGATACTACTATGGAAAGTGGGCCTGATATCGAAATGTTGTAGTGGTACCCGGAAATCAGCCATCATGCACCCAATACGCCCATGATTCTCGTTGGCACCAAGCTGGATCTACGTGAGGATCCTGAGACAATTGCACGACTCCGTCAAAAGCACATGGCACCCATTTCATACTCTCAAAGCTTGCAAATGCAAAAGGAGATTGGCGCGGTGAAATATTTGGAATGCTCAGCATTGACACAAAAAGGCTTGAAGAACGTGTTTGATGAGGCCATCCGTGCAGTCCTTTGCCCTGCTCCTCCTCCGAAAAGGCAAAAGAAGTGTATGATTCTGTAAAAAAAAAGCAAATATAGTATACGGTTATGCATATTGGGAAATAATGAGGGAAAAAGTGTTTGTGGCCCAAAGATGGACGTTGTTTACATTTGTGATACCATTTCTTTGTTCTGGATCTTGGATCATTGAGATCAGCAACATGCCGTGTTGCTCTTATTAGTTGATGCTGTATATATAAATACAATGCGGGAGCCCAACTTGCATGCGAGTAATCTTGTTTTGCAGTGTCAAATCAAATGGTGCAACCATCCAATGGCTGTGTGCTTTTTTTGGAGTCAAGGTGTGTTGGATGCTGCTATGATGCACGTGCATCTTTCAAAGTGTCAATAAATCAGCTTATGGATTATGGACTTGGATTGTTGAGTGATTGAATGGCTAGCTCTCTCAAGGGTTATATGTTGTTGGCCAAGGTAAAAGCCATAAAGTGAATAGTAAACGATGCACCACAAGTTGCATCCGTGCTTTGTGTTCGGGAAAAGCGGAGGTGATACGATTTCTTAGACTGTATGTTTTATAAAGGTGTTTTTCCGCTCTTTATAGTGTCCGATACTTTCAATGATTGGCTGCTGTGCGGGAAGACATTTGAGATCGACAAAGGCCAACTGGGCAGTTACGAGGACACCTGAGTTTTTCGGGAGGATGATTTTGAAACAATCAGTTAGGTCTCCATTCATGGAACAAAGACGCCACTTCAATTCAAAAGAAAATGAAAAACCCCATATTGAGTAATATGCTATGGGGTAAATTACGTTTATTCGTTAAGTAGTAGATGATATGTACATGTAATCGGTAACATTCAGTCAAGGTGATTAAGAACTCGACGCGATCGTCGTTGTCGCAATCGCTCGTATTTGTAAAAGAGACTTGCAATATCCTATTACGGGGTCAGCACCCAATCTCTCTCTTTGACGCATCATGCGCATATACCTTTGTGATCACATAAAGACATCCTCCAAGTGTGTTGCGATGGAAAGGCTCCGGAAAGTACCGACGAATGAATTGAAAGTTATTCAACATGCTGCATGATGAGTGAGATAATGTGAGCCGATGATACCATTGGGCATCATTGTACTTTTTACCTGCCGAGGATGCTGCTGATCAATGGCCATAGTAAAGCATTGATAATAGACAATCCCTTGTGTCGTTGATTATTCAAGGTGCTGATGATTGATTCATGTCGACGTCCTCCATTGGTATTCTGGTACCACATCCGGTATTCGAGATAGCCAAAGATAGCATTGTAAAAGAGTCTTTTCGAATAATATCCAAATAAGTCATTTCCCCATCCCCAAATGCAAAGGGAGGGGTTACCTCCCAATAATGACATTACCTGACCCAAGGGAAAAGACCAAGAATGGCAGCTGGTGAGGGGGGCCAACTTAGCTTGATTTGGTTTAAAGGACTTCCCAATGCACGGAGTAAGAGCACAGTAGCGAAAGGAAGAGCGCCGTCAGACCATCGAAAATTACAAGCAATGAGAATGGCGGGTATCAATGGCATGCCTATCCATGTACGCCAGGTCCATTGTGCTGGTGGTCCCAGTAATTGCTCGCTTTGCTCACCGCCAAGAAATGCTGTAACACTCAGCGCACCAAATGTTGTTGAAGTAATAAGAGCCGAGCAACCGATACCGAGAAACGTGATGTAAGGAACCGTTGCTTGGATAATACGATCCAATCGATTCATGACAACCAACGCCGTACTCATGCTTTGCACAACAAAATAGGTTGAGCCACACTGAGGACAAGCGGCTTGTGTATGTGGCGAGTTCTTTTGCGTTTCGGCGATCCAGTCGAGCAGACATTGTTCGTGCGATGTCAAAGAGCACTTGCAAGGCTTCACCCATCGGTCACTATTGTCGTTCTCATCATAGCAGATCCAACACCGAGAGTCGATCGACATGTGAAAGGAAAAAGATAGAAATAGAAAAAGGGGGATAATGATAAAGGAATAACAACTCTCTTCTTCACACACAAGCACACGCAAACACCTTTATGTGATGGAAAAGAGCAGGTGGGACAAATTGCACCAATACCCCAAAAGCGTTCTTTTGACAGCTTTTAGAGCCATCGCACACCTATTGCCACTACTGCTGCTTGACTTTATTATGCTGAGTCATATGTAAATGATGCGTCACCTATCATACCTTCCCCTTATTATCACTTTTGAGTTCTTTTCTTCAATACATCCTTTCAAAGATGATTGTCACACTTGAAATTACATATGACATTCGGTTGTGGGAGAGCCATGTGAAACATTGCTATGTTGCTATACCTTTTCTTAAAAGTAGTCCTTAGTGGCCATTGATCCATAGATAGGAGTCCAATGATAACACCAGCTTCATGCCATTCAATACAGCCTTCAGCAGTCCACAAGTCTTGTTATCCTTGACACTGAGCAAGCTTCCAACGCCAAACATGTGGTTTCATTTGCAGTGAAAAAGTATCTCAAACTTTGCAGCAGGTCTTTGCTTTGACAGCAATGGGGTTGTTGGAGCGGGCGACTAGTCACATGAAAGTGACAAGTGCCAAGCCAAGACATACTCATGTCACCTACGAGAAATCATCTTTCAAGTGGTAGGTCGATTTATCAGCTGTGGTTTTCCATCACTTCGACTCAGTACTCCAAGATGCTTGACCACATTACCCACACCCACTCATATATAAGAAGGCTGTTGTCGCCAACACCATCATACGCTCTTTCTTTCTACCCGTATTCATATCATCATCAATGGCCTTTGGTAAGTCACAAGGATAGTCCTTTATGTGATCCCCAAAATGAGGGTAATCATGGATCCATTTATGTAGCTCATGTCATTGATTATTGGTGTCTAATGACTTTTAGATGTTGTATTCATCGATGGACCCTTTGTGATAGGTATTCCTTTCATTATAGGCAAAAGGCAACCTCAGTCTGATGGGAAATTTGGGAGTCCTTTGTAGGTGATTTAAGCAGCACATGCGATAAGCGACAAGAAAGCGTTAAGTTACAAGTGACAAGAAAGCAAAAGCTACAAGTGACATGCAACAGAAATACTCATTGTTAGGCCTACAGTATAAAGAAGATTCGGATTTCAAGAGGATTCGCAAGCTAACAAATGCAGGCATTCAATACACAGAGACCTGATGATGATTCGGAGGATGATCCCGAACCCATGCCGACACCAAAAGACCTCCCTTCCAATGTCAGGCCCACCCACACCCGTAAGCATGTTGGTGTTTTGTCAAGTGTAGAACCAGCAACCAAGACATCAGACATGAAATGTGCCAGGGTATTCAAAGAGGAGCACCTCAAAACCCACAAGTACATAGATGAGCTGGAAAACATGCTACCAGCAAGGAAAAGCCGAAGGGCATTTCTCACGATACAGCAACTACAAATCACTTAAAAAACACCTTTGATGAATTGCACAAAGAACCCAAAATTGATATCCCCTCTTTGTTCTCTCGTTCTTCCCCTTTGCGATGCTCATGAATAATACTACTTCCCCTTCCTTATTTATTGCCCGCTACGCTATCTCTGCCTAAACCCTTGATGAGAACACAGGTCATCAACTCATCACACGCTTTTCAGGATCAATAAAGGTTGCATCAGAAAAGTAATCTTTGTTGGTTGGTTGTGAATGTTTGCGATAAAGAACGCGAGATATTAATGCGAGTGGATATGATGAGAGGTGGTTTTTCGGGGACGATGTTGTGATTAGAAAATGTACATGCAGGAATAGGATTGATTGAAAGTGGGGAATTGAACAACGACTCATGCATTGGATCCCTTCATATACCAGGATGGTTTCTATTATATACATTTGTCAGCAAACCCACCTATGATTTGATAGCAAAACCACTCACTGTATCCGATCCTCTCTTTTCTTTGATAGCCATATCCTTGATCTTCATTTCAATTTGACGCTTTGGTAAGCTTTGCAGTAACCTATTCACGGTCTCTTAGTATGCAATCCCCATACCCTTGCCACCATGAACTTACTTGTTTGATTTGGCTTCTGATATCAGCTTGGTCATGCCATCATTCTTTCCAACTTCAATAATCTAAACCCAACCCATCCATATGAGCATCCCATCTTTGGTAGCATTCAAGAGATATGACTTACCTGCATAAGCTCGGTTGCTTGTTCCTCTGTAAACTTTGCTTTCTTGGTCGATTCGTCACTATTCCCTGGTGTAGAGGTAATATCCATGTCTTCTGATAGTAATAGCGGGTTGTAAGGCGTTGAGACGTCTATAGTGCAAGCATTAGCTCATCCGGTGAGTGTCCTTTTATGCCAACATACGTACCTCCCAGCATTCGAATTTCATACTGCTTCAAAGTGTCATCTTCGCTATCATCACTATCGTCAAATATCGGTCCAATGGCAACAGGGCGAATGGCAGTATACTATATAGCAAACATGTATAAGCGAAATGGCAATCCTCTTTTGCTCAAAGACGAAAAAAAATCACTGCACCTTCTTTGCTGGTCGTACAATAGGCCTACTAGAAACCTTTCCAGAGAGCTCATCATCGCTATCAACACCTTCACCCTCCGATAGGTAGCCTTCAGGGACAAGCCAGTTGGACTATGACAAGCAATACTTAGCATCTCATCACGTTAAGTTGCTGGCTCTATGTATACTCACGTCATCTGGATCCATAACATCAGCTGAAACATCCTCGTCCTCTTCATCGCCGCTTTGAATTTCTTCGCCTTCACCCTCTGGTTCCCATTCGGCTTCACTGTCATGCTCGTAATCGATATGATCATGATCCTGTCCAAATGGATTGCAGGCAGTAACAGCATTGCTCTTCTTTGTCCATGTGCCTATCGAATGATTCAAATTAGTTTTTAAGCCAAGTTGTTGAGCGACACACGTCCCAATACATTACCATAATATGCCGGCCTGACATCCTCGCAAAATTGAAGTAGCTTCATACGTAATGCTTGATGACTGAAGGCATCCTCTGAAATATTGGGGCCAAGTAAAGCGCTGCGTAAATCGATGCTTTTGGTGATACCACGCTTTTGCATTTCCTTGGGTACTCGAGATCGCAAATCATGCAGGAATTGTTGTTGGAGATCCTTTGATACTAAACATCCGAGACTTAAGTTAACATCACACAAATGAGTACGCATGATATCCCTTTTTACCTGGCACAGGTGTAGTTTCATTGGTGCTGTAAGCTGTTAATTGCGCATAGAAATCGGGAGAGTGAACATTTTGACCCGGCCATCGATGAATTGACACATGCTCTTTGACGTAAAATGGTGGAAACATGCTTGGATTGGTCTTGGTAAGTTCAGCGCCTAGAGAAAGAACGCATCGTCAGGATACCCGAATGAGCTCGTAGCGGTAACATACCAAGAGTAGCATTGGTGTGCAATTTGTCTTCAGGTGCTTTGGTAAATAAAGATGTGAGCCGTAATTGAGACTAGAATACATACACATGTTAACATCACTCTCCCTTATTGCACTTTGATTACTTGCCTGTTCCTTTCTCTTCTTTTCTTCTTCACGACGCCGTCTTTCATCTTCACGCTTTTTCCTTTCTTCTTCACGTGCTCGCTTCTCCTCCTCACGCTTCTTCTTTTCTTCTTCACGGATGCGCTTTTCCTCTTCCTTCTTTCGCCGGCGCTCATTCTCCAATTCGATCTCTTCCTTCGTCTTGATATCGTCCACAACTTGTGACTTGCGGTGTTTTGTGTGCAGTAATGCCAATTGTTGCTCGGCTGACAGGCTTTGAAATGCACCAGTAATTACCTCGCTCATCTGGAATATAAGAAACAAAAAGGTGAGCAATCATAAGAATAAAAATGAATCGTAAGATCCTTTACCTGTGAGCGTAAATGACGCCGATGGTTGATCACTGCTTGAAGATCTGGAGGGAGACATGAAATATCGGATGCTTCCCAACGCGATATGGATAGGTGCTACGTGATCCATATGTAAGTACTCTATTCCCTTCTCCATAGATCAAAAGCTTACATGGGGTATCATGGTTGGGCCACCTTCTAATTGTGTCAGCACGCGAGGTGACAATCCATACTTTGCTCTGCTTGCACATGACTTGATTCCACGTTCAATGCTCTCCGTGAATAGCTCTGTGACTATTTGCACATACACCCATTAGCCGGTTGTTGATATGAATAGTATCAATCCACAATCTTACATCGCTCGTTTCTTGAGAAGGGTGATAAGACGTCGTTGATGCGGTGTGAAAGTTGATTGATGGATTCCTCACTTTTTCCAATAAAGCATAGCCATGTTATTAGAATTGATACCTTATCCATCCATGTATCCATTTACCTATCCTGGGTCAATGCAATAATGAGATCAATGTAATCCCTGGGATATTCAAAGGTCGGTGTAACAGTGGATGCTGCATGTGTTGCTTCAAATTGTTGACGATGCACACGAAATTCAGCAATACCTATGGGCAAACATGTGAGCAAATAGTTCAACAACGAGAAGAGGGCAAAAGAACATACGTTGATGGATGAAAGGATGATTCTCGGCTAGCAACTTCGATTCCGTGTAACAAAGCTTGCCGTCCTTGCAATACTCGATCGTCTACATACACATGCATTCAAGTTAGTCGACCTGGTCCACCAACATTCTTGCTTGAAAACTCACAATGGGCTGACGAGGTGATGGTGCTGTAGTCCTATCTTCCAATTGCACTAGAATGTAGAATTAGAGTCGACTTGTAAATAGATCTCGTGCCGTTATCCTCACGTACTGGTTTGCAACTGTTGGGCTGCAGAAGCTAGCTGTCGATTGTCAGATGGGGCGGGACGAATGGGTGACAATGATTTGTGGGTGGCCATCCAAGGGAGAAGAAGTCGGGTAGGGCTCGGAAACACGACGCGTCTGGGGAAAAGAAACGAATTTCCTCCACCAGACGCGTTTTAGTTGCCCGATATTCAATTAGGATGCTACCAATAAAGAAATCATATTAAATCATGCTACCCTGAACAAAGTGAAATGATCATGTATATGCGGCATCATGTATTCTATAAAGATGATATCTTGGTCAATGCTGCTATAGGACCCTATCAACTTCCCCTCCTTTTCCAGGATTCAATCGTTGTAGCTGAATCTGGAGCTCAAAATTTATGGATCAAACCTTATTATATCTATTGATAATGCTATCGTGATACTTTAAGCTACGTGGTAATGTTATACACAAAAGCAATGTTCAAAAGGATGATCATGGTATGGGCTACGTCGATAAGAATGATGATGATGCCTGCATTGTGATGATGGAGGGACAAAATAAGGTTGATAGTAGATATGCCATGATGATGACATTGTTGCCTCGTGACACGTGGATGGTTTGACGTCGGCGTGTTTCCGCCAAACAAGGTAACAAGAGTATTACATCCCACTAGCAAATTGTGTGAGAGTTGCCATGCGCGCATTTAAGAATGGTCTTATGTTTTCCCCCCAACCTGATGCAACCCATAAAAGTGAATAAGTCACCGGGCGGTGCTACAACTTGAATCACTTAAAAGAAATCACTCATATCCTGCTGTTGACGAAAAGGCAACAAGAAAGAAGAAGCGTTATGGGTGTTTTGGATTATCTACGTGCAAGCAGCATAGTGCACTCGATACAACAATATGATCTTGTCAATACCCCTGAATTCCAGAAACCGGTGTGGCTGCCTGTATCAGGCACTATTCCACCATGGCTAAATGGCATTCTATATAGAATTGGTAAGTAGTGAGAAAAAGAGATCCAATTCCTCGTTACAGCATACTTACATGAACCTTAGGACCCGCAAAATACAATCTCGGCGATCAAAATGGAAAGCAGTACATGATACGGCATGCATTTGACGGTCTACCTTTCATCCATCGATTCGAACTATGTTCAAAACAACAAAAGGTGCGATACAATTCACGACTAACGGCCGAAGCTGTGGAAAAGACACTTGTAAGCGGCAACTCCAACAACATCTTTTTCGGTCACATGCCAGACGAAGAGCAAGGATGGGGTCGATTCGCAAAGACGATACAGCGGCTAGATAGCACCCTTTTCCGAGCCACACCACAAGATGTCACATTACTCGATCCATCATCCAGAGCTGTAGGCGTCACTGTTACTCCAAATTACCCATTGCCAAAAGCTCTACAAAAAGCCGACAGCAATGATCGTGTGCTTGTAGCAAAATCCGATTACAACATGCTACAACAAGTAAATGAAGATACCCTTGGTAAGAGAACATGATGATGATGACTTTATCTATCCAAGATCTGACAACATGTTTTATGTAGAGCCACAGCTTCTCTTTGAATACAACCATTATGATAAGAAGAACCTACATGGCATTCCTACAGCAGCACATCATCAATACGATGCTGAAACAGGCGAGACATTCAACGTTTTAGTCAATTTCGGACGCGTGTCCAAGATGACCATCTTTGCATTGGATCATACAGGAACACAAACAAGGGTGTTGGCAGAAATTACCCATCGAAAACTTGCCAATGGCGATACGAGCGAGCCAATTCTTTTATCGTACATCCACTCGTTTTGGTTGACCAAGCACTATGTCATTATCCCAGAATCACCGCTTCATTATGGCAATCGAGGACTTGATGTCCTTATGAGTGGTACCATTGTTACAGGCCTAGCATGGAAGAAGAATACACCTACCTACTTGCATATCATTAGCCGAGATACAGGTGGATTGCTCGTTTCCCTACCCACCGATCCATTTTTTACGTTCCATACCGCCAATGCATGGGATACCATTGACGACAAAACGGGCCAACCAGTCATCCACCTCGATTGCTGTGCTTTTGATAGTGCCGATTTTCTTTACAAGCTATACAATCTTGGTCAGCGGGACGCAACAGAGAGTACAAAAGACAAGAAAAAGACGACACCCATCGAGTACAGAGGCATCACTATTGACGAAAACAACATGCCAACATCACACGCTGATTTGCGTCGATACAGCGTCACGTGGGGTGACAAAGAAAACAAGGCGACAAGCACCACTATTACACCTAATGTCGAGTTCCCTCGTTTTTCACAGGCGTACACGCTCAAGCCATACCAATTCTTATGGGGTTGCCAAGCAAGTGAAGATGATCCTAGTAGATCCGTACTATGCAAAGTGGACTTGGATACAGGCCATGTCACTCGCAATACCAGCAAAGGATATTCATTTTCGGAACCCATTTTTGCACCAAGACCCGATGCCACCAGCGAGGATGATGGTGTGTTGCTATCGTTTGTGAATAACGTATCCGATCATCGTTGTCTCCTAGTCATTGTGGATGCATCCACGCTTGAGGAGATTGCAACTTGTGATGTGGGTGACTTTACAGCTACCACTTTTCATGGTTCATTTGTATCAGACAAATTTGAGAACATCTCCGTAAACTAAGAAATAAAGTATGTAATGCACAAATGTTGGCGATGATGGTTACACAGTGGGGCGATGATGCTGTGAGAGGCGGCATGATTATTGATTCCTCCTATTTTGTATGTACACGCCATCCTTTTTCTTTCGCTCTTTCACTCACACACATACCCACTACACGCGCTGTGTCCCTCACTTTGAAATGCCCTCCAAAACGACACGATCATCCCATACAGCCAAAAGCCAAAGCACCAACACCTCGTTTGGCAACGCTGCTATGCTCTTTTGGCACTCTTACAAAAAGGATACTCCCACAAGTCTCAAAATGATTGACTGCTACCTGGTGTACATTATGCTGACAGGCATCATCCAATTTGTGTACATGATCCTCGCTGGTACTTTTCCCTATAATGCTTTCCTTGCGGGTTTCATCTCTACGGTGGGAAGCTTTGTGCTGGCAGGTAAATAGATCCCTGGATATGTATAAAAGGGTGATACAAAGTTTGCATCCTTGTTCTAATGTTGTATGTGTTGTGTGATAAAAAAAAGCCAATTTACGCATCCAGACCAATCCTAAGAACGCCAATGCCTTTCAAAGTATCTCACCCGAACGGTAAGTTATTGAGAGTAAATGCTGAAGTACATGATGTTTATTGAAAAGCTTCATCTATCTAGCGCATTTGCAGAGTTTGTAGTGGCCTCTTTGCTTTTACATTTCTTCTGTGTCCATTTCTTGGGATAAATCTAAACATAGTAAACTTTTTGGAGCTGCTTGTAATATACGATCATTCATTTGAATAAAGGCATTTGGTCCTGTTGAGTGGCAACGCGTTGATTTCGTGTTAAGATTTTCAGTCGCTCCCGCGTCGGTTCCAAGCCGACAACTCCTTTCACCTCTTTAGCTCTTTTTCACATTTCCGCTACTTTATATACATATACCCCAATGGTAACCTTCACATGCTCTATTCAATCGGGCCAATCGTAACCTCTCCCTATCATGTTGTGTTAGAGTCAAAGCCAAAGCCAAAGTCAAAGTCAAAGCCAAAAGCGTAAATCGCGAGCGATCCACGATGACAGCGACGACGATTACTCTGGGCCTGCGTCACAGCGTCCAAAGGCCGAGCATACCATCAACTGGGACAACGAGGTATGCGTGTGTGTATCATCCTTTGATCTCTCACATGTTGTTAAAACGTTCCGCGTGTGTAGACTATAGCTCGCAAAGTCAAGGACACAGTTCGATATGCTTTAGCGTGCGAGTACAGGCGACAACCTATTCGACGTGATGACATTAACAAGAAAGGTTAGTACCAAAGAATACATGGATGACTTCGGATCCATTCACTAATGATGATGGTACATGATAATAGTGCTTCAAGAACGGACACGTGAATTCAAGCAAGTACATGCAGCTGCTCAAAGGAAACTCAAGCATCTATTTGGAATGGAAATGGCTGAAATGGGTCAAAGGGAAAAGCCAAACATGAAAGACAAGGCCAAAGGTAAGTTTCTTGAATGGATGAACAATGAAAGGGAGGATACTTATGATGACTTGGGATCATTAGTTGAAAACGCCAAGCCAGTGACGACACGCAATTACATTCTTCGAAGCGTCCTTGACAACAAGTACAATGAGCCTGAATTGATCAAACGGAAGAATGAGGATTATGAATCGATGGGTATCTTGTATGTCATCCTCGCACTGATCTTCACCAATGAACGGGCAATGCATGATGGTAAGAGGGTTGTTCATCAAGTTAGCAATACAATTGACATTTCCCAAATCATCTATCAGTGAATCTCAAGGAACATTTGGATCGTCTCAATGTCCATGATGAATGTCCCAAGTTTGGTGACCGAGAAAAGTTACTGGATGGGTTTGTCAAGCAAGGATATCTGCATCGGGCAAAGGTGGGCGATGAAGCTCGTGGTAACAATGACAACGTTTGGGAGTATTATTGGGGACCACGTGCACGAGCAGAGATCATGGATAGCAACATTGTGGATTTCATTACATCGGTAAGCAATGGTACCCTTATTCTCTCTCACACATATTCACGCACACATGTCATTAGTTTTTCGGGGAAGAAAATGTGGATGTCGAGGACCTTTCAGCCAACATTTTCAAAGCTTCAGGGTAAGATAAGAGATTGTTACGAGTCAAATGGTGTTTCTAAGACAAGCCTATTGCCTAGTGTCACTGACTAGTATTATTCCAGGGATGATATCAAATCCAGCACCCTTTAACATAGTGGTTGGCAAAAGTAAACTTTCTCTTTGTTGATGAAACTATACATGATGTAGCGAGTTGGTTGATGGGGGTGGTAAATAGTAACATACACTAGCTAGAGTTGTGCTAAGACACTTTCGATACGTTCAGGAGTACAATGGGGTTCTGGGCTGGGATCAAGATGAATGATACGCCTGATTCCCTCGTTTGTGGTATAAGTGGGAGGAATGTAATTCATTACGAATCGATGCAGGATGTTCAACCCTTCATTTCCTTGGACCCCGGTAGGATGATCTTCTCTTTCAAGGATACGCTCGCCACATGTCTATAAGAGAAACTCGCCTGTAAACATGACATGGTTTCTTTTTCCATCCCACTTGCAACATACTTTCTTATCCGCCGTTAGCACGACACAGTCCACAGGCACGTTGTATTCCCTTGCAATACGAATCCATGTACTACGCTGCTGCTCATCAAAGTTACAGCGATCAATGACCACGTTCAATTGCTGTTCGAGAAAACGACGACAATGCCGTTCACAATTCTTGCGTGATCCCAAATCGTCTTGGTTGACACGTCGCCAATTCTATCCCAACAACGAAATCAGCCCCTGCTAGCCAAGAGTATATGGGTTACTGTATTCTACATACTGGTTTTAGCTCAACAAGCTTGTTGGAGAATGTGCTTTTGCCTGAACCTGGTAGGCCCACCAAAAGAAGGACTCTATTGGACATGGTAGTGTAGTGGATGAATATTGCAACGCAGCAACCGTTTCCTTGGACACACAATAAAATGTTGTTTTGTCCCGCCTATTTTGGCGCAGCGTACTGTACATACTACAACTTTTGCCTCTTTGATGAACACAAAGCGTTTCTTTGTTATAAAGTGGGGAGCCAACGGTTATCCATCCAAAAGGGGTAAACCTGAGTTGATAGAAGCTGCATCATGTTGCATCGCATGTGTGTCCTATGTACTAGGCAAAAAGAAAGTACTAGCAGCCGACCGACAACCCCCTTGCTGCTGTCACCCCCTTTCCAATTAAATCGATCCGAATTCCCGAGGTGATGTTGCTTTTTGTGTAAACCTTTGTTGACAAAGAAATAAACATCATTCTCTCTCTCGCGCCTCCACCATTCATTGTCATCAACAAGTTTTCGCCCTGGCAAACTAGTGCATCGAAACGACAACTTGGATTGTTTATCATAGGTAAACAACAACCTGGCATAATGACTATCCTCCGTATCTACCCGATCATGATGTGGGGTCATCATCTTTTAAAAGAAAGAGGGGAGAGAACCATGGAAAAAGAGAAAGTCTTATCGTAAAGTGCGCGTGTGGGTGTGTGATTCAAGAAACTCACCCCCCGATAACCATGATGTGACTCACACACACACAACACAACGCTATCACTCAGCAATCACACACAAAGAAAAAGTTAAACAAAGATGATCATTTCTTCTACCCCTTATACGTGTCTGTGCCTGTGATCATCATCGTAATGCCAATCAAATCACAATGACTAGATGGATAGGTGGATTTTTGGAGCAACATGGAACGATATTCATTAAAAACCGGCAAGTCGTTCAGGTTATGCAAGGGTTACGCCAAAGAGTTGGCTCGACCGCTTAGTGATTTGCGGAACTGCGGTGTGTGCAACAATTGGAAAAGTGACCCGGTGACACGCCCATGTCATGCTTGAATTGTCTCGAACCCCGTTGTCAGTCTCAGTCGACTTTTTTTATGTGAGTGGTGGTGGATGATGGAGAATAGATCATTTTGCCACTTTTTGATGCATAGTGTCAAGGGAAAAATAGGTTGACCGGGGTACCTGTATGCAAACCGCGTGAAACCTGTACAGGGCTGCACTCCTCGTGGAGTGAAAAAATGTAGTAGTAGGGCATGATATCGATCCCATTTACTCCTTAAAGTTCGAGTTTACACACATATCTCGTTTACTTTTCGCACGCACACACGCATACACACATAGATAGATCTACTTGTTCCCATGGTAAATGTCAAATTATAGAAAGGGCAGTGTTGCTCAAATAGAAGGGGATGGAGGGAGAGGGGTCGTGTCTTTTTCTTTTGGTGCGCATAAAAAATGTCATCATAGTAGCGTTGATAGTGCAAGCATAGTGTGCATGGTGAGCCAATCAAAAATGATGATATTGTACGACATTGGGGGTTGGGGGTGTTGGAATCACTCATATGTCCGTGAAAGGTATCAAAGGCCCGAGCTGCTTGGGGCTTCAAGACATGCATCAACACACACGCAGTTTTGCATGCGTGACTTTTTGGCATCATTCACACACACCACACACCAACCCATACATTCACCCCTCGCTTTCCCCCTTTTTCTTTGTTTCCTTTTCTTCCTCTTCTTTATTATTTACATCTCTTTTTCTTTTCCACTCTTAAACCCCATTCTATCCTATTTATCATGGACTTTGAAGATATTGTCGACATGGATTGGATCGATTCCAACACAACCTCCGACGACTCACTTCCCACGTCGTCGTCTTGTCAAGTCGCCATCAAGCAAGAGCCAATGGAGGACCATTCACCTTTCCAATCCAATGCCTTTGATGCCGATTCCTTGTATCGTTTTACTGAGCAGCCTTTCCTGTGGCAGCAAGATTTAACCACTTCGGCGTCGGCGTCCGCATCGTGTAGCAGCCCCGTGTCTCCCACCTCCTCCTCATCTTTGCCTGATAAGGATGATGACCATCCAATGTCGAAACAGGAGGATGTCAAGTTGCCACCTGAGCTTATGATGCCAAGCACTGAACACATCAAACAATTGATTGAAATCGCCAAACGACATTTGGCTTTGCGTGAACAAGGATTACGACCCGAGGATATTCATGGCGCCGCTGCTGCTGCTGCCGCTGCTGCTTCAATGCCACTCTTTACCACAACACCCACGGTGATGCCTGATACTGTTGCACCTGAATCTCTCATGAAACTATCGGCTGCTGCAGCTGTTGCAATGAATGTGGATCATCAATCACAACCACAACAACAACAACCACAGGCCCCAATGGAGAAAAAGACATCTGATGTGAAAAAACCAAGTAGCACAACACCACCTCCGACATCAACGCGTCGTGCTTCAAGTGTCTCACTCAGCGAAGAAACCATGACATTAGAAGCGTATGCTGAATCGGATGGCATTGATATCAAGAAACTCACTCCAAAAGAACGTCGACAACTACGCAACAAGATCTCGGCACGTAATTTCCGTGTCCGAAGGAAGGGTAAGTAAAAGGGAGCAAGGGAGGCTTGGGGGTTATGAGTGTAGAGTCTAAGCATAGAGAAGAGAGAGAGAGCGCGCGAAAAAAAATGGGTGATCCCCTCCCCCCCCTTAAATCTTATCGTTCCCCCACTCACTAGTATTTGTTTATGTAGAATACATCAATACATTGGAAGCTCAAGTGGAAGACCATAAACAACATGCTGATCAACTTCAATCACGGCTGGATGATGTTGAGGAAGAAAATAAGCAGCTGCGTCAAGAAGTGGATACATTACGGCGTCAAAATCAGCAATTGCTTTTACAACAACAACAACAAAAAAGCACGGGTGCATCTTCTTCTTCAAGTGAATTGTCACGTACACCATCATCACCACGAGTATCTTCACCTATCCCCAAGCCCAATCTTAACAAGGATATCAGCATGCTTGGTAGCAAGGCTAGTGATACTTATCGTCAAGACACTCGGATCCTTGTGTCCAACGCCGTGATGCCTGTATGGAACTTTGATCGAATCGTTGCATCTCAGCACCCAACCACTACCACAAAGATTGTAACTCAACCCTCTCCTCCTCCCACGACTCATCTCATGCAGATGGCTGCTGGTTACTTGCTCGCCACTTTTGTGCAACTCACGCGTTCTGCTGCTATCACCAATACGGGATTGTTACCGACAACCACTGAGTGCCACCATACACAAGATCGACAACAACAACAACAACCACTACCACTACTACCAGAGGATCGTGACTTTTCAAAATCAACAACGACACACGATGGTCATGTCGTATCGGCAGAGTACATGGAATATTTGTATGATACCTTGTTAATGTCTTCTCTGGAATCCAATGCTGCCAGTAAAGGTTTCTGGTGGTGGGGTAACAATGATCCACATTTCAATTTTTAAAACACACATATACACACAACGCACACACACACACAATCCCCATCCATTTCAATCAACTCACTCACTCACTCACTCACTCATTGCACTGTTTTGTGAAAATTTGTACATATGAAAAATAAAAGACACAATGCGCAACAACTTTATACAAAGAAAATGGTATATACTAGAGAGGATACTTGCTTGTTTACAGCCCTTTTTTAATGTCCTTGAGCCTTTCCTTGCCACTAGCAATGATACGTACATCTTGATCATCCACAGGGTATTCACGATCGAAATCACGGAAAGCAAGTTCATATAGGGAGATGTCACGATTATACCATGCATTATAGAGACGACCCACGAAGACAAGTTCCGGTGATGACTTTCCAAAAGAATCCACGAGGGAGCGTTCCTGAAGCCACATGTCCCATTGGGAACGTGCCATGAGTGCAATACAACGAACCAAGACGAGTCGACTCACCAATGTGACATCCACATCCAGCTGCTGCTTGTAATAGTGTAATGCTCGGCCTGTAAAAGTAATCACCTTGTCGTATTCGCCACGTGCACTGGATATATAAGCTATTTGCGTGATGCAATGATAATAGGTCTCATCATAGGGCCACCATCCACCACGTATTAATTGCTGTTGATACATCTATTATGATCATGTTGTTAGCCAAACGGGTGTTCAAGATAAAAGGAGTGATGTAAACTACCTCGAGCGTATCATGGCCTTGATTTGTCAAAATATCAGCGATCGTGATTTGGATCCATCGTACAATGGGTGGATAAGGTACACAGTTGACAAGCTCTGATAACTGGATCAACGACTGTTTTGCGGCTTCAGAAAGATCTAATGATTACATCATGATAAGCGTCATCATCATTGATGACAAAGTGGATCTTCTTGTTGTATACCTTGATCGAGTCCTTGATCAATCACTTGCCACGCCATCAAGCAGGAAATGGCAGCGTCCACCTGTGCTACGGGTGATGGATTGGCTTTTAAGCGTTCAATGATCCGCCAAAATGTTTCAAATGATCGTTGTATGTCTATCATGTATCCAAAGGAGTCAACATACAGTGGTGATTATGATTCAAAAAGACTTACGCTGATTCACCATGGCTTGTTCAGCTGCATGCCATTCGTGAGCAATAGTGCGAGGCGTTTCATCATCATGCAAGTAATAATCCACTAGAGGTGCATGGTCACGAAACGAGACAAACACATGCCGATAGTTGCCTGAGGCTCCCCACCGCTTGAAAATTCCATAAAACGTAATACCGTATCCTAGGGACACCATACGAAAAACCAAGTACCACTGTTGTTGTAACGCCGTGGCTACTCGTGCTTGAAGCAAGGCATGTCGCAATCGTTCTGCAATGGGCACTTGGTTACGGTAGGGTAATGGCAAGTCGGTCGCTAATGGCGTGCCAGTGACAAGTGTCAAGAAAGACTCTATAATAGTAGTAATAGTAGTAATACAACTCTCTTCGGTTATTGCTTATTCCCATACACACACAAACACATACACGCACACACAACCATCCTATCGCGCACACATACCTAGTGACGGGCAGTGATAATATGCAATAGCTGATATGACACCAATAAACCACGAGAGTAGTACTATCAGCAGGACTATTAGCATGGTCTGTGTGTTAAAATGAAAAGGGAGGAAAGAAAGCGTAAATCGGATTGGGTCTCACAAGAGCTGCCTATTTGAGAATGCTATTTCCCACTCTCTCTCTCTCCCATATCATTAGAAAGAGAACAAAGATTTCTTTTTTCTTTCACAATAATGAAAATTACAAATAAGGGGTACAAAGGGAGGAAGGGGGAGGGATGGATGCTATGGATGTGAATGTGTATAGTAATGATTTAATGATCAAATTGTCTTTCAAGACGCTCCAACCGTTCTCGTAATGCATCAAGTAAATCATGGTACTCGTGTGGTCCAATATCATTTTGTGAGCGTACAATCGTAGGTGGACTTTGTAATGTATGCACACCATTTCCATTGGGTTGCTGTACTACTACGGGTGCTTGTGCTTGTGCTGGTAGTGGTGTTTGCTGGTGCTGGTGATGATGTTCGCCATTACTAACCTTCGAAGTCTCTTGTTGTTGTTGTTCACCCGAAGACGAGGATGCAGCAGGTTCGATATCTTTACCACCCGCTGATTGCTCCAATTTCTCAATCCGACCAAGAATACTTTCGAGTGCCCCATCCAATTCCACCATCAATTCTTTTTGTGCTTCCTTGATCTGGTTACGCACAAGTCCCTCGATCGTCGTGGACGATGCTTGCAGTGTCTGCATCAAAGTAGAAGACCGCCGAATTTGTTCATCCAATGTGCTCTTGAGAGTACGTGTTGTTTCAATGGTTTCAAAGAGTTGTTCAAAGGGTTGTAAGAATTGTTGTCGTTGCAAGGATGAAGAATTGGCAGCTGCAGTGGTTGTAGTAGGTGTTTGTGGTGGCATGGGTGGTGGTGGAGCTTCACGTGAATTGGTTGCAGTATTAGTACCATTTGTATAACCATGATGGACACCACGTTGTTGTTGTTGCTGTTGTTGTGGATTATACATGGGCGAGGCCGCATAATGATGATGATGATACGAGGATGGATGGGCTGTCATGGGAGGTTGTTGCTGTGAAGGAACAATGGGTGGAATAGCAAATTCTTGCTTGTGTGGTGAATGATCTCTACCGGTAGCAGCAGCTCTTGCTGTCAATGGTGATAACAATGGTGCCAATGATTGTTGATGATGATGTCCCGGATGAAGTAAACTTGTACGTGGCCCATTTTGTGTGGTAGCTTGAGGTGGGTAATAATATCCACCACCACCACCTTGTTGTTGGCGTGATGATGGATGCAACGAGTGCTGGTGATGTGCTGCTGCATGCGCTTGTTGTTGCTGTGGGTGATGTGGATGACTCGTACCTCCTTGTCCTTGTTGCTGTTGCTGGAAGAAGTTGGAATTGAGAGGTGCAGATCGAATGCCTAGTTGACCATTGTACGACGGTGCAAAGATAGTCAAGTTGCGTGCATTCTTGCCCTGCTTGGATAAAAGTCGCTTGGATAACAAAGATGATGGCGCACGTGCACCATTGATGGTAGGCCCTGATGATGCCGTTGAGGGTGTCGTACTACCATTGCTGCTAGACACTTGTGTTTGAGAGCTCACTGTATGCACCGGCTTTGGCAACACATTTCGTACACGTGCTCGTGGTGCTCCTCCTCCACCTCCACCTCCACTAGAATCCTTTTTGCTGCTGCTGTTATTGTTGTTGTTGTTGTTGTTGCTCGGCTCTTCTAAACGTTGTTTCTTGTTTGGATGTTCGGATGCAGATCTAAGTGCGTAAATGTATATGTAAATACTTGATACCTCTCCTTTTTATACTTCGAATCACATGTCACTTACCCACTACGATGTCGCGATCCATTCACATCCGAAAGTACCTTATCCAAAGCCATTGGATTGGTTGCCGTTGTTGCTGTTGCCGTTGTTGTCTCATTTTCATCGGTCCTGTTATTTGCTTGCTTTCCTCCTGAAGGAGATGCTGGAACGAACGATGGGGGAGATAATGGTTCTGCCTTGATTGGACGTAGATTAGGTGATTTGGGAGCAGCAGCAGCAGCAGGAGGAGGAGGGTTATCATCCGTATTATTGGTGCGTGATGTTGTAGAGATAGCAGGTGTTGTTGTTGATGATGATGCATTGGTGCCATCTGCACTGCAAGTGATTGATAGATCCATGGATACCCAATCACCAATCTTATCCACACGTTCAAACCGTGATATAGCATTCAAGATCGAATCGGCTAATCCAGCACTGTAGTCGTTCGGCTTTAGCTTGCAGAATTCAGCCAAGAGATACTTGTTGAGAGAAACGGCTGTATCGCCGAGCAACTTGGTACTGAGATAAAGATCTTTGGAGTCACGATAGCAATGAGGTGAACTGGAGAGCACATTGGTGGCGAGCATGTGATGTTGTGGCAGGTGAGGCACACTGAATAGAAGGGAAATGTCGGCCAACTTGAATAGGAGCAGATCGGAATCGACGATGCGATAGACATAGAACGGCTTTTTGTCAAAAAAGTAGCCCAGCAACAGAGCGCACACTTTCATTTTCACTCAGGTCATCAAGCAAAGGGAAAAAACAAAGGAGAGAACAATTATCCAAAAGGTACACGAAGCCTCTTGTCCTTGTCTCCCCCAAGGAGGAGCGGTCTTTAAATGACCTGCTAATTAACAGGTGCCGTGCTTGTAGGTGCATCCAGTGTGCCCCCCAGATGCTCTTTTTGATTGATTGCTGTCATATTAGGTAATGTCGCCTAGAGCAACGTTACATTCCGTGTAATCTTTTTTTGACTCTTTGTCTTGCAAACTATTGAATCGATATTGGTCTCATCCATCCCACTGCCCTTGCTTTCATTCCCGGGTCCCCATCCTGGTTCAAACTTTATCTAATTATGGATACAACATTGCTGCACGGCAATTGCCTCGGTAACAGGGGATATGCTTCTTCCACATCATCATCATCTCCTTATACATTATCATCCATCGACGCGTCAAAGTGCTTAATGGTTGGCGCCCATCTCTTTATTAGTAGCAATGTCGTGTCATCGTCATAGTGGTTGTAGTAATACTGGTTAGCAGGGTATGCAAGTTGAAAAATTTATGCATAAACGATGTAACTTTGTAGCACTTTTCCAATAAATGATCCTTTACCATGCTATCCATCGCATTGTTACAATACATTCGATCTTCACTTTGACCAACGTATCGCACGTGCAGGGGTCGTCCTCTCTCAAGTGCGCCATCGGGATGTCTCCTTTGACAAGATAAATGTGTTTCATGTGCGCTGCTGGTCTACCCAAATGCACAAACACGTGAATCAAATGATATTGTGACTATGTACATATATCCTTTATGATGATTAATTCTATGGAGTAGTAATATGGCTAGTACAGGGATATCTAGTAGATGTTGCACATGCTATGAGGTTGTTTCTTCTTTCCTTGCAGGTCCTTCTTGCTTCTCTTTGGATGCTTCAAGGTCCTGATCGGCAGGCGACTTTGGCGGACGTGGTCCTCCAAACCTTACATTGGGAGCTAACACTGCCAGAATGACTGCAATACCGGAAGCCACAATCGGTGGAATAAACTATATGGTGGGAAAAAGTCTGTTAACGATTGTCCTGTATGAAGAAGGGGATCCCAAGATACTTACCACATCACTGAGTGCTTCCATGTATGCGTGGATAACGGGTGGCTGGTACTCCACAGGCAAATTTCGAATGTATAGATAGTTCTTCATGACACCATAACGGTTTGCGACCTCAAGTACATCGGCTGGTAATACGCTGAATTGTGCCTTGATGAAAGCTGAGAATATGGCTTGATACACTAAAAAATGAAGAGGTTTAGCCATGAACGCTCACCACCTCGTCCTATTTTTACCTACCAGCAAGACCAATGGATGGAGCAAGTAGCAGTGCAAAGTTCACCTATAATACAAAGAATACATGAGCTGAAAAGTTTCAAAGGAAGGCATTGATATTACTCACCAAAGCTGTAGCAATAGCAATGTACTCCTTGTCAGCCACTGTTTGCACGGCAAGAATGGTATTTTGCTGAGATAAGCCGAACCCGAGACCTGTCACAAATCCAGCGTCAGTTGCATGAATGCAATTTTCATGTTGCACAAGTCAACCCTCTAAGTAGTACCTGCGAATGCGAAAAATCCAGCTTGAAAACCCCAATTTGAATGCTCGTTTGTCAATTGGAAGAGGCCAAATCCTAGCAAGGCAGATGAGCTGCCTACCATAATGTAAAACTTGGGATACGGATATCGCTGCAACAGCTGTCCACCGCCAATGGCGCCAACAATAAGAGCACCTGTTATTCTTTGTTAGTATCTTAAAGCGTGTGACCTCCATGTATACATGAATACTTTACCCATATACGGCATCAAGCGAATACCGGATTGTGTTGAATCTGCACCAAATACAGCTTGAAAGGTGATAGGGCCATAAAAGAGTGTTCCCACGAAACCGAGACCAAGACAACATATATAAAAGTAAAATACGAGCACCTTGGGGTTCTTTAGTAGCCTTGGAGGAAGAATCTAATGGAACGTGTCAGATGATCGATTCGTGTTTGGATAATGAATCACCTTACCGGTTCTTTGGCCACCTTGACTTCGACAAAAACAAGCGCGATAAAAGAGACTCCTGAAGCAACAAAGGTACCAACCGCATGGCCATCACCCCAACCATACTATATTATGTGAGGTTAGCCGAAAGAACATTCTCCAAAGATCCACTTTTGATATTTACCATAGGTCCCCAATTCAATGCACATAGTAGACAAGAGATGGTAGCAATGACAAGTATAGTGCCTAATGCATCAATACGCTTGATTTTGTCCCATAACGACTCGTTTTGGCGTAATGTCGTGTTTGATTCACGGAAAAAGAAGCCAAGGATGGTGAAGGAAATTCCGCCGAGGATAATGTTTAGCCAAAAGTCCTGTGACAGAATCATGAGTGAGTTTTTGCAATCATTGTCGAACCATGATTCTTTTTTCTTACCCAGCGCCACGTTAGATTGTCCACGAAAGCGCCACCTGTTGTTTAAAAATTTAGCATACTTGAAGCCTAGTAGCAGTGATATACTTACCAATCAATGGGCCAACCACAGAAGATAATCCATACATTCCACTTTTTTTGCCCCGTGTGAGTTAACATCCAATGCCATGTGATGGATCCCTCCTCCAATTTAATAACATACCTGAGAGCTGAGTTGATACGTGGTCTGTATTTCATTGGGGTGATATCGGTTGCGATGATAAACATGCTATATGAGTCAAACGTTGCGTTAAGCGTCAAGTTCCAATGCAAAAGTCTTTTTTCTTACCATGCCATGATGGATCCACCTCCAACACCACTGATAGCTCGACCTGCGATAAATCCATTCATGCTTGGGACAAGTGCACATATCAATGATCCAGCAATGAAGAAGAATAACCCCATCAAGACCATTGGCTTTCTTCCAAAAATGTCGGAAAACTAGAAATGTACATTATTGTCAGCCTATTTGATGGAGCCCATACAAAGAAAGGATGATTCAATACCTTGCCAGCAAGCGGCTGAAGACTGATCATGCCAATAAGGTACGCTGTCGCAACCCATGTTTGATTGCCGACATCGTCCATATCGGTTGCAATTTTTGTCATGGCTGGTGCGATCACTGTTGCCTGGAGAGCGATCATGAGCATGGTGACGAATAGACCAAAGTACACAATGCCGAGATGTAGCTTTTTGACCCATGGAGGAAGATTGGTAAAGAATGAACGTTTGGATTGCTGCTGCTGCATATCATCATCATCGTTGTTGATCACATTTTCTTGCTGTTTGCTATGGATGGATGATACCACCGTGCCATTGCCGCCATCGTCACTGGGCGTGGGTGAGGAACGATCGTGAGCCATGTTCGTTTTGTATCTGTTTTACGATATTAGAAAAAAAAAACAATGATCCACACGACCTTGTACCTTATAAACCTTTCCTGATCTGCTGCTATCGGGAATCCAGTACCCGAGAAAAGGCATTTTCTCATTGTCTCACCACCGATTTTGCGGCACGGAAATAAAGTAGGACCGCCCCGAGTATTACAAAGCAAGGTACAAACGGCCCAAACAAGAACAAAGGTGCTGTGTCGACGCCTGTATTGTGGATATCGCCATTTTGGATACCGGAAAGCCGCGCATCAGCATGTTGATGATGATAGTCGTTATCCATGATCGAGAACTTGACTTTGATGTTTGGTGGCGGTGGTAGTGATGGTTGCTGCTAATGGATCGAGCATACATGTAAAGCTGCAACCAATCAGTGTCGGCATAAATGATCCCACGCTATCCGGGTAACTTGCATGCTGGATCAAGTCGATCGGTCCGCACGTGCAACCATTATCTGATCCGCCGATTTTTTTCTTCTTCGTTGACAAGTAGCTGAGCCTCATGCGCGCTTTCACGGAGATAGACGCCATTGGTAATGACATGATCTTGTTGTTGTAAACGCTTGTCATTCACCATACGCCACCATGGTAACTTGCCATACTAGAACAGGAAAATGTTACGCGTTCATTTTTCTATTCTAGGCAACATTGATAGTGGTACCGTACCTCCTGATGATTGTATACGCTGTCATTCATCGTACGCCATCATGATAACATGCCATGTTAGATCAAAAAAATGCTACGCGTTCATATCTCTGCTTTGGGCAACATTGATAGACATCCTACCTTTTGGTGATCAGGGAAGCTCTGAGATAGCGATAAGGAAGCGTATAGTAGGTTGAAAAAAACGAGGCGATAACGATCATGATCCACTGCTGATACCGGTGTCGTGTGTAGTTGTGGGCTGACCATGGATGTGGTACATAAGGATGTTGGATCCAAGAGGCTGTATCAATGTCGTGTGGATCATGCAAGATGATCAAAAAAAGCCGTTTTGTTGATGCTGCTTCACGTTGCTTCTACGCTTCATCATCCTTGTAGTTCTTGATTGTCGGCCTGGTGAAGAGTCCCTTTGCAACTCGGTCGTTGTTGAACATGCGATCGTCATTGGCTTGATGCGTTTGGGTCACGATGCTGCCGGTCCATTGCTCAATGCCAGCTTGCATTGCAGCTCCAACTGTGCCTATGAATATTCTTCAGTGTGCTTATCAAGGCGTTGCATTGGAACCTTGCCTGCTCATTTTGGTGTCGAAAGAGAAAATGGCCTTGAAAGAACGACATGCATTGCCCCTGAGTTTCATGCAACTATCATTCCTACCTTTCTGAGTGGATTTTGTTGTTGGCAAGGGAACCGAGAAATCACTAGGTGTCTTTTCACACAGGAACATGTTATGGATCAGGATGGCACAAAGAACGAAGCAGAAGTTACTCCATAGTAGCTACTTGCATGAACACATTGACGCCGCCGACATCGCCACAATGAATAGGAATAATGACTAAATCAATAAGCCTTTTACTTCATTGTTTGTCTTGCTTTATAATGTGTCTCATATAAGGAATCATGCTAGATGTCAATATCCTTTACTTTTTGATCCGGCAAATCACTACTCCTTGATCAATGATCCCATGATTGACGACATGTCTTTGTCACTATTACACAGCTTTCTTGTTCTAAAAACTACGTACATGTATCCTCCTTATTATAGGCGTACAATGCAATCTTTTGACATCATTTATCGCTTTGGCCATTGTGATTAGCACCCCTTTTATGATCACAAATGTATGTCTAATGCTAGTACGGCGACCAGCCTTCGTTATGGATACCCTCAAACCGCATCCAATAAAGTATATAGGGCTGCATACTTTAATCAATTGATGTAGGCAGCCCGATTTCAAAATCACTAATGTTCACTATTATCTGGATGTGCCTTCGATGATTGACACTAGTAGCTTTCAATTGCTGTTACAGTGATACATGCCATTCTCTCTCTACATCGCGTTTGGTACTAACGCATACCATCGTTGAGACTTTTGAGCTGCATGCGTGTACTTTAGCTCCTTGTTTCGATTTACATTTGATGGATGGGCTATACAAGGCGTGGTGAACAGCCATTTTTTATTGATGAGAACAAATCGGCAGCTTTTGATCAGGTGGTGAATCATAGTCCTTCACCTGTGATGCTATTAGCTGCCTGCTTCAAGTTCAGAGTCACATTCAAAAATACATATGACAAGGCAAAAAGGACTGTGGTCTCATTCAACAAGCATGAAGATAATATCCAATGTATGCATACACGATATCAACAGCCAGATCACGTGACCCAGAAAACAAAAAATTCAAAAAGAACATCTCGATCCACCTTTGTGGATCATCTTTTCATTTCAAATGTTTGAAGGGGCTAACCGGGAGTCGAACCCGGGACCTCTCGCACCCTAAGCGAGAATCATACCACTAGACCATCAGCCCCTGTTGATTATTCGCATATTGAGTTACATGTTGTTCCAATAAATTTCCCAAAAAAGAAGGTGATACAAGCTCAAAATCGAATGGAAACCATGGCAACATGTATATCATCATGTAGCGGAATACTCGCTGATAGTGATTACACAAATGCGAAAAAGGTAGGGGAGATCAATCAGGAGTAATTTGAATGCAAAGACAATTCAACATTGAGACCCAGTGGGATGGCCCCAAAAAAATTCGAGCTCAGGTCAATTTTGGCTGATAGATGAGGTTCGGCGTGTAGCCATAGCAACCCCTTTCCTCTCTTTTCGCTTAACAACAATGCCAATTGCATCTTTCATCTCATCCTCACAACAACGAGATCAAGGCTGTATTTTATAGTTGAATGATGTATGAATACGTGATATCAATTCGATACACTTGCAAAATAATGGCTGCCTTATATCACTTTCAAGGAGCAACACGAACAAGTTGCCCTGTCTTTATTACTTGAACCTTTTGCTACTACTATATCTGCTTGTAAAGTTGTCTCTTTTCTTGGTCGTGCACTTGCAAAAGCAACACATTATCATGCTCGAATAGGACCTGCAGCTTCCATATAGCATTGTTGTGGTTGCCATGCAGTTGCCATTCGCAACATCAGCATGCTGTACGGCATGTCGTGTGGTGCAGATCGCTCTTAGGCCGTTGTGAATGTAGTCGTAGTTAGCGTGTTGTAAAGTGAAGCCGAATAAAACAAGGACAAGGCTCAAAAATCCTTGGACAGAATGAGAGACAGAGGTGTAATTGTTACACATCACCCAAATGTTAAAGCAATGTTTATATTGCGTGTTGGCTTTATGATCGACAAGCCGTATACAAAGTCGACAAAGCATACCATTTTCCTACGACACAATCAACACCTTTCACGTGCCAAACTTAAACAAACGCTCTTTCATTGTTCAAATCATCCATATATATGATGCTTGATTATGAGGTTGATTCTTGCTTTTAATCCTGTTTCTTTATTCTCATTAAACAGGAGGATCATTTGGTATGTAAAAGAGAGAGCTTCATATACACTTACACTAATGATGGGATATGGTATAGAAATGACAGCTGATATGGACGTTGATCAGTTATCGAGCGATGATTCGTCTATATCTACAGACGTTGATATGGTGGATGTTGACAGCGTTCATTCGTTTATTCCAATGGTGGCAACCAAAATCAGGGACCGGTTCAAGGAAAGCCGATTACAGTTTGATTCACGCGTTTCGGATCATGACATTTCAACCTTGTTCCCGGTGGAATACAACAAGTCGGATAGCTTGCATGAACGTATTCAGCGTTTGATGAGTTGTACCTTGGATGTACCTGATTCTGAGCTTGAGCAACTATTGGCGATCCATCAAGCAACACATGATCGGCCATCAATCTACATTAGGAGCTGGACGATATCAGCAGACACACTCGCAGCTCTACTCGCAAACTTGGCACTGCATTCATCAAGCCATCCATTATTACGCATTTGGCGGCAATATCAACAAGGGAACCCTGATAAAGCTATCCATATTCGTTATGTTGGTTCAACAATTCGTTCTGTAAACACTCGCCATGTGCAGGATTCCCGCAACCAGAGTGCTTTTTTGGGGAGATTTCTTACTGCATTACAAGGCGTGGATATCGAGGCATACAATCATGCAAGGTTGTACGAATTTTCTCGCATGAAAAACGATACCGATGGCAAAGTAGACAGAAGGGACATGCTTGAGCAGATTGCAATCACTTTCTTTGGCTTGGAGAATTTGCTTAATACGCAAATAGGAGGCGTGTCGTTCACTTACGATCCGGGTATGAGCGCTTTTAAAGATTTCCAAAAGTACAACCTATCCTTCTTCAAAGCCATGAACGACAATATCGATATCCACCAGAACGAGTTCTCCGAAAAGCTAACAACGTGGCTCAATGTTATCACCCAAGAAGGAGAACGAATTGCTAGGGAGCACAACAACCAAAACAGTATAATCAGCCCAGCATTAAGAACAATGATCCTCCAACAAGCATTACCAAAAGTGGTTGGCGGCCATGTAGTGCTCATTGTGGTAGGAGCTGAGATATCACACGGCAGCTTTAAAACAGCAACACCTTTCTTTGTCAACAGCCGCTCAGGAGAAGTAACCAAGACGTTGCTATGTCGACAAGCGGCATGGTCAAGTGGGCAAGAAAATTTCAGCTTGGATCGTTTTCAACCGGATCTTTTCCCATTTATTGATCTATACCCTTGGCTTGATACGATCAATACCAAGAAAGCAGCACTACGACAGCTATATGGATACCTTTCCACCACCGAACCATTGGTAGTCGCTAGCCTAGGAAAGCATCCAACGTCAGCTTTGTTCTCCAATCTTTTGCATCATCATGGTTGTGGACATCGTTCGGAAGGGTTTTCATATATCAGCACCATTGCTTTACCTCGTATTTGCTACTTTGTCGATGATCAATGGGTTGAAGCAAGCGAGGCGGATGATCCCCCGGTAGACAATGCATTCATTACTATTGGAAACCTGCATCCTGGATACGAGAGATACGGCGAACGCTCAATTGACCTAATCGAATTGATGGATATCACGTGGACAGTGACATTGTTGGTATCAGAAATTGTACTTGGTGTGGTGCTCGCCAATCCTGGGTTATCTCGAAGTGTCATTATCCAACGTGTTTGGCCGTTTATTGATCCAATGTCACCACATGCCGATGAACGTTTATTGGGTGCTTATTTTCAAGCTGAAAGGATCAAGAAGGATTATCAAGCTTTCTATCGAGCCAAAATCCAGGAACAGCCAAAGTCAGCAAGAAATGTGGATCACGATATCTTATCAATTGCTGCATGTGCGCGCATGGCAGCGTATGGTTTCGCTGAAGGTGCTCCCAATTCAGATGCACGCAAGAAGCAGGTCCAGAGAATGTGGAGAAGGAATTTACCACCTTTGCATATGCATATTTCACGAGACAACAAGGATCAATGGTTTCAATGGGCGAACACGTTGAAAGAAGGGATATCATTTTTTGCAAGCGCTGAGCGACATGTTGGCATGGCAACGCATCACCCTTTATGGAATTGCTTGAGACCCTACATCCCCTCTGATACCAAAGCCGATTGGCTTGATGATGAAGCCAACCTGACAGCTGCTTGTCTTGCATGGGGTGCAGCAATGAAGCTTTATCTTCCGGACGACCATTTTTCCAGCGACAACCAAAAGCGGAGAATAGCATTACGATGGGGAGACGACGATGAAAACTTGTATGCGTACATGGCTGTGAATCATATGAGACTGGTGACCTTATCATTGACACATCCCTTGTTAATTCGATGGAGAGATGGTGACAAGAACGTCGACGTGGCGCTACGATTCAAGGCCAAACGTCAAAATCAATTTGATACAAGAGAAAGATACCACGTCGCTTTCAACAAGGATGGCATAAGTTTGAAACCGGTGGATCAGCATGATGACGATATTTTTCATATTCCATTGGATGCTGTGTATGGAGACCCTTTGGTTAAGAAATTATGGATCCACGAGATGCATCAGCAAGGATATAAGGACATTGATCAAGATCCAGTATCACACATTGGGATACCAGCTTTCACTGCTGTGACCAAGCCCATCAATCGTCAAAAAACTATACAGCCCATGGATGCATTGTGGCTCCTGCAGCAATTCGTGAACGAGCAAACTATCAACTTTCACCTTGCTTCATCTGATTTCATCGGCATCATTCCTAGTGACTTTGTGTCATTTCAGCAAATATTTATCAACTTCTTGAACAACAACTATCGACAACATCCTTACAATCGTTGGTGGTATGAGAAGGTCAACGATCTTAACATCAAGAAGGAATCCAAAAACATAGCTGCCAACCTTCTTCACTTGTATCCTAGTAGCATCAAAGGCAACTTTCGTACATTTAAAAAGCGCCATGCAAAAGACCATAGTAATCAAAAGCAGTGCATTACCATTCAAATAAAACGTTAGTGATAACCTTGTTGCATGCCGTTATGAGCAAAAGAATGCAATGAAATAAAAAATGGACCATGATGATGACAAGAGTAGTTATGAATGGCTGTAAGGAAGATGACAGTGTATGCGGGGATGATGGAGTGCTGAGGTTACAATAAGAATTTATATAAGGGAGAAATCCAAGTCGACACGCTTGCAAAGTGATAGCTGTTTTAAACTACTTTCAAGAAGTAGTAGCATGCACTAAGTCGCTTTGCTTTTATCACACAAGCCGACATACTAGCTGTGGGAGTTATTCATGAGTGAAAACGTGTTTATTTAGCAAGTGTGTAAGCAGATACAATAAGTAGCAAGAGCATTGAATAGTAAAAGCAAAGGCGACTTGGTTCATGTTGCTTCTTGAAAGTAGTATAAATCACAAAACGGCGTTGTTGTCACGCATAAAAGACCTCTCTTTATTTTCGTTCAAGCCAATGTCTACCCTATTATGTCGCTCCTTGCATAACCAAATACAGGGTCATCGTCTCCTTGTATGGGTCGAATCGAATTGATGTAAGCTGCTGCAAACTTGAAGGCATCCAGCATGTTGTATTTCACGTATGATCCATTTCATTCAATAGAGCCAAGAGTACAGATGTCGTGTGGGTGGTGAGACACAATGGATGAACTATGTAGATAATGTTGGGATGGATCTCGATATCGGCTACTGCGAGGCCATTGTTGTCCATTGCTTGTGGTTTCATTGTTGCTTTCCATCGTTCAATCAAGTACTCAGAACGGCTGCCGTGCCGGGCCTGATGCTCATGATTGATCTCAACATTTTTGTTCTCTTGAAATGATCCATATCCATTGACAATCGTCACGTATCCAAAGCGCCATGTACGATCCTCATGTATTCCTTTGCCACAGCCACCAACCTTGTCGATTTGAATCATGTGCCGCGATCCTTCAAGTGGAATGTTGAGTGTCGAAGCGGCTCCCCATTTGCCATCATCTGATAACGTAGCATCATCCACAATGAGTCTCGGCATGTCGTACAGTTTCACTACACACCTTGGCGATTTCAATCAGAATCCGTTTTTAGCGCAACATCACCCAACATCAAGAGCGAATAAACATTTCAGCATCGAAACTGCAAATATATCTTGCTGATAATTGATTGCATGTGGTGCTGTTCACTGTGTCCAAACATCGCCTTGCGTAATAGGGAGATAGTGGGTCAAGGTTGAAAGGCGTGTAGCTCGTTTAGATAAATGAATGTGCCATATACAATCCTCATCCGCATATACGTGACATGATCCATCCCCCTTGCTGACGACGTGAAAAGTAAGCACCGTAGGATTCAATCTTGACGACATCCATCCATAAATCCCACACGACAGGCAAGGAAAGCATAGGCCGCAGATGATGGAGCCGTACGAGCAGAGAATGCATATTCGAGTCCAAACGGCACCGTGAGTCGCACCCATTTTCGCTAACACAACAGGGCCGTTTCCTCCAGACGGTACACCACATTGGCTTCCTTGACGTGCTGCAGTGATGGAAGTAAAAAGACTGCCAGCTATTTCTTTTCGTAAGTTCACTTGAATCCAACCAATCCCAGAATGATCCCTTTACCTTAAAGTATCTTTCGATACCATCATTGGTGCTGCAGATAACCTTGTATCCATGCCATCCGTATTGCGCTGCTGCTGTCTCCTTGTAAGACTCATCAATCAACAAGTCTTGCGCTGTATATCCAATACCATGCGTACCATTTTGAGCCACCGTATAGCATTCTTGCTTTGACATCAATCTCTTGTTGCTGCCACAGGTGCCATAATCCAATGTATTCAAGCTACAATATATGCAATGTAAGAAAACAAAGATAGCACTCGCTTTTCGTGTAGACATACCCAAAGTAACAATGGGTTGGAACATCTCCTTGGCAACAACCATGGAAACAACACACAGGACACACGACGCCGCTTGGATCTTGTATAAGCAAGAGGACAGCAAACTACACGTAAGCTTTAGTATATCAAAGACCAACTTGAATAATAAAGCAATGCAGCGATTGAACGTACATGTAGTATTACAGTGGGAGCTTGAGTCATGGGTGGATCGCACGCGTACTTGTTGTCGAATGTCTGCAACTGGAAAGTGCCGCCATTGACCACCTGTTCGCCCAATTGGCACTGTCCATTGAAAGGATTGCCAGCTGTTAACGTGTTGTAGTTTGTCAACAGATTTACTCTTACCTTGCTTTGTGAAGTGGGAGCGAAGAAGAAGGGGCTCGTTGTTGCTCCTACCACTTCCCAATTTGTGCACAACACGCCACCCAGCTTGCTATAGTTACTGTTGTAAATATGTACCTCAACAGTAGCCTATACATTTGGGTCATTTATAGCCACAATCACTCGATCTAGTAATTAAGCTATACATCATTTTACTTTGACGGGATTGGCGCTTATCAGGCCCGTGCACATCAATGCAGATCGACTCCTGGATTTGTGCAACCAATCCATGTTCCATGACTCCTCTACCAAACATACAAAATGTATAATCGATTGTCATTGTCATTGTCATAATGAATAGCTTTTTCATGTTTGGATGCTGTTTACCTACTTCCTAAAGGCAATCATCATTCACTTGTGAGGCAGCCTGTCAATGACGCGTATGTGTAACCACCACGTACTATTTCACTCAGCTCTCCATCTTTCCGTTCATGCAGCCGACACCATCCACTAGGAGAAAGCAACTCCACCACGCTTACAGCATATGCAAAACATAAAGGCACTTGTATCTCCAAACTTTACAATGAAACGTGGTGTTTTTATTAGAGCAATGTGCTCGGCTTGGCCAACTGCACCTTGGGTGCCAGTTTCACGATCAAGGTGGCCGATCCCAGATTTCGCAATGTCGCTACCAGCCAAACTGGATCTGGGGGTCGACCTCTTGAAACTTTTTCGACGACCAAAAAATATTTTTTGGGCTGTTTGCGACATCGAACGTAAAACTTTCACACAAGGTGCTGTTGGCCAAGCCGAGACCATTACTCTAATAAAAACCACACGTTTCATTGTAAAGTTTGGAGATACAGGTACCTTTATGTTTGTAAGCGTGATGCTATATGAGAAGTGGTCTTTGTTCAATGTAAAGTAGGTGGACCCTGACAGAGCAAAAGATGCAGAGGGTCGTGTTGTGTAACACAGCTACGTTTGCATGAATGAAAGGGTCAATGTATAATTACTTTGTGGATCATCTAGGAACAGGCATGTATTGCTAGCTAACGGCCACTTTTATCCATTCATCATTGTTGCGAGATCCACTGCATGGGAACGATGCCCCTGCTCCAGACATTCATTTCCATGATTAAAGTAGGTTGATCCGAGCTGATTTGACTGAGCTGCGGTCAAAGAGAGATTACATCACTCTGGACATAGAGCACGCTCGATGTAGCTCAACCGATGTAATCTTGTGTGAGCGTAACTCAACCAAATCATCTCGGATCAACCTACTTTAATCATGGAGACGAATGTCCAGAGCAGGAGCATCGTCCACCTACAATAGAATGCACAAAAGTTGGGA